CGTTTCTACAATCAATAAACGTTTCACATGTACATGTTGGAATAACGATGTGAATCTTACGTTGTGTTTATGTGTTACTAAGTGCACAATGGATACAAAAGAAGCTAAGCGACTTGAGACTCTAGAAAAGAATCTCGTCAAAAAATTTCGGACAGCGGAACAGGAGGAAAAGAAAGAACGAGCTAAGAAACTAGAGGAGATTACAAACTCCCATCCCAATACACATGCAATACAAGACATCACAAAACCCCCAACACGAGTAACAAGTAAAACGCGAGATGAACCTCTGACAGTTGAAAAAGCTAGACAACTGGAGCAACTGCAAACCACTCTGCAAAACCAGTTCGGAGAAATACATGTTAGGGAAATGGAGGAACAACGTGTAAGGGAGAAAAAGTACGAGGCTATCACCAAAGCGATTAAAGAGAAAAAAGAAAAGGATGAGGTACTGGAGAAAAAAACAAAAGAAATGCTGAAAAAACAAAAATACAACCAGCTAATGAAACGCAACTTTAGACCATCAGTCTCTAGTACACCAGACCGAGTTGGTTATATCGGTTCCACTCAATACGATGATGATGAAGATGAAAAAATGGAAGTAGTTGCGGATCAATCAATAAAACAGTTGATGGATACCAAGGTCGTTAATCTCGGAGTGGTCGGAGCTAAATATCTACCACGAGCTAGTGACTCTCAATTCGGCATTTATTTCGATGAGATAGATGAGCAACTAAAAATCGGTTCTGAACCGATTGGGTTTGATTATGATGATATTATTGTAAACAACAAACGATTTAAAGGTACTGAAGGACTTTGGAAACTTTTAACGAAGAAAGGGTTTGTGCAGTCTAATGAATACACATCAAACGATTGGCAGACATATAAAGATATGCTTTTGATGACAAACTCTATCTTCCAGAAAAATGATCCTACTACACGACGTCCAAAATCTAGTTCAGGACAAAAATGGCGGAAAATGATAAAACCTATTTGGGACGAAGTTATCAAACCGACCGATCCGATTGAACAAGATATGGAGAGGGATCTATTGACGGGATCCGGTTTAAAACGCTACCATGACGGTCCGGTTGAATATCGCTACATCAAAGACCTCAACGAGCTCATCAACCGTCTGAATTTTATTTACGCAGAGGAGGTTGCAGGCAATAACAACTTTCACAACGAAAAACTATCTGTTGTTAAATTCATATCCGACCGTATGCAAGAACTGATTGACCAACCGAACGGGGTCAAATACGTAGTACGATGTTTGTCAGCCTTGCCTGAACGCGCGATAGAAGGCTCGGGATTGTTGAACGACATCATCAACAAATTACCTGTAGAACTACACGCCCCGCGTAACTGGAAATTCGATACGTACAACTTCTGCGGTCCAGGCACGAAGCTCGCTGAACGATTAGGTCGTGGTGACAAGGGTGTGAACCCTTTAGACGATGCGTGTAAACAGCACGACATATGGTACAGAGACCACCGGAAGCCCGAAGACAGATGGGTCGCAGATAAAGCGTTACAGAAAGCGGCGTGGGATAGAGTGACGTCTAGCGACGCGGACCTTAACGAGAGGAGCGTAGCCCTCGCGACCACGGGTGCGATGTGGTTGAAACGTAAACTAGGGATGGGTTTAGGTACATCCGCGTGTTCATATCCCTGTAGAAAAAATGGGTATATATAAGTGAACAGCATGGACAACGCTTGGCGAATCTTGTCCCGCGAACCGAAGGCACCGAACGGTGTACTCACCGACGAGCTCGTTATGAAGTTCGATAGGTACCTCAACTGGGACCTGTTGTCAGTTCACTATGATTTCTCCATCGATATGCTACGTATTTACTTTCATCGTGTTGACTGGGGTCCTATTCTGAAGAGGCAAAAATTCAGTGAGAGCTTTCTTCGTGAGATGGCACCAAACTTTGAGCATGCGTGGTTTGCTGTCAGCAAGCACCAAATACTTTCCGAGTCGTTCATACACGACTACGCAAACAAAGTCGATTGGGAATACATTAAAAAATTCCAGATCGTTTCACAACAGTTTTTGGATGATCACAAAGCTTACATGGAAGAGGAGTTCGATGAGTAAGCCTATATATATATACCATGTAATTAAAAAATAAATAAAAATAATTAGCTTATATTTTTTTTGTTCTTCTGTGTTATTAAGTCATTGTAGACAATGGAAGCACTGTACGAACGTTTCTCCACCGGAGTGGTGAAAAGCGAGTACCGAGCTGTTATGCCGATATCCGAGTTGAATTTCAACACACCAAACAATTACACAATCTTCAAACTCGATCACGGAGACACGTTTTACGACTCAGCAATTCAATATCACATCTGCGGTGAGGTAGTAAAAAAATCCGATGGTAAAGCATATGATGCGACTGCCACTATAGCCCTTATTGACAATTTCATACCATACCTATTTACAAGAATCGAACTGAAAAAACACAACACAACAATCGATGTGGTCGATCATCCGGGAATTACAAGCACTATCAAAAGTATTCTAAACTATCCTCAATCGATGAAACCCGCTTTGCAAAACTGTGGGTTCGCATCAAGATACTCGCTTGGTGGTGGCAAGTTCGAAGCAATTGGAACCTTAGCGCATCTCGGGTTAGGGTTCTTTGACCACATGCGATACCCCATGTACAAAGGTGGATTCGAGATTGTATTCACAAGAGCTGAAGATAACGATGCTCTATACCATTGGAAAGGAACCGGTACCGCAGCTACCGAACCTGAGGATGGCAAAGTGAAAATCACTTCCTTTGTTCTCAGAGTTCCCATAGTGGAATATACGTCAACTAGCAAAATCCAACTAATCGACGGTCTAACAAAACTTAGTGAAAAAGACGAGTTGGTCTACAACTATTATCAGTGGCAATGTATTGACAAAAAGGGTGTGTTCGGATCTACGTACACATTCGACATTACAAACGTTTATAGAAACGTATACAACCCTAGATTCGTAATCATGTGCTTTCAAACTAACCGCACGAATGATCAGAAAAAGAACCCGGCGCAATTTGACAGCGAAAATATAAAAAACTTTGCAGTTAAAATAAATGGTCAACGTTACCCTCAAGAACTACAAAACGCTGCAATCCTCGAGGGACGTTGGAGAGTGATTTACGAGCAATTCATGAGATATCGTAAGGTGAATTTCGATGACAGCTCAATGATCATTGACCCAAGCGAGTTTATTTCACACTACCCACTGTGTGTTGTCGACACACATCTTCATCCGATGAATACAGACCGTTCTAGAAGTGACATTCAAATAGAATTCGATTTCACAAACGCAATCGCATCACCATCGGCCGATTCAGGCACTACCGCATATGTCATCGTAGTCTCTGAAAACGCGTTTGCCTACGACATATCAAGGAACATAATCAAGGTGATGTAACTGCGCATTTATATAAGTGAGAGACATGGCACAATTGGTAGATTTGCTTAACGCGTGCCAAGCACCCAAATACACTAAAATCGAAGAGCTGCGACATGAGCATCCCTACAGAATAGTGGAGTTGCAGCGAGTCGTGACGAGATACGGTCCCTCGGTAACTGCTACTGTCGAAGAAGACCCTTGTGGCAATCTAAGAAAATTGTATCTCCCATGCAGGTACAACAACGTTTTGACAGACGTCATGATTAGAAACTACAACAACGGTGTCAACGAAAAACTTGCTTTGATACCCAAAAGCCATGGTCAGATCGAGTTTACAACAATAAACTAATATAACAGAAATAAAATACGCAAAATAACTGAAAAACACAAAAAAATATTTTTTTGCCTCCGAAGGATTGGCGTGGTCGGAACCACGTGCTGAGTCACTCAGAAGACACGTAAAAATCAACATGAAAACAATGAGTTTCAAATGGCGTGTCAGTATACATTGAGATCGAAATACTGCATCTTCATACAAATCCTCTAGTGAAAACATGAGCACCGAATGATGCAATCGGCGCCATTTTTGTGCAGTTGAGAACCTATTGGTGGTCCTATATAAAATGAGATTCAAAAGCTGTTGTCGTTTTCGATCTCAGCCGTGAGATCCTATTATACGACAAGTATACCAAATGAGAACTGATTTAACGTTGCAATCGGCGTCATTTTTGTGCAGTTGAGAACCTATTGGTGGTCCTATATAAAATGAGATTCAAAAGCTGTTGTCGTTTTCGATCTCAACCGTGAGATCCTATTATACGACAAGTATACCAAATGAGAACTGATTTAACGTTCTTTATATCTACACAAAAAAAAATTGTCATCCAAATCAGAGGATCAGTCTCTGTCTGTAAGATCATCCTCTGTTTACATGTGACGTCATGGACACACCTCCCTTCCCGACCTACCTCAACCCACGTGGTCTACACTCCTCCCTCCTCTGTCCTAGAACGTGAGTTTCAAATGGCGTGTCAGTATACATTGAGATCGAAATACTGCATCTTCATACAAATCCTCTAGTGAAAACATGAGCACCGAATGATGCAATCGGCGCCATTTTTGTGCAGTTGAGAACCTATTGGTGGTCCTATATAAAATGAGATTCAAAAGCTGTTGTCGTTTCTGTAAAGTCGTCCAAATCAGAGGATCAGTCTCTGCCTGTAAGGTTAGGTTAGGTTAGGCAAAGTGAGGTTACCTACCTCAACCCACGTGGTCTACACTCCTCCCTCCTCTGTCCTAGAACCCCCAAAATGACTACTACTCCTATTGATATGTCTCACTGTTGTTGGTAGCCTTTCCCTCTTCCCTCCTTCAAGTGTCTCGTGATATGACTCACTGTTGTTGGTATTATTTCCGTTTTCCCTCCTACAAGCGTCTAGTGATGTGACTTATTGTTGTTGATAGCCTTTACCTCTTCCCTCCTACAAGCGTCTAGTGACACATCACTACTTAATAAAAATACAGTGACAACTCACCGTTGTTGGTGGACCATAAAATGGATTGTCCTTAATTAACATGTATTTTGCAGATCAAAAGATGAAGAAATTGAATTGGTTCCAGTTGAGAAATTTTATGAAGAAGCTCCAAAATCTATATCAAGGCCTGTAAGTGTTATCTATATTTTCTATATATTTAAAAGGCAAATTCTGTGATAATTGTTTTGAAGCTGTCCCACAACCGATCAAGGTTCAAGGTGTCGTTGAATAGGTCGTGGCAAGTAGATTTGCCATTTAACAAAACATCTTTGAAATTCCACCAGGGCTCTGTCCCAGTGGCCTTCTAAGTTCTAATGTTATCCTTGGAGAAAATGTTTGTTTACATTTAAACAGATAAATACTTTGAAATTTACACTAATACGAGGTGTTAACCCGTCCTACGTACGGGAATTCAGTAAGTCAGTTAAAACCGTGTACAATTCAGATCAGCTAGTTTACACATATAAAGACAAAGTTTCTTGTAGTTTTAATGTGAAAAATCTTCTTGTCAACAAATGTTGTGTGACCAAATATGTTTTTATTCCATCATAGGCCTATACGATATGCATTTTAAATCTGATAATTTTACAATAAAACAGCAAAATTCCGCAATTTTTACGATATGAAAAGCGTTGAAGTGAGATTTGCAGCCGATTCGCACACTGATAGTACTGTAGTAGCCTACAGTAGAGAGAGTAATAGTCAATTGAGAAGTGTATAGACCTAGTCAACGATACCACCTTCCATAGCATACCTGCCTCTTCCATAATTATTATCACCACAATACAACTACTATACACAATTTCCAGTAGGTCTGAATTTTTTTTTTTTTTTTTTTTTTTTTTTTTTAGGGTGAGGAGGGAAAATGCTTTTACGCACACAGGTAGCCAGCCTGTAGTGTGAGACTCCTGAGTTTATCACAGACTACTCACTAAAAAACCCCCTCTACTCTGTTGGACACAGACCTGGAATTGTTTGTCACATTACTTCAAGTCAGGCCAACATGTGACCTAAGCCCACAGGGCTCGCACCGTTTCTGGCATTATTTATTTTTTGACCTACACCGCATCCCGGTCGAGGTCAAGCTTCTTGGCGCGGAGAACACCCTGGATGTAAAGTGACACACAGGTCCAATTGTCCTCACCCTCCATCATCATCGGTATGACCGTGTCCACCGACAGCAGTCCTACGAACTGTTGAGCCTCTAGGCGGGGCCTTTCCCAATGCTGGCAGTGGAAGAAAGTGTGTTCCACGTCATCGGGAATGCCTGGGCAGTATATGCAATCGGGTGACACGGCTTTGCCCATCCTGAACAAGTACGACCGGAAAAAGCCGTGACCCGTCAGAAATTGGGTGAGGTAGAAGTTCACCTCTCCGCACCGCCGATTAACCCAAGGTTGGACCTGTTGTATCAGTCGCCTGGTCCAGAGCCCCCTTGTCTCCTGTTCCCAGCTCTCCTGCCACAGCTGGAAGGTCCGGGTGCGTTCCTCAATACTTGCCTGGTCCTCCCCACGGCGCTGATAAATTGCCTTCCTCTCCGCCGCCAAAAGTTTGACGGGGATGACTCCAGCAACCACCAGGACGGCGGGTTCGGACACTGTTCGATAGGCAGATGCTACCCTTAGTGCTGCCTGACGCTGCACTCGGGCGAGCCGCATCCTATATACCTCCTTATTGAGAGCGTCTGCCCAGACCTCCGCACCGTACAGGAGCACTGACTGGACCGCAGACATCAACAGCCTTCTGCGGCTGGACCGTGGACCTCCGACATTGGCCATTAACCGACTAAGGGAAGAAACCATTTTAGCGGCCTTGTCCGCCGTACGGGTGATCTGGTCTCGCCAGCTGAGCTTGCTGTCCACCATGACCCCAAGGTACTTTGCGGCACGAGTGGTTTGGACTTCAACGTTCCCCACCATCAAAGGCACGATGGTGTCAATCCTCTTTTTAGTCAGAATGACAATCTCAGTTTTGCTCAGAGCGAGCGAGAGACCATGTTCTGCCATCCATGCGTTAATGGTTCGCATGACTCGATTTAGTTTCAGCTGGGCAAGCTCAATGCTACGTGCAGCTATTAAAGCCGCAACGTCATCTGCATACCCAACTAGGACGGTTTCCTCAGGCATCTCGGATCTCAAGAGGCTGTCGTAGGCGACGTTCCAGAGGTCCGGGCCCAGTATGGATCCATGAGCAGCACCAGAAGTTACATCCATCGTCCTGGAGCCTTCTGTAGTGTCGTAAATGATGAGGCGGTACCGGAGGTAGTCCTCTATCATGCGCATGAGGTATGCCGGGACGTGGAAAGTGTTCTCCAGTGCGTCGAGCATATCGCACCACCTCGCGGAATTAAATGCGTTTCGCACATCAAGTGTTACAAGCAGCACAACCCGACGAGAATAGTTGTTAAACTCCTCAGCTCTCATTACGGCTCGCTTTACCTCCTCAATAGCGTCAACCGTTGACCGTCCCTTCCTGAAACCGTACTGACGAGGGGATAGATTCCCTGCAGCAACCACGGCTGAATTCAGTCGGGAACGGATCAACTTTTCCAAGACTTTCCCAGCAGTGTCCAACATACAGAGAGGTCTGTAAGAGGAGGGTAGGTCTGGGTTTCCTTTTCCCTTCCCCACGAGCACAAGCCTAGCTGTTTTCCAGCAGAAGGGAAACTTCCCCTCGGCCAGACAGGCATTGTACGTGCTCAAAAGGATTTGTGGGTTTATTGAAAAGACTTTCTTCAGGGCCTCACCAGGTACCCCATCCGGTCCAGGAGCCTTGTTGTTCTTCAGGGACAGAACGGCCGCCTCCAACTCCTCGAGACTGAAAAGCGGTACGTCGTCCACCCTTCCGAACTCCCGCAATGGACGCAGTGTGTGAGTCGGGAAAAGGGACTTTACGATCCTCTCCATAGAGGCCCCGTCCATAACGGAAGGTGGAGAGCGGGTGCCAAGCTTCTTGGTTACTATCTTGTAACCAAGGCCCCACGGATCGGAATCGACATCGTCCCTTAATTTCTCCCAGCAACTGCGTTTGCTCCGGTTAATGGCCCGGCGAAGAGACTTCCTTGCCACCTTGTAAGCGTCAGACTTAAGACGTCTATCTTCAGGTTCTCTAGCCCTGGTAGCAAGACGTCTGGCTCTCAATGCTGCCCGTCGTAGTTCTGCGATCTCGGTTGTCCACCAGTACACAGGTCGCTTATCGCACCGGGATATCCTGCGAGGCATTGACTCTTCGCAGGCCGAGACTATCAGCCTCATCAATGATGTAACTGATGTCTCTGCGTGAGCCACGCCGGATGCAGCAGGTACCACTGGCTCTCCCCGTAGTATGACTTCGGTGAATTTGGCCACGTCCAGCTTTTTGGTGTTCCACCGAACGGGCACCTGCCGAGACACGGTAGCTTGTCTCTGATGACTATCCATGACATCAAAAATGATGTACTGGTGGTCACTGGCCGTATAATCCTCTAGGACTCTCCAGGCTCGTATCCTCGGCAAGAGGGACTCAGATGCAAGCGTGATGTCTGGGATCGTTCCCCTCATTCCGGGACGCTGGAAAGTTGGCGTGTTGCCCTCGTTTATGACAACAAGTCCAGCCCTGGCAGCAAAGTCCAGGATGTACTTCCCCCGGGAATTAGTGAGAGTCATTCCCCACTCGACAGCCCTAGCATTGAAATCCCCCGCCACGACAACGTGCCCGGCGGTATCGCGCACGCTCTCTTCCAGGCGGTCTATCTTTCCACGAAAGTCACGGATAGCCTCGTTGGGGGTGAGGTATACACTAAAGTAAGTGACATCCCCGCACCGGACCCAAACGAATCCTCGGCCCTTCGCGTGACTCCTTACCTGCACTTTAGCTGTATTACGAACCCAGAACGCAGCAGTACCAAGTGTATCGGGAAACCAAAGAGATGGGTCCCTGTCCCGGTACTGGTACTGTTCGCTGACCAAGAGCGCGTCAACACCGTGTTCGAGGGCAAGCTGACTGAGAAGCGCGTCAGCCGTCCTGGATCGATCTACATTGCACTGGAGGATCCTTATCTTCGTGGTTGGGCTTTCGCTTGTTGTAGTGCGCCTTTAAATGCACTGCACTGCCCAGACCCAGCTATATGTTTAGCGTTTTTATCATTGAGGCCTTTCTCCTTACAGAGGAAACAGGTCTCAACTTTACAGTCCCTACGAGTGTGACCCACCTCCCCGCATCGAAGGCAGTTCTTGCCTCGGTCGGGCCCTTCGCAGTTTCGGGAGGAATGGCCGAAATCAAGGCATTTAAAACACCTCGTTACTTCCACCCTCCGTCTCAACCTGCAATTAACCCATCCAACCCTCAAATGCTGGAGTGCCAAAACCTTACTGGCGTTTGCGTCTGCCATTTCGGCGACCGCCATCCGCTGTTGACTCCGGTTTGGTTTCGTGAGCCACACCCTCAGACTAGCCGTTTGTCCGGCAAGCTCGGGGACAGCTTTTTTTAGGGCATCAATGACGTCATCCTCCGTTGACACACAATCCATATCCCGAACCTCGACGGACGTCTTGGGTTCGAGAGCACGAACGGTGCCCTGACCTTCCACAGCTGCCTTTAGTTCGGCAGCAAAGGCGGCTTTATCTTTAGACTTACCCAGTTCGAGGAGGACGTCCCCGTCCCGGGTTTGTCTAATCGACCGTACAACCGTGTCGGTTTGCTCTGGCTTAGCCTTGGCCTTGATAACACCCAAGACTTCGGCGAATGATCTTCCCTCCAAAGGCTTGACCAAAATTGCCTCAGTCCTGGGCTTTTTGGGCCGCGACTTTTTAGCGAGTGCCGAGCCAGGCACAGCTTGGGCCACGCCGGTCGATTGCGCCCTCACTGCCACATATGTCTTGGAGCCGACTTCCGCGTGCCTCAATTTCCTCTTCTCCTTTTTCGTAAGGCGCTTTTCCCACACAGTCCCAGATGGTGTTTCTACGACTGACCCCTTTCGGGAGCTACCCTCAATGGGTGTCGCAGGTTGCTGTGGCTGTTGAGGTTTCGCTGGAGCGGCAACTACGTCAGAGAAGGACCTAGAAGTCTGGGTCGCCTTGACCTTAACTTTAGGCTTTGCTGTCTGAACAACCTCTTCTCTTTTTGGAGGGCTTTCTGATGTAGGCCTCCTGCGTTTCTTGGAAGGTCGCGCATTGTCGTCAGGTAGGGACACCACCTTCTCGGCGATCCTTTCCATGGCCGCCTTGCTCACCAGCCGGCAGGCGAAGACAAAACCAAGGTCGTCCTCGAGCTTAGCCATGCCATTTTTAACCACTTGGTTAACTCCTCTCTGCGTCTTAAAGGTTTCAAGCATTGCCTTTATGGTCTGCTCCATGTTTCGAAGCCGGTTTTCAATGTCATTTTCTGCGTCGAGATATTGCTGACGCAGAAGTACCATTCCCGACACTTCCAAATCTAACGCTGTTGTTAGGGATTCCTCCGGCATCCCTTCACCAGACTTAGAGGGTGGTCCACCGTTTCCTTCTCCACTTGTCAAGGGAGATCCCAAAGTCAAGTCTTTTGTACACCTGAAAGATGCAGGTGGAGGGGACGTCTTCACGCCTTTCAATGTTGGCGATCTCTGGACCTTGGAGCTTCGCCCAAAAGGGTCTCGCTCTACTTCCGACTTCTTTTCTTGCTCATTCGAGCTACTTATTAAAGATGTGTTCAGGGTATTTGTTATAAAAGCCATCTTGTGTTTACCAGCGCATCGTGCGGCAAGGGGCGGCCCGGAATAGTCAGGAACGGGTATACCCTCGGGGACAGCGCCCCTACCCCAGTTCCCCGAGGCCCAACCTCCGTTTTCCCAGCACCGGATACCTGACGTGCCGGGGGTCACCCGTCACAATGTAGAGCCCGACCTCTACATCCATGCCGCACTCCCTGACCAAGGACCGAAGTGGCTGGTTTCTCACGACTCACTGAGAATACCCATCGGCAGTGCAGAGCACACATCAACCCCTGCAAACACAACAGGGGCACTCCCAAGGACTCCCAGTGAGAGCGTCGGTCACCCTTTTAGTCGCCTCTTACGACAAGCCCGGGAAGGCTGCGGTTCTATTCTAACCCCGAAACCGCAGGGGGGAGTAGGTCTGAATAGAAACGACCTAAAATAAAACGATAATATCCAATAAAATTCACAGTACACATAATTTAACTTTGGTGTCCTAACATCAAAACTAATCGTCACACCTATCCTTTATATCAATTTCACTGCATTAATTGCTAAATAAATAAGCGTAAACAAAGAAAAGTAAAAACAATAACAGTTTGTGTTTACCAGTGAGAGCGTCGGTCACCCTTTTAGTCGCCTCTTACGACAAGCCCGGGAAGGCTGCGGTTCTATTCTAACCCCGAAACCGCAGGGGGGAGTAGGTCTGAATAGAAACGACCTAAAATAAAACGATAATATCCAATAAAATTCACAGTACACATAATTTAACTTTGGTGTCCTAACATCAAAACTAATCGTCACACCTATCCTTTATATCAATTTCACTGCATTAATTGCTAAATAAATAAGCGTAAACAAAGAAAAGTAAAAACAATAACAGTTTGTTTTGAAACAGCTGTTTGGTTCAAATAACATTCATTTGAAAAAAAGAACTGGTCACATGTAGCAGGAATATAAAAAGTAAACACGCTAGTAAAGCTAATGACGTAATTGTCAATGTTTATTATCCATACCGTTATCAGTTCTATCCTTGATAATTACCCACCCTCAATGAATAAATGTACATCGTAATTTCCCATATTAGTTAATTTAAACTACAATATATTCATAGTTGAAATAAAAGTGATATTTTCACGTTTGGGGGTGAACCACAACTGAACACGATTTCATAAAAGGATGGTTTGTCTAATTGCAGTATCCTAGGTAAATGTTGACGTTGTGTTCAATCTATGTCATCCATCTGTTTATCTTTGTATAAAACCCGGCTGAGGTTGTGGTGGTAATTTAAAATTGTGATTCCTGATTATTCTTGATCTTCTTTTTATGACATCAATATTTCCGGGCCTAATCCAAACAAAGTTAAAGCAGACAAACATTAATTGTAAACAAAAAGCTACCATGAAGAATTAAAACATGTAAACATTGTTATTTTTCTATTCTTTCCTTGGAAAGTGGTCTTTTTTATTAAGACTCGTGTACAGAGCCTCAATTTGTACTGTGGTTTAATTAATTTTGGTCTAAACTATTTTAAACTGTAGTCTAATTATCTCTACTAATCTTACTTATTTCCTATAATCAATGCCAAAATAAGAGTAAATAAAATAACCTCATAGTTCCATAGTTTATTTTTAACCAGCTGTTACTTAAAACAAATTGTATTGCTCTAAAACAAATCAGATTACAAAGATTAAGATTGCTTTAAAAATACTTTGAACATCCTAGTATTTTACTATGTATAATTTAATTAATCTGTCATCCTCTTACAGAAGAACTGAACGTATCAATGATTAGCATTACACATAGTATAAATACGTCAACCCTAAGTATGTCTTTACATTTTTATCCAAATGCTGAATTTGTGACACAAAAGCTGAATGTTTACAGCTGTTATGTTAAGCAAATTATTTTATGCCAAAAGCTAGTTTAGAATCTTAGCGTCGGCTGCTAGACTTTTTAAAAATTAAAACTTAATTTCTAAAAAACTGGGACCCTAAACTAAATTTATGGCTTCGAAATTCCCTAGTTCTCAAAATTATCTTTCTTTCGACACAAAAATCATGAAAATCCGTCGAGTGGTTGATTCAGAATCGTGAAATAAAAAAACACAGTTTCGTTTTAATATTATAGATAATATGTGAAGCAGCTGATTATATTAAAATTGAAATTAATTAATAAATGAGTTGTAAAGATTTATTAGATTTTTTGACAAGGTTAGGTTATATCGTTACTCTATTTTTCTTGTATATAAATGGTGGTGTTCACTACATAACACTTTTTAAAGGTTCAATAAATTTAAGAAAGTATTATATACAGGGATTTTTTTAAACTTGCTTCTGTAGGCTACTTATGTAAGAACTGTAATTGATATAAATATAAAGTTTGCAGGAATCATCTATTGAGGTAGAGGCCACAATTAATGTGAATTTGACGTTAAGTTTCCATTCACCCCGTTCCTCCCCCTACCTTCAGCTTAAAATTTTTAAATTGCAATGACCCCTTGTCATAATTAATTTATCAACTTTTTATTTTGCCTCTATAGTTTTAATACAAGTACGATAATAAAAGTTTAGTTGTCATTTACCTTCAGCTGTAAACACGACTAATTGAAAATAATTAACTGAAAGTCTAAGTACAAATGGATTTAATATCCTTTGATTCCAGATAATGTGTGTGTGAGGTACAGTTACTAAATCTTTTAAAACAATTTTATAGGCACGAAAATACTTTTATTGCAAAAACTAAACAACCCTGGAGGTCACTTCCATGATTTTGGAAGGTTAAACCATAAGCAGTTTGTCCTATGCAATAAAACTTGTACTAACTATTTATTTAAAGTTAGGAGAGATACTCTGACAAAATATTGACTTAAGTTTCATCTGGCTCAGAATGGCTCGCTTTGTTTAACAAACTCCTGTAAAAGATTGTTTTCGGTTGGATTCCACATGGTTACAAGTAGTTGGTGTTGTAGCTAACATCTAATTTGATATGGTGTATTCTTGGTTAGTGTGGTGATATGAACTGGCAGGTCAAAACTTGAACCGAGGCAAGGTGTGTAGATTGAATTTTTAGTTGGCTGATGTTATTTAACATTCTGAGTGTTTCTTCTTGAATGCCTGCATGTAATCGAGCATTATGTTTTTTTCTTTTTTTCAGGATGTCACAAAAAAGGATTCTCATCAGTTGAAATTGGCTAGACTGGAGTGGGAGTTGAAACAGAGGAAGCAGTTGGCAGCTCTGTGCAATGATTTGCAGAAGGAAAAGGAAAAAGTAGCTGTTGGAATAAACAAGAAACAATCACAGTTGGACAACCTGGCTCCCATGCTGAAGGATTTGTTTAATGTGAGTTGAATGAGAAACGTTTAACTAAGAGTAAAGTACTGTAATAGCTTAGATTAAATTTACCCTCAATAGAAGTAGGCCTAAATCCCTCTTGTGGATCAGCAGAAGACAAATTTAAGGTTAGTTTTTATCTAGTTATTCTAGTTTACCTTTTGAAGTTGACCACTTAATCCTTGAAATTTAAACTAACTCTAAAACTATTTTAACTAAATGATACGATCTATTTAATTGCTTGTCTCAAAGCATTATACCAAAGAGTAAAGCATTATTCTTTAAATATACCTTAATAAGAGGTAAATGTTATATTTAAGTTACATACAAGGACAGTCAAATAACCCCAGCATACTTACAATTTTATGAAAGGAGAAGTCTACTTGCATTATTCAAAGTCAAAAGTCAATGACACCATAATATATTTAAGGTATTATACTCATTGATTAAAAATCAATCTTAATCTTTATTTGTCATGAGGCCATTATTCAATTTACTAAACATGAGCAGTAAGGCTCACAGGGAGATGGCCCATGAGTCCTCCCCCAAAATTGATAAAAAAAAGCAAAACTCGTAATTTACAGTAGCCTATTTCAGTTTATTCTAGCTATCGGAAATGTAGTTCTAAGTTTTGAGTAAGCACTGAATAAATATAATAGCAGAAGATGTACCCTTACTGCTATTGCTATTTAATCAGTGCCATTCTGCAAATTGATGAGGTGATTCTAACCAATATATTGCAAGGTCTGGGGAAAAAGTCACATTTCCCTTATTTTTCATTATAGCTAATTCTCTTCAAACCATGTATAGTGCAAATAAAAAACATAACTGTTGTTATGCCCCTAACTTTAAAAAACCGTACCATAAATTACCTGACCCGAGTGTGGCCCAAAAATTATTTCTGGCCCGAACCAAAAATGTTGGAGACCCACAAAATCTTGGTATAACTTCATTTAGGTTTATATGCAATTATCTGTGTGCCCTAATCCATATTCCCTAGTTTCCTATTCTCCACTCATTCATTTTGAGAGAAGGGCTATAGCCTCTTTATCTTCCCCCTTCAAGTGTGCAATTATAATCATGAGAGAACAAGAATTTTGCTGTACCATTTTCAACAAAGGCTTTAGATAATTAATCGTAGTCACTGTAATAAGGTAAGTAGGTTTGCACAATTTAGTTTTCCTGACCATTGAATTTTAATATAAGTTTTAGTATAGGAATATACTAAAACTTGATTTAGAAGAATTGCCTCTTTTTTCAATACTTGGTATGTGATGGTTATAGACATTGTACAACTTAAAGCTTTCATTCATCCCTAGGCTTCCAAGCCAGTCCAGGAGGCCCTAGGTCTACAGTCAGGACCTTCCCCTGCCCAGCAGAGGGTGGCAGAGCAACTCCCTCCCCCGCTCTACTTCCTGTTCGTTCAGGCAGACGCGCTTAGAGAGGCTGGAGGTAGGACTATTTTGATATTATTGAAGTCCTTTACTATTTTTGAAATTTCTCAGGGCTAAGACTATAATATATTTTAAAGGTTCAGAAGATTAAATTTGTTTTGTTTATCAACTATCTAGGGTTTTAATTAAACCACAAGGGGCTTGTAGGGGCAAAAGCCCCTATTTTCGAGCCCTATTTTGAAGACTATAAATTCCATAAACTCGCTATTCCTAATGTAAAATAACAGAAAATGTAGTTAAACAAATATTTTATATAGAATACTTTACTAAAGTAAAACCTCGTGGAACAAAACCTTTTTTTGAAACCAACACTGTCTCTTCTTTCTTTGTCTGAAATGACTACTTTAAGGTCTTCGGATTTTTTGCTCCACTGAAAGCTACATACGCTGGCCATGCGTGAAAACTGGTAATGATAAATAAGAACGTTTGACCCTGGGCTTTATTAATTGTCAGAGCAAATGAAACTGTAATTGGCAATTGCACTCGTGTCATAAGAAATGGCATGTTAGGGTCTGAAGAAATAGGGAGACCTCCTCTGCAAAATGAATTGTGTCACAATAATACAGGTATTGTTCATAAGTCCTAAATTATGGGACAAAACAGTCAAATCATTATGTAACGATCTTCTGAATTACGTTAATAGGTACTTCTTCTTGCGGAATTCTACGAGTATATTCATTATGAGCTCAATTCCTTATTTCTGTTCTGTTACTTTGAACTGTTCCACGTCTTGCAGGCCGTCCCCTGCCATGCACTGTCGCTTGATTTGATTCATTATAAAAATATTTATTAAACAGACAAACGAAAGATAATTCATTTTACCAAGTCATCCATGACACTCAGCAGCTCTGAAAGTTGTAAGTTAATCATTTTTGGATCACTTTAGTGAAAGCAGAATTGAACTAAATTATTTGTTGACTAGTAAACAAACTTCACACACTCTATCAACAGAATTACAAGTAGAATACAAATTATAGCCTAATACATTTTGTAATCACATGTTTAGTGTAAACAAATCAGACATTTTTAAATCCCAATGAATTTTAAATGGAAGATATCTTTTGTTATTTCTCATTTTGTGGTAGATTTGGATATAATCCGCTATTTTTCCTGGAGGACCAAGGCCTTTAATTTGGTCCTCTCCCATCATCCTGCGAGCTGTCAAACTCACAATTTTGATTTTAAAAAATCGCTTACAGACTTAATAATATAGATAGCCTACAAGGTGTCTCCAAACTCTCTACTGACCTTTTAAGATATAATCTATTAAGACCAATTCATTGTTAAACACCAAAAACAAACTAAAATATCACATTAAAAATTTGCAAAAACTCAAAAGTTGTTTTTCACTTTGAAAATGGCTATTTGAATTAAATATAACTATTGTACTCAAATAAAATTAATACAAAGACCTATTTACAAAAAAGTATTTTTTAATAATGCACGCTATGTAGTTTTGCAATTTTTAACTGAAATAACATGAATAAAAACTACATTAGTAAACAAAACTACTTTTGCATAGCGTTATTCAGACAATTTGTTATCATAGAAACAGAACAAAATTTATGAAAATCGGTCCATAAATAAGGGAAAAAGCTCATTTTTAAGATAAAGTGTATCAAACAATACCTGGGTAACATCACTGTTATCGCTTGGAGTGCTGAAACGCTTGTCTGCATCTGTACACTACCTACAGATGGCATACTTTGTCTTCTTCAATAGTATTTTAAGCTATGGTATTTTAAGAGTCTTCTTCACCCCTGCGAGAACACTAAAACATGCCTAGGAACTCCCTTGCTCCAAATGGAATTTATAAAGATTTATTCATTGTTAAAACTATTTTTCCTACAGATAAATGTTGTTTCTAGAGCCCTCATGCCTCATATATCCAAGAAAATCAATTGTACAGTCCAACCTCGGTATAACAAATCTGAAGGGACGGAACTGAATATTCGTTATATCAAGGATTTCTTTGAAACAAGATTCTTTATATTGAGGTTAGGTTTGCAGGGATTTCGCTAAGTCGAGGTTCAGAACCAGCATCAGTCAATATAGGTCGGGATTTGACCTCATTAAAACACAATTAAAGTAGCATAGGCTACAATACTTTACAGCACAGTGTTTACATTGTAAAGTATAACCTCAATTATCCGAGGTAATAAAGGGGGGGGGTCTTTAATATTGAGCAATCATGACATTTCTAATCATTGACCTTGGTACAGGTTACAAACTGTAAGTTTAAAATCACAGCTTACTCTAACCCACCTTAAACCTACCTATCCAAACACTGTATTGTAAAGCAATAAACCACGTAAAGAACGAAACAAAAAAGTATAGAGTTTTGTAAGCTACTGCTCGTGATAGGCCGGTAGGCTACAGTACTGCTTTAAATCACAACAGAGGAATGTCAATACTGTAATAATCATCAAACACAGCATTAGTGTTGCCTTAGTTTAAACAAATCGTATTGAAAATAATAAAAATATTAAATAGGTAAGTCGTTATAAAAGTGTATAATCATAGCCAACTTAAAGATGATAAAAACACTTGTTCTTCTATTCTTTTTCTTTCCTTGGTTTCTCTTCATCGAAAAATTTTACAAGTAACTATTACTTATTACCCAATCACATCTTACTAAACATAACGTCGTCATCAGTCCTCACTGAATGAAATCAGTTCTCAGTTGTAACATAGCGTGCAGTTACGACAGCAGACAGGGATGTGTAAAACAGAGCAGACGAATGTTAGCGCAAGCTTTGACGTCACCTTTCAATTTAATTTGATGAAGAAACTGATTTTTCAAAAATAATAATGGAGGGGGGGGGTTCGTTGTATTGAGGGAAAGACGCAGACAATTCGTTAGGTAGAGGTTAAATTCGCTATGCAGAGGTTCTGACAATGATAAATTTGTTTTATTGAAGTGTCTTATTTCAGTTGGGTTCATGAAAAATTCGTGAAATCAAGGTCGTTGATATGGTTTGTTTGTTATATAGAGGTCAAATATACATTGTGTCTTATGGAGAGTTCTAGGGGATTTAAAAAAAAAATATTATATGAAGGAATTTGTTATATTGAGGCTCGTTGCATCAAGGAGAGACTGTATAAGTTAAAAAAATCTTTAAAATAACGTAAATTGAGTTACTTCTAAACATTGATAGAACTATGTTTTAAACAATATTTTGAGGTAGGCCTATAAGAGCTCTAATATAACTATTCAATCACATTGTTACCAATTTTTCATGAAAATCTGTTAATAAAATGTGTCCTAAATGGGGGACAAAATTGACATGTTTTGTCCCAAAATCCGATTGGCCGACAGGAGGCTACTGCACTACTAGCCTTTTACAAAACTTGGCTCAGGTGGCAGACGAGTCACCAACGCGTCGCGACCGGTCGTTGTCCACACACCACACTTGAGGATAATGGTTTACAGTTTAGTTTTCTGTTCTCAGCAAGCTTTGTTATTTATAAGTAAGGTGCAGGAAATATTGTCCTTGTTGTGCCTGATATCTCATATTTGTTTATTGTGCAGATAATTTCATAACAGTGAAGATAGAAGGAGATGAGGATGAGGTACAACGAATGAAGCAGAGCTTAGAAGAAGCCGTCACTTTTGATGACTCTGACTCTGACAATCAGGAGGTTAGTACAACAAATTGATGTTTGAGGAGATGAATTCCGATTTTATAATGCCTATACAGTTTAAATAAAAACTAATTAAAAGTTACAAAATAATAATGCCAATCCAAACAAAGACTCAAAACATGTTCAATATACTACCTAAGTACCTAATTACTAGGGATGGACGGGATTGAATTTTTAGTTCGGGACGGGATTTTTATTTCCTCCCCAAGGGACGGGACGGGATTTTTTCCTGTGCATAAAAAGAAAGTCTTGAGTAGGCCTATTGCAGTTACTAAACAAGAAAATCAATTTTTACCGTTTGTGGCACTGATCTATAAAAACCAAAAAATTTGGAACAATTTACAGGTACCTATGGAAACTTGTGACTCGGGTCAAAATGACCCCGCGGTCACGTTGTGAATGTCAAAATGACTCGCGGTCACGGCGCGAACGTCAGTATGACTCCGCGGTCACAGCGCGATCATTGGTATGACTCGTGGTCACGGCATGATCGTCGGTATGACTCGCGGTCTCTGCGGGATCGTCAAAATAACTCAAAATCACGGGGTGCCGTTGGTATGACTTGCGGTCACAGGGTGATCGTCGGTATGACTCCACGGTCACAACGCGATCGTCGGTATGACTCCGCGGTCACGGCAACATCGACGTAATGACTTCGCCTCCTGTGTTCGCGGAACTATCATGAACATCTGTCGCGATAGCGACGTCATCGTCACTCGCGAAGTGACAAAATCGCCGACGATCAGCCCAAATCCCGTCCCGAAAAATTCCCGAATCAAATGTAATCCCGTCCCAAAAATCGGGAATATTTTTTCCCCGAAAATTTCTCGAAATTTCGGGACCTGTCCATCCCTACTAATTACCTAAAAAGGAACATTCAGGTGACCATTGATTGAATTCACAGAAGGTATTACAAGTCATTGAAAACTATGATTAATGTAAGAGTTACAGTATTTTACAAATTTTTAGAACCAAAACAAATACTCAAGCATCCTGGCTAGTCTGATCTAATTGGTACCGAACACTGTTTAGACCAGCTGATTGTTCGGATTAGCCTACAAAATTTAAATAGAATATCGATTATCATAGGTAGGGAAACCACAAATAATGAAAAACACAATTGATTCAACTCGGAATAAAATACATTTATTTATTTATTTGAAACAAGTTGAAAAATAAATTGTTAAAAGGTCATTGAACACTATGTTGCTAAAGTCTACTACTGGCTGCAGCTTATTAAAAGACAGGAAAATCAAGTTGAAAACTCTTCGCTTCCATCAATCAGTGTATTTGTTCTCCTTATTTATCCAGTCGCGTTATCACAATCATCACGAAAGTCACTACAATTCGGCAACCAATCTACTTTGCTACTTCACAATTCTCTTTATAAAAAAGAAAAAAATTAAATATGAAAGACAATTTGTTACCAATATAAAGTACTATATATTGATTCTTAGCATAAAAAATACATTTACTGTAGGAATAGTACAAATATGTAGCAGTTTGGACGTCCTCACAAACAAATTAAACACCATTTGTATATAAAATTATATAAAAAACACATAAATACCCCACTGCTGCAGAAAACCTACAGACTAAGCTAATTTCTAATTGCCTTGTTAGATTTTCACTAAAGAATATCCTTTAAATTGACACATTTAAATAACTGTACCAGAGAACTGGGGCATTGCTTGGTGTTTAATTTGCTTGGGAGGACGTCCAAGCCGCTACAGATTTTTGTTAGGCCTACAGAAAATGTATTTTTTATTCGGAACCAATTAATTCTAATGATTAATCTGCTCTTATATTCACATCTCAAAATGTATAAATGTAAATAAATATTTATTAAAAACAGTTCATAAACATTCTGAATATTCTATGATGTCCGATCATTCTAGGACAGTGGTGGGAAGCGACACCATGGCCACAGGAAAAAGTCCAAACAAGACAGGCTTCAGGAGAAGAGGAAAATGTTGTTGATGGCCCATCCTCTGTCTGTCGTGCTGACTGTCTCGCTGAAAGGTAATTATACAACCTAATCTGGTGGTATTGGTTTTTAAGCCAAGTTTTACCACCAACATGCTATCTCTATAAATAAAATATAATATTTTTAAAAACTATATAACTTTTATGTCTGTATTAATTTTTTCCAAAGTAAGTTGGGTTTGGTATCAGATCAAAGTTATGTAAATTCTTTTTCGTATTAGCCATTGCGAAACTTCATAGGGCAAATAGAACTCATCTTAGAGAATATTTTAGATTGGCACACACGCCAAAAAAGGTGAATTTTTACCTTTTTAAAATATGTATATTAAAAAAACTGTCAAAGGTATATTTAAAATACCCCTGCCGCAGTAAACCTGCAGACTAAGCGAATTTCCATTTGCCTGAATAACAGTAGTTGATTTAACGAGTACCAAAATTTGCCGCTACAGGGAGGCTAATTAAGTGTGTTTTTTAGTAAAATATTAATAGCTTACTACAAATAAATAAATTTGCCAAGTTTGATAAAAATATATCCATAAACAAGCAAACTACAACATTTTACAATATTCTCCATAAGAATAACACTTTCTGCAGGTTCTTCCTATTCAGCTCAAGGGCATCTGCCGCTATCGCACCGGTAGGTGTCTGCAGCATTCTCTTTGACTGTATGTTGCCTTCTGTGCTTTCCCAGCTCCTTTGATGTTCTATGCCCATCCACTGGGGAACAGCTCTCCGTGCTGTGTTGTAACCAATACCACATGTCGGCTCTGAACCCAAGAGCAGGCTTTCAGCTCCTTTATGTGCACACTTGTCAGCTCCCTCATTGCCAGCTATACCTTTGTGCCCTAGAACCCAACTAAGGATAGCCTTGTTGTTCTCTCCCAGGGCTTTCATGGCCTGATGACAGTCCCATACTGCCTTAGAGGTCAATTAAAAACTGTCAAGTGCCATTAGCGCTGCTTTGCTGTCCGAGTTCATGTATATAGTCTGGCCTGTCAGACCGCGCTCCAAAAAAGAAGCTGCAACATCTTCTTAAAGCGGAGTGTGGTTTTACTCTTGCACACTCGGACAGGGCAACAACTCTCTCACCGTCCCACACAGAGATGCTTGTGCTCTCCTACTTTCGAGCATATTGCCTACCCACCTCACAACAGTGATTTCCAAATTCATTGATACCAGCTTTGATACAATAGAGCGAGTACTAGTGTTGTAAAAAGCTCCTTCTATATCAAGGAATGCAGCCGCCGCTATTTCCTCGTTTGAGATATCATTTTCAATTTTTCAACCAGCGCATGCAGGGCTGTTTCACATGACTTTTCTTTCTGATAGGCATGTTGGTTCGGGTGCAAAGGACTGGGTGAGGGGGTCTTGCTAATTCCTTAGCTTTGCCATGGGCGCGGCCACACCATGTTACGGCCCTGCTCACAGGTCAACATCAGCTCCACCAGTTCAGTGTTGGAAGTGTTTGTAACTTTGTGATATTGTCTGTACTCCAGATGGTCAGGGGAGCATCAGTCTAGAGTTCTCCTACCTAGTCAGGCTGCACATTGTCACAGTCAAGCCAAAGCTGAAACTGTCCTCACAGGTCAACATCAGCTCCACCAGTTCAGTGTTGGAAGTGTTTGTAACTTTGTGATATTGTCTGTACTCCAGATGGCCAGGGAAGCATCAGTCTAGAGTTCTCCTACCTCGTCAGGCTGCACATTGTCACAGTCAAGCCAAAGCTGAAACTGTCCTCACAGGTCAACATCAGCTCGACCAGTTCAGTGTTGTAAGTGTTTGTAACTTTGTGATATTGTCTGTACTCCAGATGGTCAGGGAAGCATCAGTCTAGAGTTATCCTACCTAGTCAGGCTGCACATTGTCACAGTCAAGCCAAAGCTGAAACTGTCCTCACTGGTCAACATCAGCTCCACCAGTTCAGTGTTGGAAGTGTTTGTAACTTTGTGATATTGTCTGTACTCCAGATGGCCAGGGAAGCATCAGTCTAGAGTTCTCCTACCTAGTCAGGCTGCACATTGTCACAGTCAAGCCAAAGCTGAAACTGTCCTCACAGGTCAACATCAGCTCCACCAGTTCAGTGTAGGAAGTGTTTGTAACTTTGTATATTGTCTGTACTCCAGATGGCCAGGGAAGCATCAGTCTAGAGTTCTCCTACCTAGTCAGGCTGCACATTGTCACAGTCAAGCCAAAGCTGAAACTGTCCTCACAGCTCAACATCAGCTCCACCAGTTCAGTGTTGTAAGTGTTTGTAACTTTGTGATATTGTCTGTACTCCAGATGGCCAGGGAAGCATCAGTCTAGAGTTCTCCTACCTAGTCAGGCTGCACATTGTCACAGTCAAGCCAAAGCTGAAACTGTCCTCACAGGTCAACATCAGCTCCACCAGTTCAGTGTTGTAAGTGTTTGTAACTTTGTGATATTGTCTGTACTCCAGATGGCCAGGGAAGCATCAGTCTAGAGTTCTCCTACCTAGTCAGGCTGCACATTGTCACAGTCAAGCCAAAGCTGAAACTGTCCTCACAGGTCAACATCAGCTCCACCAGTTCAGTGTTGTAAGTGTTTTTAACTTTGTGATATTGTCTGTACTCCAGATGGTCAGGGAAGCATCAGTCTAGAGTTCTCCTACCTAGTCAGGCTGCACATTGTCACAGTCAAGCCAAAGCTGAAACTGTCCTCACAGGTCAACATCAGCTCCACCAGTTCAGTGTTGTAAGTGTTTGTAACTTTGTGATATTGTCTGTACTCCAGATGGTCAGGGAAGCATCAGTCTAGAGTTCTCCTACCTAGTCAGGCTGCACATTGTCACAGTCAAGCCAAAGCTGAAACTGTCCTCACAGGTCAACATCAGCTCGACCAGTTCAGTGTTGTAAGTGTTTGTAACTTTGTGATATTGTCTGTACTCCAGATGGTCAGGGAAGCATCAGTCTAGAGTTCTCCTACCTCGTCAGGCTGCACATTGTCACAGTCAAGCCAAAGCTGAAACTGTCCTCACAGGTCAACATCAGCTCCACCAGTTCAGTGTTGTAAGTGTTTTTAACTTTGTGATATTGTCTGTACTCCAGATGGTCAGGGAAGCATCAGTCTAGAGTTCTCCTACCTCGTCAGGCTGCACATTGTCACAGTCAAGCCAAAGCTGAAACTGTCCTCACAGGTCAACATCAGCTCCACCAGTTCAGTGTTGTAAGTGTTTGTAACTTTGTGATATTGTCTGTACTCCAGATGGTCAGGGAAGCATCAGTCTAGAGTTCTCCTACCTCGTCAGGCTGCACATTGTCACAGTCAAGCCAAAGCTGAAACTGTCCTCACAGGTCAACATCAGCTCCACCAGTTCTGTCAAGTAAGTGGTTTTTTTTTTTAACTGTTAATAAATTGTTGTAAGTATTTTGAGATGAGCTGGTTTACGGGATTAGAAAGATTCCTTCACGGCACATGAACCATGAAAACAAATTCTCTCTATTTTCTCGTACTTGTGTAACTCTAATCTTCTGTGTTAGAAAATACAGACACTTATAGTTTACTTTTCAAATTGTTATGTTTGATTTACCGTTTTAGTTTTTAGTGCCAGAAGAAACCCATTCTTATTAGGTAGGTTAAGTATGCTATCCCAACCACAAACCTTATTAATTATTATACTTCTGATAATTTTGTACTTAACTTTGTTAAGCTGTAAAATACATAAACTATTAGAAATAGGCTTAGCAGGCTATTTTTAGATGTAGGTTAGTTTAATTTCAGACAATACTCCTTCAGATGAATTTCTATGTTCTTTCTATGCTCATATTTGTTTTTGCAGCTCTGTTGAAGAAATGTATGTGATTTCCCCATAAAAGAATGTTTATTTTAAGGAAATCATATAAACTTACTCTTTCTTATTTATTATCATAATCAACTGTAACCTACTACTGTGCCACATATTTTACGTTGAACACTGTTTTAGCAAGCTACTACACAGTGAACACATCTTGACAGAGCTGTTCCCCGAGGACTTTGGCGAAGGCAGCCCCAACACTGCAAACTATTACCAGCTAAAGCTAGTATGTTTTCTTTTATTGTTTACTTTTTTATTATTCATAACTAAACCTACTACTTCTACAAACAATTGTTTTACACAGCAAATTTATAGGCAGAGGGTTAAGCCTACTATACAACTAGGGTACACCAACTGGTAAAAAGCACTTTGTGTCCCTGAGTTGTTTTTTATACACCCATCAAAGTGTTCCACCATCACCTTACCAATCCTTACCGTCCTCACCTTCAAATCATAAATTTACTGCTTTGATTCCAAGAGAGATAGTTTCCTTACCCAGATGCCGTTATTTGTCTTTAGGCTATCAATTAATGGTGCTTGTCGACATAAAACAACACACATAATAACAAGAAAATGGTTTGGACTGTTCCCTCACAAAAAGGTTGAAAATAACCAAGGTTTAAACAAAATAACAAAAATAAATATCATATTTGATAGTTGATAGTCTCAATTATTGTGGAAGCAGGCCAGCTCTATCCCTTAATACAGTATACAAACCAGGGACAAACTTTGATTTCAGGCGGGTATCGACAGTTTTGACAGTAGCGAGCTAGGACTGGCGTATATCTGGGCTCAAAGGATGTGTGGGCTCAACTTTGTCTCTTGTAAGAGCGGAGACGATGACATACAGGCTGGTAAAGCTCTTTTACCTTCACGACAAGTCAGCCAACTGTACCTGCCTAACACCATCTCTGCTATCAAACGCAGGCTCAAAGCTAGAATTGCTTTGTGTCAACAGATACAGCTGCTTGGTGAGTCTTAAATTTATTTTGTGTAAATCTTCTATATTTTTTTTATTTCTGCTTCTTTTTTATTGCTATATTATTTGACTAGGTGATTATTTTTGTCACCAGAAAGATAATTCGTTTTTTTAGAGGTTGCTACTTTTCTCTATTCTGTGTTTTACATATAGTGGTAGTTAGGTTTTAGGGAAATAGTGTAATTGATATAGTGTAGGGTTTCTATCTTGGAGGTCCAGAAATCTCAACATTTTGCCAGTAGATAGTGTGTTTAAGCTATGTGATAGTTATATGACCCATTGGCTAGGATAAGCTATGTGTGATCAGTAACCATGGCAACATTAGTAGCCTGTGATAATCTCGTGTTACATAAGTAACCATGACAACTTGTTGCTCATTTTACATAAGTAACCATGACAACTTGTTGCTCATTTTGCATAAGTAACCATGACAAATTTTTGAATGCGTTGAAGAAGAGTACGACAAAAAAGAAGTACAACCAAGAAAGAATAACAATGTTTTTATGTTGTCATCTTTATCTTCTTTTTATGATCGTTCTTATTATTTTAAGTATTGTCATGTATTTTAGACTTAATTAATGATGAAGCTATTACCGGACATATAAATTTCTTATATGCTCATATAAGAATTAATTAAAGGATAAATTTTGGTTTGTTTGAGCTTAAAGCTTTGGTTTGTTGTTGTTTAAAAATTAATTGAATACGGCTTTTGATTTATTACTCATAACATTAAGAGTAACTACCAGGCCTTAGACAATTGAGTACCGTAAATCAGGCTTGACCCGGACACTTTTTTGCTATTTTTAGGTTATAGCGACTTTGTGTTTTGAATATCGACAATAAAAATATTACCATCTTGAAGAGCGTCTTTCATTTATTATTTCCTTAACCCAGATCTTTCTTTAGATGTTAACATTAATTAAATATAAAATAAAATAAAGTGTCCGGGTCAACCCACCCAATCGGGGTTAAGTCGGACACGTATTTAATGATGCTAAAATCCTGCAAACTAACCTCTCCTGTCCGGCTTTGGACAGTGCTTTGAGTCGTCTGATGTCTTTTAACATATCAATGACGTTTAAAATGTTGTTAGTAAGGTAAGTTAGTCAAGGAACTCTAAAATAACATCACATTTTAAGGGGTTCAATATTTTAAGCATAGATTAAGATAAAATAGGAACCAAAAGCATAAATAAATACATGTGGAGTTGTAATAGTCAATGACAACAGATTAGGATATTGAACAAAACAGTTTAAACAAACAATTAATTATTTATTACGGGTACAGTATATGGTTTTAAAGTTTAAACAAACATATGAAAAATTGACACTAGGCCTACAAAATGGCGTAGAAGCCGTTGTTACCGTACGTTAAGTCTTTAACAAACGTTATATCCAGAAAACGAGTTCTTAAAGGAAAAAGAGACAAGCCTGTCATTTTTGTAGTTAAATTTCGGTGGTTCGAGCCTTCTTTCGATCTGGTCATAGTCTATGAAACACCTGTCTTCTGGATCTGGCCACTTGAAACTGGCTTTCTCCACATTTCGGGCACATCTTACAAACAGTTCCATGGCTTTACCCTCTACAAGGGCCACATAAAACTTTACTGATTTCTTCCCGGGGAACTTTACTAATAGCCAATCGCCGACCTCGGGGTCTTTGAAGACTAAATGTTCGTCGTCCTCTGGCGGATCTTCATTAAATTCGTCTGAGAATTCCTTTAGCGAAAGAAGATCGTCATCAGGGTTTGAGCTCTCCGATTCGTCTTCGATTTGTTTCCGCTTCCTCTGCTTCCTGGGTGGAGACAAGTCAGATGGGAGGTCAGTAGAAGTTGTAGGGATTGCGTTCTCAATCACGTCATCTTGGGATACACTTTTCCCTGGTGTAACATTGAGTCTTTTTTTTGCCTTCCTTCTGCCTGCGCCTGGTGCTTCATATCTGAGCTTTGATAGTAGTTCGATGACGCCTTCTCCAACCAAATTTTTGGCTTTTTCAGTCGGAGTTTCTGGTTGTGTGGTGGTTGGTAGTTTATTTTAAACCACTTGGGCGTCTAATGGTACAATTCCACATGCCTTAAATCCCGCTTGAAGGTTTTTCGCAGCGTTTGAGGAGATCGCAGACATCAGTTCATTCAGGAGGCTTGGAAAATGGTTTTTTGGCAGGTTGGAGAGCCGACGATCGGCATTTAGCTTCCATTTGCAAAGGATGTCCCTCCAGGCACCTTTCAGAGGCCTAAAAAAGGCAACGTCGAGCGGTTGTAACAGATGTGTTGCGTTAGGAGGAAGACAAACAAACAACACGTTGTTTTCACTGCAAAGGTTTATTACCTCTGGTGAAAAATGGGTGGACAGGTTGTCACCGATCATAACCTTGGTGCCCTCTTTGGATCGGGCCCAAGGCAAAACGATGGTCTTAAACCAATCGGTGAATGTGGTCTCATCTATCCACCCACTCTTCGACCGGTTGTATCTGGTCCCATTTGGACCCCCAACGACCCACAAGTCCCACAGACGTTCTGCTTTGTAGCAGACGTAGGGTGGAAGTAGTTCTCCAGTCGCACTGCCGGCGAACATCAGAGAGATTGCACTCTTCGACGAGTTGAGAACCCTCTCCGGGTACTTCGTCCCTCTTTTGAAGATGCACTTTTTGGAACCTGGATCGTCCGTCAGGTTAGTTTCATCATAGTTGATGATGTTTTCAGGTGGGATTTTGTCCAGTGTTTGTGCAAGGTTTTCAAAGTACGTAGTGACACATACTGCATCGATCTGGAAGAAAAAATTGTTTTTAAAAATAAAACTTGAAAAGGTAAGGTACCGTACCAGTAGGCTATTCAAAACAGACATAGGTAGGTTCCGTAGGACCTATGTAAAAATCAAACAAGGCTCGTATAGTCCCACCCCAAAAAATAAGATACAGTAGAGTCCCGCAAACTCGGCATAATGTGGGCTGGAAGGGTGCCGAGTTTATGAAATGCTGGGTTATCGGGAACTAGGGTAAAAAATTAAAACAATAAAATTGTTAAGCCTTTTACCTGTCTTCTTTATTTATATTTATAATACAAGTCAGTATTAAGTCATCAGATACAGTACAACAAATCCTTTTTACAAGTTACGAATGATTTTACTTGAACTGGTTTGAGTCCATGTTGAACTCGGACTCAAAAAATCACTAATTTTCTGAGCTAGGTGATCGCCGAGTTATCCAGACTGCCGTCTTATCGAGTGCCGAGTTTGCGGGACTCTACTGTATTTTTAAAAGCAGTTTGGTGACTTTTCAAAGCAATTTTCAACGTCTATAACTGTGTCTAAAAACCTACCGTCGCATTTCTATTTTAAAATGTACCGGATGTTTTATTTTATATTTTCAGGGACCAAGGGGGGCCTTTGGGCCCTATAGCTCCCCCCCGCTTGTAACCGCCACTGATGATAGCCTAGATTAAAGTAAAAACTATCATAGTTTGTAGACTAGATTTTAGCAAAACATTACCTGGTAGGTCTAGTTAGGTAAGGCCTAGTTAGGTAGGCTTAGTTAGATAGGCCTAGTTAGGTAGGCTTAGTTAGATAGGCCTAGTTAGGTAGGCTTAGTTAGATAGGCCTAGTTAGGTAGGCTTAGTTAGATTGGCCTAGTTAGGTAGGCCTAGTTAGGTAGGCCTAGTTGGGAAGGCCTAGTTATGAATTTTTCTTACCTTTGCTCGTCGAAATGTTATATTTCTGCACATGCGCAGACGAAGATGATGGTTCCTGTTCATAAAGCCATCCACCCAATCCTCACCGGGAAAATTGTCCTTAAATACTTCTACATTCCTTCCATCTTTGTCTAGGTAGAGTTTTGCTAGAAATCTAATCTCTAGTCTTGTAAACGGAAATCCCCATTCCGCCACCTTCTCAATGTGGGCTGCCATCACCTGCTCTTCTTTTGTAGTAAATACTGGCTGCCTTCCGTGGGTGCCTTTATGTTTGCCAGTAACATGGTCGCTTATAGTAGATTTCGGCAAACCATATTTCTCTGCCGCAGCTCTTATGCTCAGTCTCTTTTCTTTCACTTCCTTCACCGCTTCTTCAATTAATTGTAATCTTGAAGCACTCATGATGAATCACAGCGAAAAAACTAATAAACTTTCATAAACTAGGTATCATACAATATGAAGAGTTGGAGACGTAACATAACATAACCAAAACGGGTAGGTTAGGTAGTAAAGAAAGCGCGTAATTTTGGGCGGGAATCCAATGTTCGAGCAGTCGCCGGGCGACAAGCGCTGCCACGGAGTAGACCGCTGGAAGTGTCATACTCTAAACCGGTGAACGTAAAAAGCGCATTATATATATTTATATATACGGAGTATAATATTAAATTGCATCAAATAATGCGGTATTAAATTCTAAATATTTCCATACCAGTTACAACCCGACACGACAATAATTATGAAAACTATACATATAAGTTAGACATGCATATTTCATTTTGGGAAAAAATGAATGTTGGTAGACCTGTTAGTTGACATCAAAAAAGGTTAAATACGTGATTCTAACTGGTGCAGTTGATTCGACTATGTTCTTTTCTGTCTAGTGACGTAGAACCAGGCCATTATTGATGCAGGTTAGTTTACAAATAATGTAGTTTGTAGAAAAGCGCTGTCTGTCCGGGTCAAGACCCCCTGTCCGGGTCTAGCCTGATTTACGGTATTTGACCTTATAAAAAAATTAATTATATTCATTCATAAATAATTAATACAATTTCCATGATTTTTTTTTATGCATTAAAATAAGCTGTAGGGAAATATCCAGGAATTCTTGAATTTCCAGCGGGAAAGTATGAGAATTATATAGGCATTTTTTATCCATCAGTTGTAAGGACACCCTGTATATCCAGAGAGGATGCAATTGAATTATCCTATTGAAGTATGTGCTATGTGTAATTGCATGAAGTTTTATATAGTATGTGGAACTATTACAGAGCATGGTAAGCTGGAGGAGGCGGAGATACGACAGATGTTTCCTCCAAAACTGGTGTCCGGGCTGACACAGTGGACACCACTCAGCTGGGCTCAGTACGAGGCTCTGGGCTTCACATCCAACATGGTGGAACACCACTACGTCACTGAGAGAGATATATTGTACAAGGGTACATTGGTGCGGGGATCTGGTGAGTCACATGTACAGTAGAACACCAACCATCCGAATCACTTAAAGGAAAAAAATTAAATTCTGCCAGAAAAATTTTAGTTTATTGCAGGCAACAAGTCATCTACCTAGCTCAATTGTATTAGGCTTTATATAAAAAAAAATCCTCTATTCCTGTTTTTTACCATCCAGAAAGAGTTAAACCAAGTTAAACTTAAAGGAACACCTTAGAACTCTCAGCATCTTGTATGTCACATAAATGATCACAGTAGATTGATCACAGTAGATCTATCAACAAATAAAGGGAAAAGTGTAATTTTGACAGGAGCACACCTAGTGAGTAACTCATTTAACTTTGTTTGTTTTTTTTATATAAAGTGGCTACATCTGCTCTATATAGATGGGATGTCTACTTCAAGTATCTAGTTGATTTTAAATGTAATACTAGCCAGAAAAACCTTTAAGTACCCCACAGATGTTGTGTTTCACCTATTCAAACATACTATCAGGACCATGTACTTCTCCTCATTCAGTTTGCATAACATTTGTTTGGCTCATGTACTGTCTTGTTGTAGCTCGTTTGACAGTGGCTGTTGCTATCAAGCAGTGCTACCCCCTTCTGCCCCCAGTGTTCACTCTGCAAGCTTCTTACGAGAACAAGACCATTCAGGCCTCTAACAATGACTCCATCAGGGTAGGATATTGTAATTTACTACAGCCACTACATATAATCCTACTTGAATCACAACATGTTTTGCTCTAACAGGTTCTTTCACAAAACAATAAATAACATTGACATCGTCACAGATTATCGCTAAAACTTTGTTTAAAGTTCATTTTTGGTGATGACGAGTTTATGTCATTTAAAGGATTATTGCAGACATTTCCCGACACAATTACATAGGTAAAAAACAAATTTTCATGACGTTTAGAGATCTTAGAACCTGACACCATTTTCAGTTCAGAGAGTACCTACCTTACTTACTTGCTTTCCGTGTTCGGAAATCAGGCTTCACTTTTCCAAAAATTAGCTACCGATATGGCTACATTACACGGTGTGGAAGACCCTAAATCGATTCAGGGTCGAAGTACCAAAATGCAAGACAAACATGCAGAAATGGGGTCTCTTATCAGACGAGGAAAACATCTTGTGTGCGTGTGGTGCTGTTCAGGATCCCGGCCATCTGCTGATCTGTCCATGCCTAGATCAGTCTTGCACATTAGATGATCTTTTACATACAGCACATACATACAATTTTTATATCTAAATAGTCAGTATTTTTTAGGCGTCGCTTATATAGTCCGGGAAAATTGTCTGGTTGTGGACTATGACGTCCCGAGCTCGTGAACCGTCCCTAACTGACACTTTTCTTCAACCTACCTCTGAAGAAGTCCTACATTAAATTAGGACAAAATATCAGTGTTATGTTTTGTGACTTTTTACTGTGTGTCCATTAGTTCCTGGACTCTAACTTTATCAGGCAAGCTAGCTCAACAATTATCTTCTTCTCCAAAAATGTTCTTGTTTTGTTTTAGGTGTTTTTTTACCATAGGACAGAATCAGATTCCAGATCCTGAAACTAGGTAAAAAATCCTTTTCTAACTGTGACGGAAAATGTCTGCAATAATCCCTCAAATAATATTAAAAGCTTATTTATTGCTAGTAATATGTATTTCATATAGGATATAGAGCGGGAGGTGAATGCCTACTTCAAGGAGCTGATAGACAAGACCAAATCTGTCCACAATCTGCTGACAGCCCAAGTGTTGCGTCTTGTCACCAACTTTGACCTTCTCTTGGAGGCTTCCACCAACCAGGACTTCCCACGGGACAAGATATTCATCCAATCCAACAGGTTAGCATTACTTCGTTTAATACCCAAGGTTCAACCAATAAACATATAGAATAAAACTGACCAACAGCTACAAAAATAGAGTTTAATCATGTTTTTACAAACATTATAATCCCAAAAGGTGAGTTTTTTCTGCAGAATGGTGTGTAAAACATCAAAATGATGAGAAAACACAAAGAACTATGTTAAGTGTACTGCATATAACCTTGATTAACCAGAGTAATAGAGGGGTTGAAGGCTCCGGATAACTGAAACCCTGGTCAATCCAACATGGTACTTAATACCAGGGTGTCTACCAGACGGAAAAGTGGGATTTTGAAAGTTTGGAATCAGTTGTGAAAACGTAATGATTTTCTACCGTAGGTTCGTAACTATCCAACTCACAAAATTTGGGATGGGCGGATCCTGAAATGATCTAGATTTTCTCAGTGTTTGATTCGTTCCCATCTTCAGTGACTTCGAAGGCATCGCGAGTGACGATGATGACGTTTCCACGATCTTCAGAAATGTCGCCGGAATTGCGGGTTTACGATGAAATCTCAGAGATTGCGAGAAATGTTCAGAATGATTCCACCAACCTAAGAGACGATGATGATGTCATTGTGATCGCTTTGCACTTGCACTATGACTGCAAGACAAGTCGAAGATGGCGCCATGACCGCAAGACATGTTGAAGATAGCACCGCACATGAGGGACAAGTTTACGATGGTGCCATTGCCGTGGGACATGTTGACGATAATGCCGTGGCCGCGGGACATGTTGACGATAGTGCCGTGCCTGCGAGACATATTGAAGATAGCGCCGTGACTACAGTATATGTTGACGATTGCGTCGCAGAGTGGGACATGTTAACAATGGTTTTGTGATCATGTGAGATGTTTAAGATAGCGCTGTGACCGCAAGCCTTGTTGATGATGGCGCCGTGATTGCAAGAAATCTTTGCGCTGCCAGGAGATTACACTGTGACCACGGGATATGTTGGTCATGGCCCCGTGATCGCAAGATATTTTTATGATTTTTATAATTGTGATCCATGTTGAAGATTGGGGTTGCCGCGACACATGCTGACTTGACACTATGGCGTCATCCAAGATGGAAAAACATAGAAAATGGACTGAGTTAGGATCAGGATTTTTTTATGGAAAAGAAAAGTTGGGAAAATTTTGTGAATTTAATTTCAAAAATCTGGTTGACACCCTAAATAGGGACACAAAAATCCATAAAAAAATACAATAATTCTTATTTGAGCGGAGCAAGTGAAGCTCTTATGCATTTCGCCATACGTAAACTCCTCCTAGATGGCTGAAGCAATTGTTATCAAATTTTGTATGATGAAAAAGACCATATTGGTAAGTGCAAAGACGTATATGATAATAAAAATTTTCTCAGGAATCTGCCCCACGAATTTTATGATATCATTGGTTATGTATTAACTTGACATATAGTATTTTATATAAACTGTTTAATTTAATTTAAAATTGAATTTTATATTTAATTCTAAAATAAATAATAGATGTGTAACTATTTTATACAGCAGATCTAAAGAACAGTATAATATTGACTCGAGGTCACGGCGTGATCGTCTAAATGACCCACGATTGTCGAAATGACCTGCGGTCACGGCGCAATAGTCCAAATGACTCGTGGTCACGGCACGATCGGCAAAATGACTCGAGGTCACGGCACGATCGTCTAAATTACTTGTGGTGACGGCGCAATCGTCCAAATGACTCGTGGTCACGGCGCAATCGTCCAAATGAATCGTGGTCACAGGGCAATCGTCCAAATGACTCGTGGTCACGGCGCTATCGTCGAAATGACTCGAGGTCAAGGCGCGATCGTCGAAATGACCCGCAGTCACGGCGCGATCGTCAAAATGAACTGAGGTCACGGCGAGATCGTCGAAATGACTCGCGGTCACGGCGCGATCGGTGAAATGACTTACGGTCATGGCGCGTTCGTCTAAATGACTTCGCCTCCTGCGTTCATGGAACTATCTTGAACATCTCTTGCGATAGCGGCGTTATCGTCACTCGCAAAGCGGCAAAATCACCAACGATCGGATCAAATCCCGTTCTGAAATTTCCCGAGTAAAATGTAATCCTGTCCCGAAAATCTGGAACATTTTTTCCCCGAAAATTTCTTTAAATTTTGGGACCCGTCCATCCTTATTATTGAGTCATTGATTATTATTTACACTTAGTGTAAGTCTGCTTTTTAGGAGTGGAAAGGGGAAATGAAAATGTTAGGCCTATCTGAGATTGAGGTTTGGGGGCTCCCTGGATTTTGTAAACCATTGATAAGGAAGTTCCCAGTTTAGGGTGTAGTAATATTTTCTTTAAATTGGCTGGTTGTTGGAATGTAGTTGTGGGAGGTTTTTCCAAGAAGTCTTTGGTGTGTGGGGATGCTCTGAGGATTTTGAATCCATCTTTTAGGATTGTGTTTAAGGATTGGAGTCCGTGGTGATAAGTTACAGGTTTTGTCGGGAGTTTCTTTTTTGAGTAGGCCTATCGTTAGTGGTTTCTGATTGTGCAAGACAAATAAGATTTTCAACCAGATTGGCCCGATTATCTCTTTAGTAAGAGAGTTTTTAATTTTGTCATTGAACTTTAAGTTCTATGTCAGAGGAGCAAATTCTTTTGGCTTTCAAGGCTTGACTGTAAGGAATTGAAAGCTTACCAACAAGATAGTCATTATTAATTATATTATGCATATCTAACTACGTAGTCTAAACATATAAAATGAATTTTCAATAAAGAAAATATACCTAGTAACAAACAACCAGTAAACAACAACAACACGCAACATAGCAACCAAAACATTGACCTTTTCTCAAAACGTCTGGAAACAGAAAAACAAAAGTAAGGATATAGAAGCAGACTCTAGGAGAAAGACCCAGTCCAAATCAGACTGAAATTGACAATATAGTTAAAAGACAATAACCATCGATGCATCAAGGCTTGACACCCCAGAGCATGCCTTCACCGTCGATGCATTGATGTTTGAAACTGGGAGGGTTAAAACACTAGGAATAGAAATACAATTTGAACAATACATTTTTTGTTTACTTTTCTTGAGATAGTATAGTTTTATGACATAATTTCAGTGGTATCTTTGACCACAATTGAGTCGCCACCAGGTTGATCCGCCCCCGGTTAATTGAGGTTCTGTATGTTGCAAATATGTTTTTTTTTAATCTTAATGCTATGTAGTTTTATGTGTTAGAGATTTCAAGTACCAAAACAACATATATCAAACAGATTTTCAGGCCTACTGTAGTTTTTTCTTGGATATAAACTCCTAGGTCATGTTATTATAAAATTATTAAATTAATCAAATAGTCATGCGATGATGACAACTCACCAAAATGTGCTGTTTAAACTGTTTAAAGTGAACATCAGTGAAGGATGATGTGATAATCTAGTTACTCGTACTTAACCTAGACTTGAGATTAACTGATTATTTCGCAAGAATAGTTTATTGGAATCCCCATGATTAAGTAAATATAGGTCCAGTTTTGAACAATCAAAAATTAACGGCAGACAACATTCACTAGTTTGGACCTTAAGGCTACTGAAAATATCAAACTTGTTCCAAGGTCAAATTGGAGGCCATTGTCCTTCTAGATAACTTAAATGATTTTGTTTGTTTGCAGGGGTCGAAACAGAGCTTGGCCGTTCAAACAGATGGAACTGAGCAGTGGAGCATTCCACTTCACCCAGAGATAACTTTCCACAATGTGATATTTGTATAATATTGTGTGTTAGTTTACAGATTTGTATTTTAAGTTAGTACTCTAATCCTGTGTCAATAAATAATCTACATATTTCATTGTAAAGTTGTTTTAGTCTGTATCCAAATTTTTGTGGTCTGCTATATAATTTCAATAGCAGAGAACAATCAGTTAACAGTTGTATGTTTCTTATTTGGTTGTAATAATTTAGAAATTGTACCCAGTCTAAGGTTAAGTTTATGGAAGGCTACCTGACCACATGGATAGGACAGGACAGTGGCCTTCTGCCATGCTAGTGAATCCCAGTCACACATGAATGAAACACCAAAAAGTGTAAATGTGATAATAATAAGAAATTTTAATTAATTTGTTATTTGATAAAAAAAAAAAAACAAGATACCATATCATAGTTTAATCCCTGGGCTGGCCAGAAGTTGTTCCAGAAGATTGTCTTCAGCTGATCAATAAGGATGAATAGGATGACGAATCTAAAAGAGAGTAGGTTTAAATGTAGGGTGATATAATTTTTGTGGCATTGCTTACTAGCTAATATATATATACTGTGAAAAGCTGGTGTTATGCTTGACTCATTAAGGCTAGGGCCACACTTGGCGACTTTGTCGCGGCGACTTTTTTTGTCGCGACGACAAAGTCGCTGGGGGTGGCCACACTAGGCGACAAATTCAACCTTTCAGTTTACTTTTTTAACATACCAGTAAAAGTAGAGAGATGTTATATTGTATTTTCAAAATCGTGTCATTGATTATGGAAATAAATTAGGATCTATGACTGTTTTTGTATGTTTTTTTACCACCTTAGAATAAATCAATATTTTTACTATTAATTTCAGTACCATAAGATTTAAGTGAATCTTATTCAAATTAAATCATATCGTTATAGTATTTTCATACGTGCACCGGCGCCTCTTTATATTTCGTACTAGGTCACGTAATAGTTTTAACCATTTGCCTGCAACAAAAGAAATACAATTTTTACTAAATTAATGTGTTAAACTATGTTTTGAAAACCAATGTGGACGTCTACGTCGCCAAATCACATCATGGGATTTATTTCCCATTTAAATAAGATGAATTTAAATGAATGCTTAGGTTTACTGTGACAAATAAGGTAACCTAATGAGGTGTGCTTGTTAATTTAAATTTTGATGGGTATGAAATTAAAAGTATTTATTAAAATATTGTTATAATTAATGAAAATATATCCATAAACAAGCAAACTAAAACAGTTTATTTTTCATCAAAATGGGCATTTTAAATTTATAATTGTTTAAATTATCTCCGTAACCGTTAGGTTTACAACAACGCTTCAATTAACAAAATATTTTTTTTAGCTCAACAAAACAGTTTGGAAGGAAATTGTAAAATCTATGTTTAAGGGTGAAAAATAAGAAAAAAAACAATTTCATACCCCATTAAAGCCCCTTAAACCTCCCATTCCCATGGTCCGATCATTTTGATTTGCGAGCACGTTTGAATTAACGGTTGGTTTTAACATTTGTACCAAATTCCACTAAAATCTCATCATTTTTGCTCGAGTTATCGCGCTAATTGGCACATAGACCTAAATTTATACACTGGTAAATGCATACATATGTACTTATATATACGTATATATGAATTTGAACGGTGGATGTTTTTGCCTCTGGGGACCTCAAAACGAAAAATCAAATCGGTCCCGGGTTTAGGTCTCACCATGCAACCTAAGGTAAATAGCTTATTCCCTATAGCGAAAATTCGCTATAAGGAAGAGAAAACACAGGTATGGAGTGAATTCCCTAAAACTATCGTTTATGTATGGCGTATTTTAATTTTGTAAATTTTTAGTAATATTTTGGATGAACATAGCTTTGGTGAGCTATTGACATTGAAGACGACGCACAACATTTGAAAAATACACGAGGTTTTGGATTCCTGTTATACCAGAAGAGTTAAATCTCATATAACATATCTCATATACAGCACACATGTTAACATGTCAACACTTATTTTGTCGATGACAATATTGGTATTTTAAAAGCATATTTACCATTCAACGATTCAACAAATCCAGTCCATAACTGTACAATATAGATATGAAAATAGAGCATCAAAGGGTGTGTGAGCGAGCCACTTGTCGCCTAGTATGGCCGGTGCCATAAGATAACATGGGGAGCGTATTTGTCGCCGAGACTGAAAAACGCTCCCGGTCGCGTTTGTTTTTCTGTCGCCGGTGGTCGCTGGTCGCGAGTCGCTTAGTGTGGCCGCCTCCATTTAATGTAAAGCTACGCACTTTCATTCATTGACACAGCGACAAAGTCGCCAAGTGTGGCCCTAGCCTAACTGAAAAGGACTGCTGAATGCAATTTCAAACCTTACAAAAGTTATAGATAATTAGACCTCTGTTATTTTAACCACAGCTGTCTGTTTTATAACGACTCATATTGTATAATCTACCTGTTATTTACTTAAGTCTTAACACGTTCCCTACGTTGTATATTTCCCTGCATTATTCCAATGGTGTGTTACGAGATCTATAGGTCTTGTCCGCTAAGATTACCTAGGTGCGATACGAGACCCCGAGATTACGTTGCGCAGTAATCTTTTGCGCATCATAACCTCGCAAAGAAAGGAGAGAGAGCGCTGAGTGTTTGTTTATGTGAATCAGTACAATGTTGACAATCTTCAGCCAGCCCAGGAAGTGAATATGACGTCATTGTACGAGACACCGAGATCTCGTACCGCACAGCTGTAATAGTTCATTATTTATTTGTATTTATTCTTTTCCTACAATAACAAATTAAGAAAAATATGTGTTATCTGTTTATTTACGAATTCCTAATAATCGTAACCGTAGTAAAATATATATGTTATCTTTCTATTATCGCTTGTTCCCTATATTAATGTGTTTCCTTACGACTGATTTTAGGCTAAATAAAATACAAATGAAATATGTGTACAAATTACTGTATTTATTTCGTTATGATTTTGGGGTTGGGCAATGACCTCGAAATCGAGTGCAGGCCACCGTGAGTCGAGTGGGCGGAGGGAAGGGGTGGGTGCAACCAACCGCAAAACCATGATACAAAGTTGTTTATCGGAAATTCCTTGTCCGGTTTGACAATTGTTAAGAACTCATTTTTGTATGATTTAGTAGGGACCAGTAGAAATATTTGATTACCATGATTTGCTTTTATACATAAAAATACATTAACATTGCACAATCGCGATATTATTACGCATCCGTTAGTGCTGTTTCAGAAGATAAACACGTCGATAATTAAAAATAATTTATGTTCCCATAGTTGAAAACAATTATTATGTTAACCCATGGTGGAAGGAAATGTAAACCTATAAAACATTAGATAACTCATATAGATAACCACATAAAAACCCCATTATTCTTTCTCTTTGTTCTTGGATTATTTCTTGGGTTCCCTTCTTTCATCCAAAGGTTGCCATGGTTACTAATAATCACCCCATTAGCCTTATGTGGTGCTTGAAACAACTATTTTTGATCGTAATGAAGTAAAAGTTTATTACTTCAGTGCGTTACGAGATCTATTTATCTTGTTCATTTCATGTTTACTATTTGATACATCAAGAAAAATTCATTAATTATGTACAAGTTTCATTTCTTTACGATAACTGTACGCCGAAATATCGATGTCGTTACTTTGGGAAAGAAGCCAAATTATGGGTCCCGCACTACGGGCTTAGTACGATACGAGACCTCGGGATCTTGTAGCGCAGTGAACGTGTTAACAACTTAATCTTGTATACAAAAGTAAGGCTTTACAGAAAAACCATTTTTTTAGTGGATTTCACTAAAATAAAACTGTGATTTGAAATAGTACAAGTAAGATACATGCTAGGACCTGGTGCCCTTCAAATCAAATCAAAAGATCTTTATTCATATTTGTAAATACATATTTACATGAATAGTGACAAACAATGAACACGAATAATTACATGAATAAGTAGGCTACAATCAACATGATCGGACATTATTGATCACACTACTCCAGGTTGCTGTTTTCAGTGTTTTCTGAATTTTAAGATCTATTATCTGTTCTAAAGTTAAAATACCCCCGCCGCAGCAAACCTGCAGACTAAGCGAATTTCCATTTGACTGATTGGATTTGAACTGAAACGTCTACTTAAAAATATAACATTTATTCTTGATTTAAATAGAATTAGTTTAACAAGTACTTAGGTTTGCTGCATCAGGGAGGGTAAAACTGTTTTTTTTTTTTGTAAATGTGAATAGTTAGTAAGAAATAAAAACATTTTCCAAATTTGATCAAAAATGTTCACAAACAAGCAAACTACAACAGTTTACTTATTCTCCATAAGAATAACATGGGAATTTTAAATTTACAATTTTTTGGAATTTTCTCCGTAACCATTAGGCGCATAATAACGCTTCAATATACTAAATTATTTGTTTTTTTAAGCTCTACAAAATGGTTTGGAAAGAAATTGCTAAATTTTATGTTTTTTGGGTCAAAAATGGGAAAAACCTATTTTTACCCCATAAAAGTAAACCCCGGTTCCCATGGTCCGATCATGTTGGATCGCGAACTCGTTCGAATAAACGTATGTTTACACGTTTGTACCAAATTTCATCAAAATCGGATGATTTTTGCTCGAGTTATCGTGCTGACGGACACACACACACATATATATATATATATAAATATATATATATATATATATATATATATATATATATGAATTTGAACGGATGGTGTTTTTGGCCTCTAGGGACCTCAAAACAAACAAAAAAATCGGTCCCGCGTCCAGGTCTTACCATGAGTACTACGGTAATAGCTTATTCCCTATATGGGAAATTCGCTAAAAGTCATCAAATGAATAAAGTGCCTTCTGTATCAAAAATTCTTTCAACTTCACTTTGTAACCTCTATCATGCTGCATGCTTCTTATGTGATTTGGTATGTGATTTAGGAATCTGATACCGTTTTATGAAGTTTTTCTTTTAAACAGTTGGTATCCCTTACTTTGGTATTTATTATATACATAATATACCCTTGTTGCAGAAAACCTGCAAACTTAGCAAATTAACTAGAAATACAACTGGAGGTAGCACTGGCACGGCAATAACTCTTCTAGAAAATTTAATACGCTGCATTAAAATTTTGTTATGTTGGCACCAACTAGAGGAATTAACCAGCTCATTCCCATTGACTTGTGGCATTATTACAATCCAACAATCCCCTATTCCCCTATCTCCAATGTACTAAGTATAATGTAGGGCAGTGTTTCCCAACCTTTTTCCGTTCAGGGCACACTAACTAGAACAACTTTGGAGTCACGGCACACTTGTCTACAAAATATCATTGGTTAAAATTACATTTAGTAAGTGAATAAAAAATCTTTTTTTCGATTACATCTTACTTCCTATAACCTATTTTTTACTAGTAAATATATATGTGTTTATAATATAAAGGTGGGTTTACCAAGGTAAAAAATATAAAACTCACATTTGTTATCCAACATATGTAGGTACATTATTTAGTGTTTATTAAGTGGAAAGTTTTAAATAATAATAAAACATTGAGCTAGATTAAAATGTTGTATGAATTTACCAATAATGAGTGAGAAATATTAAATAAACCCTATTTTCAGTTCTAGTGGGAAACTTGTGCTTGACGTATGTTTATTAAAAGTTTCTTTCTTGATCAAAAATTGTTTAACTACTTAAAATTTCGCGGCACACCTACAGAGGCCTACTGGCACACCAGTGTGCCGCGGCACACTGGTTGGGAAACACTGATGTAGGGTACTTTTTTAATCTTGTCAGATTTATTCCATACTAGCTGTTGAACCCGTGCTTTGCAACAGGAAGAGGACACGAAATAGAAACATTATGATCTTTACATCTGTTGATAAAATATTTACACATACGTTAGAAACAAAATTTAACTTTTATGGCCTTTATAGGATGTTGTCTTAAATGCAAAAAAAATGTATAGTACTTCACCCTGTTGGTAAACCTCCTAACTTTTTAATGCTATCATAGAACCAACTTGTGTAGTAAAACAGCTGACAAAATGATTTTATTCCTTTTAAGTATGATTACTCATAAGGTTAACATGGGAAACTCCAGAGCCATTGGGGCGGAGCCCGAAAGGACTTTTGAGATAAGAATGTGTCTATATGTTAATCGGGAATGTGAGCTATCTTCACACCAAATTTCAGCCCGATCTGACCAGTATTTTTCGCGTTTACTTGTCACAAACATACATACATACATACATCCAAACTTTCTCATTTATAATATTTGTAGGATTTAAGTAACATTTGATTTATCGTGTACTTAGGTTTTCTGCTACAGGAAAGGAAATAGTATATTTCATTACTAGGACTGAAAGTGGCATTTTCCGTCGCGCGCTCAAGTTTTTCACGTGCGAGGCAAAGCCGAGTATGTGAGAGCTATTTTCATGTAAGAGGCGAAGCCGAGGACGGGAATAATGGAGCAAGTGCCGGATAATAACTTTCAGTACGAGTTATGAACGATACTTTTCATCACAACGCAAAAATACACAAACACAGATTAGCAGACCTCAGTAATATTACAACTATTTTGTTTCTCAATTAATTTGATTGAAAATCAAAATAAAATAAAATCTTCTAAAAGGAAACCTACGTATATTTCTCAATAAATTGTGATTAAACATGAAAATAAAAGAATAAAACAACTTTTAACAATACATACAGCTGATTCAAATCATTAAATTAAACCGTAACAAAACACTAGCCCGCGTAGAGAATAAATGGAGAACTAATTGAGAGCGAGGGAAAGTAAATTTAGAGCGAGGGAAAATCAACTGATTGATTTTCCCTCGCCCAAAATTAAAGCTTGGGAAACGACTACTTTAAACGACTACTTTCATTGATGTCAGCTGTTATCGAAAATAGTTACTTTCGTTACGGAGTGATGAAAAGGTTTTTTTTATGAAAAATGAGAAAAGTTTGGGGCAAAATAATTTGGCCTAATTTCATCAAAATATATCTATAAACAATCAAACTATAAAAGTTTACCAGATATCTGCCATTTTGTATTTTTTACATTTTTACCTTTGGATTGTTCCAACCGATCTTTGTGAAACTTGGTATGTATGTTAAGGTATAAGCGACCCATGTGAGAAAAAAAATTATCTTGGTCCAATTTGAAATTCAAAATGGCGGCCATTTGAAATTTTTAAACTTAAATTACTAAATATGGCTGATTTTATGAAAAAATGTAAGCAAAGCTGCAGACTAAGCGAATTTACCTGGCTGGAATTTTACTAATATATTTCCTAAAAATTGTCAGATTTATCTCCTATTTATTCCCTTTGAGGTCAAACTTTTTCTAATTTTTCGGCGAGCATGGTTTGCTGTTTGAGCAGTCGGGAAAATGGCGCCCGGCGACCTATACTCGCCATTCAACCGCAAAGGGTTAAATAACATTAATTTTAGTGAGTACTTAGGTTTGCTGCTATGGGGAAGATATTGAGGTGTGTTTTATATTGAAATGTTGATAGGTTAGTAGGAAATAAACAAAATTGCCAAATTTGATTAAAATTAAACATAAACAAGCAAACTACAACAGTTTATTTATTCTCCATAAGAATTACATGGAAATTTTAAATTTAAAATGTTTTTAATTATCTCCGTAACCGTTGGGCATACAATAACACTTCAATATACAAAATTATTTCTTTTTATAAGCTCTACAAAATGGTTTGGAGAGAAATTATGAAATTTAGTGTTTTTAGGGTAAAAACGTGACTTTAGTGACTTGTTCACAATACAGTTTTTAAATTGCATGTTCTATCCGAAAACATGATAAAATATAGGGTGTTCCATAAGAAATTTCAAAGTTGGCCGCCATTTTGGAAAATGGTGGCTGAATTTCGAAGAAATAAAATCATATTTTTAACTGCCACAAAAAATTAAGGAATGTCCCCCATTTAAATTTTTCTCTAATTCTTACCGTTTCCGATATCCCAATGGTGGCCTCCTTGAGTTGATCACCCTGTATATATACCGGGTGTCCAAAACCACCCGTACACCCCTTTAAAAACGAGGGAAACGTTTTCTTACAAACAAAAAATAATACAGAACTAGATAAATTGGTCACGGTCTACCAAATGGTGATAGTTTCAAATCCAAAATCACACCGGAAGTGGACTTTTTTAAATGTAAACTACCAATTTTGATCACAGAATCGGATTCTACGTTAAAAAATACATAACTTATGTCTAAAGTGAATTTTACAAGTGAATTTTAAGTTGCATTAAACATTTATCTATTTAATGTTAAAAGTAAGTAGGTACTTTTTTCAAAATTAACTGCTTTTATTATTCTACTACAAGTTATCAGCCCTCATATAAAGTATTTTCAGTCCCACATCAGCCCTGAATTATCAGAGCAACAATGGTCTCTTTGTGTTGTTGAACACCGCTATCCAATACAATCTGTGACCCACTCCTACTCTAACTCCTTTGAAAGAGTAATGAACTTTCTCTGGTTATAAAACATGCAAACTTCCTGCCCATTGCTTTCTCCAGCAGCACTTCTATACTGCAAGGTCCTTCCTTTGCTACACAGGTGACAAGCACACGTTTACTTTACTATCAAAAGGTAAAGTAAACCTTTACCTTTTGAATAGGTAGTTTATTGTTATTTTATTGCAAACTATAATCCAGTTTAGACAAATTTTTCACCTAAGAATTGAAGTTTTTTATTCATAGTTACGGTATGGTATTGTTAATTTAAATTAAAAATTTGATTTATAACATCATTACAATTTTTATTATTATAAGAATCTTAATAATTATTAAATTGACTAATTAAACTATCATTTGCTACATTTTATTAATAATATTATTTTTCAGTTTTATTTTAGGAAAAAATATACTACTATTCAAATAAAAAAAAATAGAATTACTAATCTAGTAATTTTTTTCTTCGCGAGACTAAAAATGATTACAATAATTATATAAAGCTAAATGAATGGAGGATTTTTTTAGGAATTTTAGGATATTCAACTGAATTTTAGAAAATTTATTGGATTTATTAAACTAACACGTTTTTGGAACTAATACACAGGTCCCATAGCATTCTGACCATCTCACAAACACTTTAAATTTACTACAGTGGAAGCTGATGAAAAGAAAGTACTATATTTATATTATTATTAATTATTATTATTATTAATAAAACTATTACTGTATCAGCATTAGAGAATAAAGTTTTTAACTTCACATGTTAGATTAAAGTATTGAAGTTACAATATTATACAGCTAATATTGAATATTAAATGTATGTTAACACAACTGTATGTTAAATGTATGTATGACAAAAATCATATATTTTGTTTCAATGATTTTACTTGGTTATTTGAATTGTCCTAACGAAATCATACTATAGAAATTAATTTAGTGTATAAAATCATCAAGCGAACTACTGTAAGCTACTGTTTAACAAATAATATAAAAAATCAGGAAGATGAGTGACCAGAACGGTGTACCTTTGGAGATCACCCCCGTAGAGGAGGAGTTGAACCGTCAGCTGTTACGGGACTTTACAGGAGAGAGAACAGGGTTCCTTAGAGTTGGACCTCAAGGCTACTTCCTTCCCAGCAAATACGCCAAAGAAGCTAAGAATCTGTACAACTTCCAGCCTCGGTCCACGGATACCTGGGTGGTCACCTTCCCTAGATCAGGTCAGTTGGTACTATTGATAACTTGTATACACTCTTGTTAGTTATTTGACACAGTAGTGATACATAGATGGTAACTTTTACAGAGTTAATTGTGGCACAGTAAAGAACTAGTTGGGATTGATAACTTGATAACTTGTTTATTTTACCTGTGAAGGTTAAAATCGAGGGTGATCCTCGGCAATTAAATTATTTGGATGATTGATCAAACGCCAAAATTAATTTTTCCTTAACATTTTAAGCATTGAAAATGCCACTGGTGTAGAAACACTAAAACATGCATATAAATAAAATGTTTGAAAGGGTGGTGGACGAGGTGGTGTTTTACTTGATGCTGCACAATCAGTTGCAGCGATAGCGGGGGAAGCCCGTAAGCTGGGGAGAGCCAAACAAACCTTGACAAGATTTTACAAGAAATTTTACCGGGAGCCAGACCTGTGACGGGCCTTGCCAAATTGTCCTCTCCTATCAAAACAATAAAGGGTATTATATGAGTATCACCATATGTTTTTTTATGACAAAAATTTTTTTTAACCAGCACAGCGCTATGACAAGTAGTTTACAACAGATGAACTGACACTTGAACGATCAACAGAAATTCTCTACTAACCTAGGTCAAAAAGAAGGTGAATTACAAAATTCTATGAATTTACGTTAACACCAGTAGATTAAACAAATAAAACTTATTAATTTGTGTCAAACTATAACCCCACTGCTATGAGTCATTAGTGGAATGTTCGCAGAAAGATCCACCTTTGTTTGATCTTTGCCTAGCATCCATTCAACCCCCCACCAACACTGCTGTGCCAAGCTCAAGTGCAAGCTAGGTGGAAATACCAGTGATGATGTTTTTAAAGATTACTAGTGGTCCTCCAATGATCGAAAACTCGACCAAAAATATGTCATGTACCCGCATTGAATATTGGATACTGAAGTAGACATTCCATTTATATGGACCAGTTGTCGCCATTTTTTAAATTAAAAACATGTAGTTGTGTGAACCAGTCACAGTATGCGTGTCTAAAATTATATTTTGTATCTTATTTTTTGTTGCTTACAAAGTTGATGAGTCATAACAGTTTGCTATAGCCCTTAATAAGTCATTCCATAAGTTTGAGTTGGTAAAATTCATCATATGTATTCGAGAGAAATTAGTAATTTAGATCAGAGCAATCTTTAGGTGGCTCACTACGACAAATTTAATTTAAAAACTGGCGACAACTTTAACATGGGGATGCAATGTCTAGTTGTAAGTCAAAGGTACAGGCTTCTCTATTTTCACCCCATGCTGTAAATAAAACATGTGATTGTAGTTTCTTACATTTGCTTTGATTTTCTGTTTATATTTTGTTGTTATTTCGTCACCAGAATGGCAACCCATATAGCCCATGTTAATTTTTTTTTTATTTCAAATTCATTTTTTGTGCTTATATTTGAGCCTATTTTAATTTTTAAAGAGATTCTGCACATATACAGAAAAATATCTTTCTAACAGTATGAATAGATTTTCCCTGTGATGCACACAAGCTGAGAAAAAAGGTTTTAAAGAAACATGCTTGCCTACTAATACATAGATTGGGAGAAGGGGGAGCCGATAAACAAACATGCGGAGGGGCGCGCGGGTTCTTTTCGCACCCACTGTGCGTAGTGAGGGGTTGAAAACACAGCAAATCATGCAGCTGATAGGGGTTGGTTATGGATTCTTCACTGTATATTGAGATTTTTAACAAATTTTGGGAAAACTTTCATTTTAAAGGGAAACCCCAATTAAACTATTCCCTAATCTTTAAATTTTGCTGACATGGAGTTGAGAGAGGAATTACACATTTCATTGGTTGGCAATCAGAAGTGTGAGTGTACAACCTCATTATAAGGATTTAAGTACCAGGAGGACCGAGCATTGCTTGGTGGATTATAACAAATTTAAATGATGTTGAATGAATTGCTGCTTAAATTTGTTTTATTGAATGAATGAATGAATGAATGAAATATACGTTTATTTCCACATAATGTATACAGAAAGAAACAAACTTTTTAATACAAAATATAATCACAATTACAAAATATAAACTACGGCTAAGAATAAAAAAGAACATTTCTGTATTAATTAATTTGACGATTTTATGAAATTCAGCAGACATAGGCAGGTGCTGCCTGTGCGTCTGCTGGGTTGCTATTTAATAATTATCAGTAGGTTACCAAATCATAATGGAATTATTATACAAAAGAGATTAAAAAATGAATGACTGTTGCTTAAAGAGTTATTAGTTTAGGGAAAGAGATTTATAAATGCGTTAAAATATAATGATAAACTAGAATAAATACAGTTATGATCAGGGGGGATCTAGACCTATGCCTAGGATTTATGCTGACTCAGGGTGGAGGGGGCAAGGTTCGGGTCAAACGCGCCGGTAAGCAGCTGTGATGATAACGTCGGCCTCGTCTATACCAAGCCTGAAGAGAAATTGTTTGATTCTTAGTTTGAACACATTAATTGAAGGTGATTCGAAAAGATTATCATTGGTAAAATATTTACAGATATTTCGATAGAGTATATTAGAAATATAGAAAGAGTTTGTTTTAGAGAAAGTATAGTTTAAATGAAGTGATGAGATACCTACTCGTGAAGAATAACGGGTACTGTGAGAGTGAGTTATTCCTTGAAATATATTAGTGTGATTTTTAAAGATGTTTATTAATAAGCTTTTAATGAATAACTTTCGAATAGTGAGAATGGACAATTCCTCAAACAGAGCGTCAGTCGGGTATCGTTTACATTTACCAAACCCCACTTTTAATATAGTTTTTTGAGCAACGTTTAAAGGTTCCAGAATACTTTTATAACATCCACCCCATGCAATGATACCAAAAGAAAGCAACGACTGGACATACGCAAAGTATGCCATTTTTAATTCTTTGATTGAAAGTATTTCATTCATCTGTTTAAAAGCAAAAATATATTTCCTAATTTTGTTCCTGAGATAAGTTACATGAATATTCCATTTCAAACGCTCGTCAAAAAATACACCCAAGTATTTGTACGAGTCTACCTTTTCAATGCTTTCGCATAAACATGTAGTACTTTGATAGTTATTACAATTATGAATAATTAAATCAGTTAAATTAAATTCAGTACTTTTATTTATAGAAATTGGCATAAATTTGGTCTTAGATACATTTAACGAAAGAATGTTTTGATTCAACCATCTTTTTACAATCATAAGATCATGCATAGCCTTATCTCGGACCTCGGGCCAAGTCTTTCCCTGAAGGAAAATTAAGGTATCGTCAGCAAATAAAAACATATTACCAAAAATGGTTAGTTTAGAGATGTTATTTATATATAATAAGAATAAAATTGGCCCGAGAGTTGAACCTTGGACCACCCCGTAGTCTACAGGCATTCTACTGCTATTCACACCACATATAGAAACATACTGTGTTCTATTTGAAAGATAACTTTTAAACCAGTTGAGAGCGTTGCCTCTTATTCCCAGTAATTCCATTTTGATTAATAATTTTGCACGATCAACAGAATCAAAGGCTTTTTTAAGGTCAAGGAATATTAACATTGGGTGATTTTTATCAGAGATAGCGCGATTAAGTTCTCTATTTTTATCAAACAAGGCATCTGAAATATTTTTATCTCTACGAAACCCGTACTGACGCTCGCTGAGGATGCCATTTGTTTGAAGATAGGAAACCATTTGATCCTTTACTATTTTTTCGATTATTTTTGCGAAGACACTTAGCAGAGATAAAGGGCGATAATTGTTTTTATTGATGTAATCGTTAGATTTGTGCAAAGGAAATACTTTTGATAACTTATAGCAATCAGGGAAAACTCCAGAGATTATGCTGTGATTGACAATATGAAGTAAGGGATCACATAATACATTGAAGTTGCTTTTCAAGACTACGGCCGAGACACCATCACACCCCGGCGCTGACCCTCCCCGTAAACCGTGAACGTAACGTCGCAAGTCGAGTCCGTTGATCGGTAGTAAGTCAAAGGTGGAGTTCAGTCGAAAGTCATTGTCGTTCAAAACTGGATCATCAGAAGTGTCAATTGAATCAGCCAGCTCCTTCCCAACGTTTGCAAAAAAACTATTAAAATCCCCAGCCACCTCTTCACATAAAGTTGTAGTAAAAACAGAACTGCCAGGAACAGCTTTTTCAATTGGAAAGGAATCCTTTTTATTTATTCTGCCTGACAGCTCATTAATTATCCCCCAGAATTTTTTGGGATTATTATTATATTCATTTAATTTGGATCTGTAATAATTGCGTTTTGTACGTTTTAAGTTACTATTAAGGGTTTGTTTAAAATTGATGAAATGATTTACTAACACATTATTAAAAGGCTGTTTTTTTACTCTTTTGCTAAGTTTGTCTCTAATCCTAATTTGTCTAACCAGGTCTATAGTAATCCAAGGTTTGATTTTATTAAGTCTGGACGGGGAATTTTTCGAGATTTTGGTAGATGATTTAATACAATTTACAACTATTGTATTGAAGTGGCCGGAGCAGAAATTAACGTCTTGATTACAAGTGACAACAGGAGCCCAGTTTGAATGTGTGAGAAGGTGTGAAAGTAGTTGATGGTCAAGATAAGTATGTGTGGGTGTGGAGCATTGTGGAGTGTTGGGTTGTGTAGTGGCAACAGCGATCGTAAGTCCAGTGCTGTAGTGATCCGTCACAGCCGTCTGAATCACAGCAGATTTAATTTCACAAACATTGCTGTATTTAACAAAGATGTGATCCAGACAGCTCGCCGAAACACCAGTAACTCTAGTAGGTTTGTCAATGTACTGAGTAAAACCACACCCGACTAAACAATCTAAGTATTTGTCACTCATTAAGTCTCTTTTCAGTAAGTCTATGTTAATGTCTCCCAAAAAGATGCATGTAAGGTTTTTATTAATCCCAGTAAAGTACCGTTCTATTTCATCAATGAAAATGTCTATATTGCTGTCAAAGGTTCGGTAAGTAGCGAGAATGTGAAAAGATTTGTCATTGAAAGTTAAGTTTAATCCAAGTCCGTAAACATCACCAAGTGTAACTTGTGTGGCAGTAGCAGAATGTCTTTTGTTTATGTAAACAATGACACCGTCGTTTTTGTTGCGCTGTGTGTCAGTCTGAAACAGGTCAAAGCCATCCAAACCGGTTCCCACCCCACCCTCCCCGAGCCAGCATTCAGTCAACACAATTACATCTATACTGTGAATAAAAGAATTTAAGTAGATTAGCAATTCATCAAAATTTTTATTATAGCTACGTATATTTGTATGAAAAATTGAAAAATAATTTCCCCCACCAAGATCATTGCTGTAAAAATTTGTGTATTGAGTTAGAGTATTTAATTCTAAACAGTTAATATTTGATGAACAATCAGCCTCAGCGTCATCACACCGCATCAGCACGTACCTTGCCTACTGTCTGCCAGTTATTACTATTTAAAAATAACACATGTGCCAGTAACCAATGATAACAACAATAATACAAATTAATAGGAACCTACTTCAGTTGAAACGAATTAAGTTACATTCTCATCTATCAATATAGAAGCAGAAAAATTAATGATAATAATTTAGACTTTATAAACTCATTTAAAACAAATAAAATGATACAGTATTACTGATTGATGCCTCTTGGAAGCACAGAAATGAATGAAAGCTATTTACTGCAACCAAAATAATAAACTTCAAAACAAATTACAATGTTTGGTATTAAAAAATATATGTTAAACAATTATTACATTTTGTTACAATGAATGAATGAATTATATTGGAGAGTAAGTGCACCAAGATTATTAATATCAAATGAATGTAAGGTTGACAAATATTATTTTTAATTTAAAAGACTTTTTTATGTTTAGATATAAAGTTGATCTAACACATCCTAAATATAGCTGAGATTTTATGTTTCTGAAATTTTGTCTGTAATTAAAACAAATAATGGAATTATAATCCTATAAATAATTATAAACATTTACAACGATAATACTGCAAAATTATATAAACATACACGTACATATACACATACATATGTATACATATATACACATATATATGCATATATACATACATATACACACACATACATGTACATATATAAGGTATTCATATTAATTGAATTACAGACAAACCAAGAAGCTTTAACTTAATAATCACTTCAACCAAAATGTTGTAAAAGTTAATAATAAGAAATAAATATCGTTTACTAACTGAACTAAATTAATTGAATTCAGATCCTTATGAAAAAATAGATATGATACCCTATATTCAAGTACAATTTACGATGATCAAAAATACCTGCCTATTCACTTTTTGTACTTGTCCAGGTCTTCTTTGCACCAGATCCTGACAGCTTCATCCTTCTCCCCCAACTTGATCAGTATCTTTCCGTTGAAATAACCGGCAAAGTGGATGGTCCCGTTTCGTTGCATCGCACGTGCCTGGCCCAGGAGTCGTTTGTTGTGCGCCGTCAGGTGTTCGTTGACAAATACGTTGTTAGGTGTTAGATTCGGAGAAATGTCAGTTGAGTTCAGATCCCTTCTTCTTCTAGCTGCTGAGAGCCACTTTTCCTTAACTGATCTGGAGACGAATTGTACGATGATCGGTGGGAACGTGTGTTTCTCCGAGAAGAGCCGTAGACGATGCGCGATTGACACATCTTCCCTAATAAAGTCTATGTCAATTGCAGCTGCGAGCTTCTGTAGAACATAGTAGACATTTTCTCCAGAAGTTTCCGGAATGCCTACAACTTCGATGTTAGCACAACGAGAGTGTTGGTCCGCGTCGTTGAGGCGGTCCTGCAGTGACCGGACTTCCTTGATCAGCGTGGCGTTCTCTTGTTCCAGCGCGTCGCACCGAGACTCTGTAGCCTGCTGTTTAACTTCCAGAGAATTAACTTTAACATTTAATGCGTGCATTTCTTCTTTTAAGTTATCCAATTTTTCCACAACACATCCCGTTGCTGCATCTGAGTGTTTCATCAGCTCGGCCTTAAAATTACTAAGGGCATCGATTAGAGTTTTCTTATCCACAATAGCACTACTTGAATCGGTACTACGCTGGGAAGTCGAAGAGGTGTTCTCCTTAGCACAGACCTCACACTTATAGCTCTTAAGTTTACCTTTTGTTGAGCTCTGCAGACCGAGTGGCGTGCACGTGGCGTGGAACTCATGACTACAGTCCGTGCATTTAGCAACTAAATCCTCTTGTTTGAAGTCCACTCTACACTTAAAACACTTTGCTGGCATCTTTAAGTCACCAATCGATAAAATAAAAATATATTGATTAATAAAATAAAAAAATATTGAAAAATTTACATGCACATTGACGAGTTGATGTCTAGATACATGAAAATACAGTTACAGTACATTAATATGAATGATCTAAGCTTAAGCTGCATTATGAGAGCCTGTTTCAATGGGTAAAAACATCTTTATTTTACAATTTGCCGAGAAGCTGTATTCCTCATTCAATGAAATCAAATTTTCAACATAAATGAGGGGGAAATTCACTCCCCTCGGGCTTTCCAACCTAATAAAATCAACTGTGCCGCCGGTTTACTATTACCTACTATTACCCGCTAACTCCAGTTTTAAGGATAGCATCTCATTGTCCTCCAGTCATCTATAAGTATAAAAGAGGATGTTTGTATATTTGTTTGGCAGTGATAAACTCAGACACCGCTGAACCGATTGCCACGAAACTTGGTACATACGTGTAGAATGTCATGGAATAGGTTTATACACCATCAATCTCGTGATCCGTCCAATCGGCTCCGCCCCAGTGGCTCTGGAGTTTCCCATGTTAACCTTATGAGAAATGGAATTAATGAATCTTAACAGCTGTTTCAATTAAACAAGTTGGTTCTGTTCTATGATGTTCAATAGCATTAAAGTTACAAGGATTAGAGTTATGTTTATGTTTATGATTATGTGCAGCACTATTACTTCTTTTACATTTATGACAACAGCTAATTTGCAACCAAAAGGTGAGTGAGCGTAGCGAACGAACTTCAAACTGGAGGCGAGTTCGCGTAGCGAACGAGCTAACCTGAAGGCAAGTGAGCGTAGCGAACGAACTAACCTGAAGGCAAGTCAGCGCAGCAAACGAACTTCAACCAGGACGTGATTGAGCCATGCGAACGAGATCATCTTGAAAATTAAGAAGTTAAACGGGGCAAAGCCCGCGGGTTACAGCTAGTAAATTATAAACTTCTTTGGTTTAAGGTTTGTTTATAATAAACTGTTATAGGCCCCTACAGGGTGACAAAAAAGTCTGGAAACGGTTTAATATCTTTTTAACTAAATCCGTTAGAAAACTCAAGCCTTTCACATCAACTTACATGTATAAAAACTACTTTTTCCAAGAATTATCATTTTGTTACCTCTACCAGGGGACGACCCACGAGGAGTAGGTACATAATCTTTAATGTAAGCATAGCTTGATATGCACATCATTTTAAAGGTCTGGTCAATTGGAGTTTATTGCTGGAAACCGCGTCAAAAAAGGGTTATCCGTTACAAAATGGCGGTTATTTAAAGTTCTTGTCGAATTCACCTGCACAGGCCTTACTATTGGTAATTACTCGTATTAAACATAAGCTTGAGAGCTGAAACTGTATTTTAAAGTCAACTAGCTCATAGACTAATATTATTCAATCTTCAAAACAAATTTAAACGGGTTTCAGATTTCCCGGCTTATGCTGAATATGAGTATTTACCAATACTAAGGCCTCTGCAGGTATATTCCGCAAGAACTTTGGACTGCCGCCATTTTGTAACGGATGAACCTTTTTTGACGCGGTTTCCAGCAATGAACTCCACTTGACCAGACCTTTAAAATGATGTGCATATTATTCTATGCTTACATTAAAGATTATGTACCTACTCCTCATGGGCCGTCCCCTGGTGAAGGTAAAAAAATGGTAATGCTTGCAAAGAGTAGTTTTCCATACATATAAGTTGATGTGAAAAGGTTGAAATTTCTAAAGAATTTAGTTAAAAAGATATCAAGCCGTTTCCAGACTTTTTTGTCACCCTGTATTTATTTATTTTGTTTTACATTTTTTTGTTGATGTTTACGATTTTTGTTGTTATTTTGTTGTCAAAGTAGTACCCACAAGGCAGGCTCATTGTTGTTTGACATACAAGTTCATTTTTTCATGTAATTAGATTCTTGTTGTTTAACTACATGATACACGTTTTAAGCCAGAAATAAATTATTTACAACTTCTGAAGGAAATAGTTCGCGCAATTTTTCAAGATCTTTGTACAAGCAAGCATACATACATACATTCAAGCAAACATTGCTCATATAAAAGTATAGGATTCCAAAATCTTTGAACGATTACAGGAAATGAGTTATTCATTATTCCAATTACAGAAATAATGTATGCCCAATTTCAATTTCAGGCACAACATGGACACAAGAAATGGTGTGGTTAATTGCAAACAAGCTAGATTTTGAAACAGCAAAACAGATCCCCCAAACAGAAAGATTTCCGTTTTTTGAGTAAGTAGACTGATTATTAAGCTTTTAACAAATAGTATTTTAAAGCCTAAATGCTTAGTTATTTTAGGAATTCTTATTGCTTAGGAATTCATTTTTTAATTTTCTTTTAGCTTAGATACATAGTATCGTTTTGGAGTCATCACAGCTCATAAAAAAAAAGGTTAGTTGTATAACCATCAAAGTAAACTTTTTATTGTATATTCAGTTTAAAATAGCAAAGTTTTATTTAAATAAAGGTTTATAAAAAAAGACTGTATAAAAGACAGAGCTATAGTAAAATTTTGAAAGTAAAAAACTTTTCACACAGGTTCAGCTTGTTTCTTCATGATGAAACCAAAGAAGAGTTCATACAAGAGAATGCTTCTGATCCCAAAAAAGTTGAGCTGGTACAACAACTTAGCAAACCAGGATATCAGATTCTGGAGGAGATGTCAGGACCTCGCTTCATCAAGACACATCTGCCATTCAGTCTGCTACCAAAGAATTTGCTACAAGTTGGCTGCAAGGTATGACATAGCATAGATGTATGATAGAGCAGGCTACAATACAGACGGAGAAGGAAGACCAGTAATATTCTCTAAGAATAGATCTAATTTCACCCATCTTCATTATGCAAGGGCATTATCTTTGTTGTCCAAGGAGGAAGGACATAACAAATCACATATAAAATTCAAGGTCATAAAGTAATCTCATCTAAGAAGGTTCTCAAGAAGCACAATAGTGTATATGAATAGCATTGTTTCTATACTTTATTGTTTCTCTTTAGAAATATATTTTCTTGCAAAAAGATTTTGGTTGCATTTTATGACTTTAAAAATTCTTGCTGCCAAAATTGATCAATTTGACTGTTGATTTGCCTAATTTTACTTATAAAAGTTCACATTTTGTAAGTAAAGCTTGTTGAAAGGCTAAGAAATCCTATTCACATAAGAATAAGAAAGCTTTATTTGAAGTTTGCTGTTTTTTTTTTTTTTTTTAGTCCATAAATTCACAAAATGATGCGTTTTAAAGAAAATTTTTTTTTACAAACATGAACATGATCAATATTTTATCTTTAAAAATAGCGTAAATATTCAGTTTCAACTACTTATATTTTAAAAAATTACCCCCTCCCGCAAATAAGGCCTCCCTCCTATTGATGCCAGCTCTAAGGGCCCTTGGAGGACTTTTGCTGGCCATATTTTGTAGATCCGGCCCTGTTTCCAATCAACTTAATCTTCTATAGAATCATTAATCAACTGTAACTGTAAGTACATGTGATACCAGAATTTACAGATGCTACGTCAGAAACGTAACAATTATCTGTCGAACCATCTCCTTTGCCTCTGTTTGACATAGATAGATATGATTTTTGACCAAAATGTGAAAAAATATACTAAAAGAGCCATTAAAATCCATAGTAAAAATTGTAAAGGCACTGGCAGAGCTGAAGATTATTTACCAAATACTAACAATCCATACTACGATAATGCAATTACAATTAAAAAAAATAAGAGAAGCTGTTTCATCAACATACCCATTCCACCTAAAACACCATGTCCTAAAAAAAAATCTGAAACATTGTATCAACCAAAGCTTTTACAGTTGGATAACTTGAGTGAATGTAAAATGTTAGTAGAATCTTCTAACAAAAATAATTCTATAGAAGAACATCAAATTACCTCAGATTGGAAATCTCTCGAGCATAAAATCTCTTGAAAAATTAGGGTTCAAAAGTTATTACGACTTTTGTGATTATATGCTACTCGCCATTGCAACACCTTAGCCAACTCAGCTATCATGCCACCGTCGGCCGAACGGGTTGATTGCCAGTATAAGCACACGACGACACTAGGTGGTAGGTAAGACTCAACATACAGTATTACTTGAGGGTTAGTGGGTGAGCAGTACGACTATCTCGTGGCAAAATACGGTGAGCTCTTATCCAGTAAGGGTTAAATGACTAGTAAGATATGTTTTGATGCTTATACTCTATGTACTTACCAGGTGATCTACGTTGCTAGGAACCCTAAGGATGTTGCTGTCTCCTTCTACCATCTCAACAGACTCATCCGCACTCAGGGCTACAGGGGAGACTTTCCCAAATACTGGGATTACTTTGAGAAAAGCCTCAGTAAGTTAACTATATACAGCACAGTTTATCTTAGTGCCTAGTAACAGGATGGCTCTCAGAACGTTATAGTTTAGTTAAATTTGTGATCTAATGAATGCTGGTTCAGCTGGTTTGTTGAATTTTATTGTTGAATAATATATATTATTCATTCAATGAGTTTTATTGAAGATCAATGGGACAGTTGTGTTACAAGCCAAAAACAGCATTACACCACTTGACCACCAACATTTGACCAAACAAACTTATCACATCTTCCTGGACAGGCTTCAATGGTAACTTTTTGTTGATTGCTTTTAGCGAATTTCTCATATAATGAATAAGCTATTACCATAGATCTCATGGTAAGACCTGGCCCCAAACCGATCTACTTTTTCATTTTGAGGTCCCCATAGATCGAAAACACCATCTGTTTAAATTCATATATATTATTATATATACAGTATACATATATGTGTGTCTGTTAGCGCAATAACTCTACTAAAAATTATACATTTTTTATGAAATTTGGTACAAACTGTAAACCAATCTTTATTCGAACGAGTTAACAACATGATCGGATTATGGGTTAAAAATTGTTTTCCCCATTTTTGGCCCTAAAAACATCAAATTTCACTATTTCTTTCCATACCATTTTGTAGAGCTTAAAAAAAATAAATAATTTAGTACATAGAAACGTAGTTGTATGCCAAACGGTTATAGATAATTTAAAAAAATTGTAAACTTAAAAATCCCATGTTATTCTTACGGAAAATAAATCAACCGTTGTAGGTTGCTCGTTTGTAATCAAATCTGGCAATTTTTTTTTATTTCATACTAAGCTATATAAATACATTTCAATAAAAAAAAAACACATCTCATTACCTTACTTGTATGTAACATCAAACCTAAGTAGGCTTTCCTCATGAAAATTAATGTTATTTAAATATAAAATAAATCCAACAATTTTAAGGGAATATTTTAGTGGATATCCATCCAGGTAAGTGGGAATTTACTTAGTCTGCAGGTTTGCTGCGGCAGGGGTGTTTTACAAAAGTAAAACTTGACAAAACAATATATTCTTCCCCAACATTTCAGACTTGATGTAGAGTGCCATCCGGTGGCTTAACTTCCGTACAGTTGAAAAATAAAGAATATTGTCTCGTCAAGTTTGACACGACCATCGTCAAAACACCTTGAATCTACAAACTTAACAATGTTGGTGAGCCAAATGCTGTAGGGCTAGTTTTGGGTTTGTCACTTAGGATAAAAATACCAAATGTTAACTATCCTCAGTTAGTTGTCAAGTGTTTTCACTGTATGCTAAGATTCTTCTAATCTTAGTTATTATATCTGCATTTTAAGGTGTCCACCGAGATGGTTATTGACAAGGATATAATTAATAGGTCTCTAAGGTTTATACAACTGGGCCCCTCGAAAATTATCTTTAGGTCTGTCCCTGAAGTCAACACATTCCTTGATTCGTTTGGAAAAGCCAATCTTAAGGATGATAACGGTAGATTCTTTCAAATCAGTGTCTCCAGAGACAGGACTGATCGTGAACGCAGACTCCTGAAATCACTCAGCATGTAAAATACCACCTGTAGGCACTCAGGTATTTTACAGTGATAATAGATGCTAACATTTACGGGTAACAATGAAGATCTAATGTTATCTTTCTGAGGTAGGCTATGTTTATAAACACAAATTTGATACTACATATAAAGTGGGAATGATTGTATTTGGTTCCAGACCCATGGACGCCATATTGGTCTCACGTGAATGAGGGATGGCAGCTGCGGAATCACCCCAATGTGCTCTTCCTCTTCTACGAGGAAATGAACAAGGCTAGTGTTGTAGGTTGCATTAAAATCAACAAAAGGGAATAATTTAATATGAATTACAACTGAGTTTTATTTATAAATAAAAATACTTTTTAAAAATGAAACGTTTTTAAATGCACTAAAAGGTAGAAAATAACTTATAAATATGTTAAGAGAATAAATACTTGTAAGATTTAAAACGAAAAACGTGGGGCGCATGCTAATTTGTGATTAACTTCACCTATTGAACTATTATGATCTATTGCATGTGCCCCACATTTTTCGTTTTATGTTTGGCGTAGACCAAGGGAAATATGAAAATTAAATTATATATTATTGCATTGTCATCCATTTGTGAGCTATGTTTTAAGTTTCAAGTATCTAGCTCATCGGGAAGTTAGTATAAAATTGATTGCAAAATTTGTACCGGACAAGAAAGCGAGCTAATAAAAACGTTTTAAAAAAGGATAGTGATGGATATCGTGGATAAAAATTCTAGTGATGGATTTGTATTAAAATTTATCTTTCTGATTCAAAGAATATTACATTTGGAATTGACTCTACCTGATTTATCTAAATCCCCCTATGAACCCCCCCCCCCCCTCCCTGCAACTATTTGTCCAAATTTGGTAAGTTTGGCTGAAATATGTTCAACGGTTATTGCATGATAGTGTTAGAAAGTTTGCATTTAAGTCGATCCCAAAGGCATACATTTTTCAAAATTTATTTCCAACTTAAATCACGATTTTTTGCCGGAGTGTCCTTGTTACAAAGCTCCCAAATCTTGTGAAAGGCCATCACAGAACAACCAAAACACCGTAATAAAAATGTTTTATTTTCAGGATTTGAAGAAGACAATCAATAGAGTTTCGGAATTTCTCAATGGTGAACAACTATCAGTTGAAGACACTGGCAGGTTGGCCAACTTTCTTGACATTTCCAATTTCCGCAAGAATCCTGCAGTTAACTACCAACCACTCAAGGAAGCTGGAATCTTGATTGAAGGAGAAGAAGGATTCATTCGCAAAGGTATGAATTCAATTTACATTGCATTCCGATTTATTTAAACTAATAAAGCTTTGAAAATAAAAAGGATTAAATCGCAAAAGTATGAATTCAATTTACATACATTCAGTTTTATTTAGATTAATAATAAAGTTTTGTAATGTTCTGAAAAACTGATGACAAAGAGCTGATATCAAGGAGTGAATGTTTCTAAAGATGAATCAGCTCTTGTGCATGTCTAAAAGTTTCTTTAGTTGTTCTTATTAGACAAACATAAACTTCACTATTTAATTTTAAAACAAAATGTTTTTAGCCAAGACAAAATAATTTGAGGCATCTCCCTCCATTGTCCTATCATACTTTAACTCATATTTTGGGTTAAAATACGCACTTAGGTGGCGTCCCCATCTCAGTGATTGTTAATATAGGTTTTACAGTATTCATTACTTATTCCAGGAAAGACAGGAGGATGGGTTGAAGAGTTCACCCCAGAGCTCAGCAAACGTGCCGATGAATGGATCAACAATAACCTTAAACTCACAGACATGCGGTTCCCGGGAATGTGCGATGCTTGATTTTTATACAAGTTCTTACTCTTATCTCATGATGAAGTTTTATAGTCAAATTAATTAGAAAATCTGGCATTCTTTCATGTCAACGATATTTTGTTATTCAAACTCTTTTTTTTACTAATGTTTGGCACAGCACAAGGTTTGGTATTCTTATACCGTTTCATTCTGTATTTTTAGAACATGTTCATAACAATATAAAATGAACTGACAACCCTAACATAGGAGGCTACACAATGGATTGAACCTACATAGTAAGATTTGATGATAGTACATCACAATCTCAAGAGTACCAGTTTATGGGGAATACTGCTTCTGATTGAAATTAAATATTTTAAAATAAAAAGTCTGATGAAATATAGTTTTTCTTGTACTGTAGGCATATTCTGTTTTTGAAGAATTTAGGCTTAGAGTTAAAGTGATAAAATCAGTATTATTACTTATTAGTAACTTAGCTACGTCATTACAGTACCGAATTACATTTTAGAACAATGTTTAATTTTGTAAATAAAATTTGTTTACAAAAGTATTGCAAGTTTTTTTGTTTATCTACAAACAACATTGACCAAATCTTTGAGTGAACCAAATATTTAATATACACAACCAAAAGGTGGCTTTGACCTATTATACTTTGAAATCGTCAGTAAAACTTAGTACTTGTTGACACAAAACAAAGATACTTGTCCGAAACAGATAAGAAAAACATTGCTCACATTTCAACCATCAAATTTAACTCTTTAGAAGCTTTTTTAACAAACTAGGATCATTTGTACCTTATCCTGTATATAAATGCTTATGCTTCTATACTATAACTAGGTGAAACCCGTCGAAATCTGTCGAGGTTTCAAGCAAAATCATTTAACTATCAATCAATGATAAATAACTCAATTTTAGCGAATTTCCCTATAGGGAAGTAGCTATTACCATAGGTGGCACGGTAAGACCTAGGCCCGGGACCGATTTACTTTTTCATTTTGATATCCCCAGAGGCCAAAAACACCATTGTTCTAAAATAGAATACAGTAGGGCCTACTGTATATGAAGCTTTGAAGCTAAGTTACTTTCCAATCCCAAGAATTTAATGTTGTCCATACTTAGAATTTATGTGTTCTCGAGTTTGATGATTGGTTTATTTTGATCCCCTAATTCTCGAGTTTGAAAACTAATAAAATTTGTCTTATCTGGATTAAGAAGCAAATTATTATAATTTAAAAAAATATTTAACACTGCTATGGAAGTTGCCTTAAGTTCAATTTCATCGTTTGATTTTGCAGTGATTTTCAAATTAGTATCATCGGCATACAGGCAAAGTTCACTCAAGTCTGAGAGAGTTGGGGAAAGTCTCTAAAGTAACAAATGAATAATAAAGGGCCTAAGATGGACCCCTGAGGCACTCCAAATTTCACATCTCTAATAGAGGATCGGTAATGAACTATAGCTGTTGTTGTTTTGGTGAATTATTTCTACAAACTATTAAATATGGTATAAATTTAAAATAAACACTTCAACAATATTTTCAAATTTTTTTATTTCATGAGGCCTTTTGCCAGCTATGCTGGCATCATCAGACACATCACAAAACTTGTCTGCATAGTCTGATGATTCCAGCATAGCTGGCAAAAGGCCTCATGAAATTAAAATTTTGAAAATATTGTTGAAGTTTTTATTTCAAATTTATATTCATTCCAATTTATTACCAGTTATTCTTGAAGATTGTTAATATGGTATTAATAAGACAATATACGTAATACAACATAGACTCCTTTATTTATAAATCTACACACTAGCATTTATATTTACATCATATTATGTAGACCTACAGAAAATCATAGTACAAAAGATATTCAAATATAAGTAGGGAGTTTAGTAGTGTCCTGCATAAACTTGTTTCAGGCTTTTATCATGATCTTCATTTACTCATCAGGATCGGCCTTACGAGCTAGGAAACGTCTGCAATATAAAGTAATTGTAGGAGTCTTATGCAAATTATCAAAACAATAAGAAAAAACATTATCATTGTCAATTAGTTGAGATGGAGAGGCTAACCCAAAAATGAGTCGGGGTGAGTGTTAGTGTAGAATGAAGTAAGATGATTTCTGTAGCTTTGGCGCGATCTTGTAGTCTTGTTAGTGACTAAGGCCGACATATTCCTTAGACACAGCTGTTAATTAATAGCCCATACAGCTGATGGCAACTAAGGGACCTACAGTTTATGGTGGAATCCGAACCACTTTTTTGCCATGGTATATACGAATTGGTCTAATTATCAGGATAGTACTGCGGATAGTCATATTACTCACTCGTGCGGACATTAATCCACACCAGGGAGTATCGCATCCACAGTGCATGCCTATAAATATCCACAATTCGTGACCTCCTAGTAGCTGGATTACAGGACGACGCCACCCGTCCCAGTCAATAATATTCAGAATATATAATATATTCAGTCAGTGAATAAATATTCAGCACAGTGATAACATACTTTTTCAGGATAGGACAAGAAAAGGATAAATAAAAAATGAATGTAACATCTTAGTAACTAATTAAATTGTACTGTACAGCCAAAAACACTACAGTAGAGACCACAGAAAACCCAAACCCACAGTTAATCCGACATGATATAAACATATATTAAAAACCCATAACATCCATCTAACATTGTATAAACGTGATAACTTACATTTAAAACCATCAAAATACAATTAATTAGTATGGCACAGTCATAATATGTTAGTTAAGCCATTCATTAACCTTGGTTCAGTAATAAAAACTGTACCGTTTAAAATTTGCGTTCTCAAACTTTTACTCAGAGAAAATAAGTGTCAAACACTGTACAGCAATAAATCACGTAAAGAACAGGACAATAGAAAGTCAAGGAAGCTACTGCTACATGCTGTTTCAGGACAGAATAATGTCGATAAAAACATTACATAGCTCATACAAATAATACAAAATCATAGTACCTACTTAATAGCAGTTTACGCTATGATTGCGTAAAGATAGTGCTAACAGCACGAGTAGAAAATTTAAGGTACGAGCCTTGGCAAGTGCCTTAAAAACTTCTACAAGTGTTGTTAAAACTATTTACGTGAGTTGCTTATACTACTTTACCTACGACAGTTTTTTAATTACCAACAATCACTACTCATAGCCTCCAAGAAAGGTTATGTTTACGTTTATAACCTCTCAGTGCCACTGACAGTTATGCAACAAATTGTACCAAACACTAATGCACCACTCATTAACAATTAAATTGGTCTAAACATCTGATTAGTTGACGTTCGAAGCATTACAATTTTACTTCTTCTCTCTCAATCCTTAAACCTCGTTGGTCTGTTACCCGTGTTTTTAAGTAAAACTATGCTGTTATGTAAGTAAACAATGCTGTTAGGCTATGTGAAACTTTTCTATTTTAAGAACTGAAATGAAAAGCTACTTTAAAAAACGATCGTAGGAAAAGATAGTAACAACACTCTAAAAATAAGATAAAGATAACAATTACATAAAACATTACTTATTCTTTCTCTTTGTTCTTCTATCCTTTCTTGAGTTTCTCTTCATCCATACATTCATAAGGAGTAGACGAACAGCTTGACCTTGAAGCTATCGATGATTCTTTGTTATGCTTCAATTTTATTTTTGTCAAATTAACTGTGATGTTTCAAATACAATAATGTGGGGACCTACTACAAGTAAATAATGGACAAACAACATCCATTACCAACAGAACTACTATCCGATCACAAAAAAAAAAAAAAAAAAAACACATCAAGGCACAATCTATAATTTTTTTGCTGTTGTTTTCGTTTTGTCTTTCGGTTGAATATACACATTAGACTAAAGAAACACAATTAATTTGTAACATTTTCTTGGTATTTATCTTGGATACTGAGTTTATGTAACATAATTTTAGAGGAATCTATTGACCACAGTTGATCCGTCCCTGTTTAATCAAGGTTCTATTGTAATTAAAATCATTATAATCAAATTAAACCAATATTATCCATTTAAAAAAAATATTTAAACTCTACTAAGAATATTAGTAGGGTACATTAACCAAATTATGATCTGAAAGTACAGTTAAAGGGATATTCACACACATCAGTTCCAGTAAAAAAAAATATTTATGACTTTTCTTTTGCGCTATCTACACTCATCCGGCACAGTTCTGACTCAGGTACGTAAGTTGCTCTGTCGACGTCCATCAGTAAATTTCAGGTTTCTTCCCACCAATATATTGGAATTGTTAAAAATCCTTAGCACGATAATTTTGAGCCGGATGAACTACGCCAGGTGTCTGATCCAGAATTTAAACAAAGAACAAAACAAAAACTGTCATATTCTTGACAGTAAACTCGTAATAGCCGTAGATCGACTTTATTTACTTTTTAGAACTATGAAACAATACAAATAATGATTTAATTTTTAATAATAATTTATTATAACCTACTATGGTAGGTCGATCATTTAAATATTCAATTCGAACTTCGAACCTATTTAGACATTTTGAATCCAATCGAATATGGCGAGTGTGGAAAGTATCTCAAGTGCAGTGTTGGGGAAGCTACTTTTAAAATGTAGCTAGCTACAACTACTGCTACATTTCCAAAAAAGTAGCTTAGCTACAGCTACAGTTCCGAAAAAGTAGCTAGCTACAACTACAACTACAATGAAATGTAGCTACAGCTACAATTTTAGCTACTTTTCCAAAGACGTTAATTTTTATTCCACGCACATTAGGTAAATGTAAAATTAATTGCAACTACATTTTTATTGAACAAACATTTAAAAAAATGTCAGTATTGTATCTAACATTACTTGGAAAACAAATTATTCCTAGATTGTATTTAATTTGTTGGCATTATAAACCTAACATTACAACAACAGAACCAAATAGTTGGGTGTCCCATCATATTTAGTAATTATTTTTAAATATTGCATTATTTTTAAGCACCTTAAAATGTAATTTTCATTAAGTTCAAAGGACATACAACCAAACTATATTTTAAAAGCTAATTTTATTAATTTAATATAGATTCATTTATAAATGTTTTATATCAACAATTAAGACCAATAAAACTGCAAAAAGATTATTTAAAAATACTTTTTGTGTTACAGAGCCTATAGCCTACTGAAATTGGAGTTTATTGCCTTTCTTTACTTTTAATGTTAAAAACAACATTGCTATAACTTTTAAAGTGATAAATTACTTATTCTACGAATAACACTTTTCAATCTCAAGAAATCGTCCTTTATTGTCATTATTCATAGGGCAAATTATGCTTCAACCTAGTTGGTAGAGAAAACAGTATTCAGCAACTTATCCTGAAATCGGCTTTTAATTTAAACATGATGAAATTTGTAAAGTAAAAATAACATGTAGGCCTACTTGGCTATGTAACAAGTTGGCTATAGTAGGCTTGTTCTTGCAAGGACTAAACAGATATAGGCCTATTCATAATAATTGAACTTGGTATTCGTCTTAAACCATAGCCTCAGTCCTATACAAGAGCTGTTAGCAGGAGCAAACTATGCTATTTTTACTTTCTCCCCCTATACCATAGTATATGGAGAAAGTATTGTTTTCGTCAAAATTTTCGAGTTTGAGTTTTGAGTGGATATATTCGTTTTGGGTCCCCCTGGACCCAAAAAAGTGGTTTTCGAAGTGATGTCTGTGTGTGTGTGTGTGTGTGTGTGTGTGTGTGTGTGTGTGTGTGTGTGTGTGTGTGTGTGTGTGTGTGTGTGTGTGTGTGTGTGTGTGTGTGTGTGTGTGTGTGTGTGTGTGTGTGTCTGTGTGTCTGGATGTGTACAGAGCTAGAGACTACACCTGTGGTCCGATTTCGATGAAATTTGGTATGTAGGTTCTAATCCATGGTATCTCCAGGCGTTTTTTTCATTTTTTTGAAATTTTGATTTTTAATGGGGATTTTCCCATAAAAACCCATAAAAAACCGGAAAAATCGGATTTTCTCAAAAATGGCCCGAACGATTTTGATTAAAATTTAGTATGTTGTAGCCCTTTATATTCTGAACAAAATGGTACAAATCCCTTTTCTGTAAAAATTACGGTTCAAAAGTTATTGTAAATTATGTTATTTCCCCATAAAAACCCCATAAAATAACGGAAAAATCGGATTTCCCAAAATTGGCTCGAACAATTTTGATAAAAATTTAGTATGTTATAGTCCTTTAAATTCTGAACAAAATTGTACAAATCCCATTTCCGTATATTTACTCTCACCGCTTTTATACATGATAAAGGTTGTTTACAAACTTATGGGAGAAAGTATGTGTCAGATTGCTGATACCGTTTATTTCAATGTAAGTTTCATGTTATATGGAGATTTTTTCATTACAATTATCATGTAGTCTAGGCATATCTCAAATCTCATCAGGTAATTTCCTCTTTGCTAATTTAGTAAACCTTTGAAAAATCTTCGTAATCTAACCAAGGAAGGGCTTGTTATGATAAACCACAATCAACAGTTGAAGCAAAGGTTGATAGACCAGCTTTCTCATTATTTCAAGGTGTGTTGGTTTCCATTAAACCCCAAGTTGAAGCATTATCGATATAATAAAGAAACTAAATTGATTACTAATTCCCCCTGTCCTGTCAATCACTTGCAAGCATTCAATTCAATAGCTTCTCTTGTCACCGGTACCGTTTAAACGTCGTCTGCATCTAGCGATTTTATTTTATCTCACAGTAATCATAGAGTAGTAAATTAAGGAAATGAGAGCCAAAAATGTGGATAACACTCATTTAATGGCCTCTATGTCCACACAACGTTGTAATAGGGAAAAAAGCGGTTGCAACCAGCTGTTTGAAGCCAAGAAAGTAGGACTAATTTTTTTGAAAATCTCAGTTTGAAAGAGGTTGTTTCACGTAAGGTTGAGGCTTCGTAAGACCTGAGGTTATGATAAAAATCATTATCTCAAACAAATGTTAATGTAGCGAGAAAAGTAGCTAAAATTCCGCTACAACTACTTTAAAAATGTAGCTAGCTACAGCTAAAGCTACAAAATCTCAAAAGTAGCGTAGCTACAGCTAACGCTACAAAAAAAGTAGCGCGCTATTGTAGCGTCGCTACTTGTAGCGCGCTACTTCCCAACACTGCTCAAGTGTAGCAAAGGCAGTTTCCACTCGCGTTACACATTAAATTTTTCCTATAGTTACTATAAAGCATATAAATAATTAGTCTTTTAAACACTGTACAACACGTTTATAGGTTATGTTAAATCCAAACATTGAACGAAATGGGAAACACTGCACCAACTGATTGTTGTCGTAGGATCTTAAAGTGTTGCCAATCTATTTCCAAGCATACACATATTGTAGCGATTGGTGCTAATTTGAAACAATTGATAGGGTTTGTGACTGCTTGCTGCTGATTGAAACTGGTGGGGTGTGTCTGTAGAATAATGGCAAGGTTGGGTAAATAGGTGAGGATTGAGACATGGTAATATTTAATAGAATAATTGTATGATTGAGGAGTTAGGAAGGGCTGTAACTGTCTTTTAAAGGGAAGGTTTAACCTGAGGTTGATCGTACCCATTGCCGTAAACACTCTAAGCCAGCTTTTAATGAGCTGTGATTTACTAATTTATAACATGAAAATCTCATAACTAAACCCCTACCTGAAAATTCCGTTGACATGAATAACTAATTAATTAACTAACTGTGGAATATGAAAGCCGATTGAAGTAAAGTAATTTGCAAATAAATTAATCGTATTGACAGCAGAGAATAATTGAGCAATTTAGAACCATGTGAATTAGTGACTTGGTTTCAACAAGCTGAATGCTGGTTCCTCTTAAGGAGAAACATACATATTTAATTGTAAAACTACATCCTAAAACCCCTGGTTTCTCCATGGCAACCCCTGACTAAAAATTAACTACATCATGTTGCTAATTCTGACAGCCTAATGTTTTATACTTATATTTAAATACTTATCGACTAAATTATATAGAGAGAAGTCATCCGGATTGTCGATCTTACACTTTACAAGACTGAGAAGGGACGAGAGAGAGGTTTTTGGACTTTTGTCATTTTGCTGCGTTTGGCACTGGTCCAGACTGAAAGTGATTTCAGACAGTATGTTCAGCTTGCGCGCCGGGTACATATATAAACCAGTGACGTGCACGGCACACAGGGATTACGTGCATAATAAAAGAACGGTGTTTTGTGTTGTTTGGTTGGAATACTGGTGTGCGACAAAGTAAGTAAATGCAGCAATTAGCAGCTTTCTGTACTATAATCAGTGCAAGGAAGCCCACTTTGTCAGGTGACTGTAGAAAAAAATAATTACGTAACTTTTAATTGCAAAGAGTAGTAATTTATGGTTACTGTAGTATTTATTTTTAAATGGTACCTATTCTATTCTTGCTTTTTTAATCTGCATAAGCCCATTTGTAATTATTCTTGGGACTCGAGATTCGAAGATTTGAGATTCAAGATTTGATTTTTTAGGATTCGGATTCGAGATTCAAAATTCCTGGATTTGACCATCACTAACTGAAAATAAATTGACAAAAGACTGCCTGAAACCAACTGATGTGTGTGAATTGACCTTCAAAGCGCAGTAACTACTTTGGTTCAATGGATAAAAACTGTTAACCTATTAAACTTCTCATGTATATTACAGCTGGGCAGTAAAATATTTCTAAATAATTAAAATTGCATAGGATTATGAAAGGCTTACAGATACAGGTTTATGAATTTAGGATAACATAATGAATTACTAAACGCAGTTTGGCTGTAATAATTTAAATAATTTATATTCACCTTTTTAACCGACTGTTTCCACAGACAATTTGACTACCACCTGTGTCAAGAAAGTGCTGCGTAGCTCTGCCTCCACCTCCTGAGCTATGCTGCGTATCCGCTTGATCACCATCTTCTCACAGCGTATGTGAGGACAAGTGACCAGCACTACTGCCATCAGTGTACCTGTGTAACACAATGTGTCAAGAATGTACAGCATAACTCTGCCTCCACCTCCTGAGCTGCTGCATGTTATTTTACCTTGATTTTGTAAAATTTTTCATTTTTCCTATAACTGATAAATTTGTAACGGGTCAAATGTGTAGGGGGTAAAATAACGGCTAAACCACGAAACTTAAACAGCTGAATGTAAGCTGTTGTTGTGCCCTAGTCGCGACGCTAAACTGACATCGTACCTAACCTCAAATTCCAAGACCGCAGACGACGTTGGTGTCAGTTTGGTTGTTTGACTGCGTCTGAGGGCGGGCTACGGGAGAAAATAAGAGCAGCTGAGCCACCTTTTGAGTGAGGCGGCTACAAAGCTTGTGGAAGCTGTCATGCGCCTGCCTTCGCCGATACGGGTCTCAGCTGACTTTAATTCTGCTAGCCAATCAACAGGCGAGTTAACCTTCGTCTCGAATCTGGGACGAGGGTGAACGAGAGAAGAAGAAGGATTGTTTTTCTGATTCCCAGCTGAGAGGGATTCGCTCGTTCGTCTTCGTTTTGAAGTGAAGTGATTTGGCGGTGCTTCGTAAATTCAAATTCGCTAAAGTTACGTTTCATCCGTTTTGAAGTTAAATATTTGTACATCGTGTGCACGCAAAATCGTTAAGGGAATATTTTTTGTCGTAGGTAAGTTGTGCAATAAACAACTTAGGTTTACGCATATTATTTCTCCACCAGTTCTGTTTCGACAAAACTTCGCTGAAAGTTTGCAGGCTAGGCCTGATTCGCAGACCTAGTCATACGCAACCAACAATTTGAATAGTTAAGTACTGCAGTTGGTGACATAGCTTTTTAATTAACGTTTCTTAATCCGTCTTGGGACTTTCTTTTTTAATTCTTAAAACCCTTTTTAAAGTTCCCCAAACGTCCCAAAGTTTGTTCCAGCAGACAGGTTTCTGCTGGACAATTTCTGTCGAAGTTGGTTCAAGTTGCACGTGAGAAAGTTAAAAGTTTTAGTTTTTCGTTTTCAGCTCAAGGAGCAGTTTTATTGTTTTAGTTTCAGTTTTTCTCGTTTCGTTTCTCACCTGGACAATTTAAGCAAACTTGTGTTTTTTTTTTGTTTAATAAATTCGGACTCTGTGGGAATTAGGCTAGGCTAGGCCTATCTTGTACTAACCTTGTTTGTTACAGGTTCACGTCTTAACCCCGTAGGTAAGCAGGGTGACTACTAGTTGTCTCGTTGAGTTAGCTAGTAGAGTGTCACATAGATATTTGCCCACAGAGTTAAGTTAAAATTATTAATTTTCCCACAAGCCCCAGACTAGAGTGGTGATTTCAAGTGTGGTGTTTGGTAACCTGCAACGTTCGTCTCGAGCTCTGATAACCAGGGCTATCAAATTTAGGCTATCCAAATCACTATCGAATCCTGGGAAAATCCCCGCGACCAGACTTGGGCGATTCATGGGATCTCGTTTCTCGTATCGGTGGCGTAATTTCCCACCTGTCGCCAGCCAGGAAAATTACGTCACAAATTAAATAGGCTGTACTGATAAATTAAGTAGCTATTCTACCCTTAAAGGAGGTTAAGGAATCACTAGACAAAATCAAGGTAAAAACCCCTCTTATTTATAACTAACAAAAGAAGAAGAAGCATATTTTACCATCTTCCAGTTCATTAAACATCTCCATCCTGACTTGAATGTTGTACGGCAGCTCGTCAGGGAGATAATCCAACAGTTTGGCCTTGACTGTGTCGACAATAACCTTCTCTGGCTTCTGGTCTGTAAACGTATCATCTGAGTAGACCCACCTTCCACGCTGAGCATACTGCATCAGGTATTCCTATGAGACACAAAAGAAATTAACTGTCATCGTAAAGATTAAAATACTGATCCTATCATTTTCAATATAGGCTATAATAATTGTTGTCATCGTTGTACAAAATGAGGTAACAATATTTTTTCTACCAACGCTTTTTGTTAAGGAACAGTTTGAATCCTCGGAAATGCGACTGTTTGGCACCACAAGCTGAAGTATCTTGTGTTACAAATGCACAAAACATAATTTTCCATCAAGATTAGTTTCCCAGTTTAAACTGTGGTTTTTATCTGGTAAACAATTCATTCTTAGGTTCAGTTAGCACTAGTGTATGCTTCATTTCACTAAGATTTCAACTAGGAACAACTTGCGATGGTGTTATTTGAAGTTTCTTAATCAAAGCTTCTTTAAAACTATTTATCTGTTATATCCCGCATAGAGGATGACCATAGTTGAGCTTGATGAGCTAGTTATCTTGACTAGCAGTATGTAACTTAGTATGTATGTATGTATGTATGTATGTATGTATGTACTTAGCCATTTACATAATAGCAACACTATAAATTAAATTAAAGAAAAGTTCTTTTACTCAGTGAATTTTAAATAAATATATTATGTTTTTCAGAGATTGAATATAAAATATCCGTTAGCATTATTTTTTATTCCAACAATTTTTGACTAAACTTGAGATCTGGTCAACCTTTAGTGACACATTTTCATCTACTATGAACCCTTCTTGCTGATGAGCTTAACGCATGTGTACACTCAATAAATGTGTACACTAACTGTAATAAATGTAATCCTACTAATCCTACTAATATTATAAATGAGAAAGTTTGGATGTATGGATGTATGGATGTATGTTTGTGACAAGTGAACGCGAAAAATACTGGTCGGATTGGGCTGAAATTTGGCATGATGATAGCTCACATTCCCAATTAACATATAGGCATGTTCTTATTTCAAAAATCCTTTCGGGCTCCGCCCCAGTGGCTCTGGAGTTTCCCATGTTAACCTTATGAGAAATGGAATTATTGAATCTTAACAGCTGTTTCAATTAAACAAGTTGGTTCTGTTCTATGATGTTCAATAGCATTAAAGTTACAAGGATTACCAACAGGGTGCAGCACTATTATTTCTTTTACATTTATGACAACAGCTAATTTGCAACCAAAAGGCGAGTGAGCGCAGCGAACGAACTTCAACCTGGAGGCGAGTTAGCGTAGCGAACGAGCTAACCTGAAGGCAAGTGAGCGCAGCGAACGAGCTCCAACCTAAAGGTGAGTGAGCGTAGCGAACGAGCTCCAACCTAAAGGTGAGTGAGCGTAGCGAACAAACTTCAACCAGGACATGATTGAGCCATGCGAACGAGATAATCTTAAAAAAATTAAGAAGTTAAACGGGGCAAAGCCCGCGGGTTACAGCTAGTAATCTAATAAATGTAATAATGTGTACACTAACTCAATTTTAATTCAATTTAAAATTTCAATTTCTTTAATTTTCTTAACTTTACCAGTTCTGAAACCCTGAAACATATTTCAATTCATATTTCTCAAGCTTCCTGAACTTGGTAATTCTACCCATTATTTCCTGTTTTCAATACTCAATCTCCGTAGCTGTTATTCCTAATCATCATTTCCTGTTTACAATATTTTCCAATGATCAGACAGTCTGGGCTAGTTCCCAAAAATAAGTGCAAACTACGCATGTGTTTTCCGGTGACAGTGACAGAGAATATGCCAATAAACTTCTGGAAGTCTCTACACGTGGACTCACAAAAACCAATCAGGTGAAAGAAGACCCTGGTTGTATGACGTTTCACCACCCGATTGGCGGAGAGGTTCCGGCAACTGTGGCGACCCTCTAGATTATCTTTCGATGAAGTGTTGCGCGCGTGTGTTGTGTATGTGTTTAAGTTTAGCTCCCATAGCCTGTTGTCACTTTAGTGGCAGAAGTTAGGTTGTGCAAACATCAAGTGAAATATGTATTTATCAATTTAAATCCATTTGTAACCATAATTTTTTGTAATTCTAAATCTGCTTGCTCAATCACAAAATAATTAAAAGAAAATGTTTTAAACATTTGATTCTCTCTCCCTAGAGAGAAATTTTTAAATTTAATTTCAAATTTACTACATATACTTTTATAATTCTAATTTATACTTTCATTTATTATTTTATTTTTCCATGCACTCCATCTCCCTAATCACCAGGCCTTCAATCTTTTGATCTTAGCTTTAAGTTCTTTCTTTTAAAATACCCCTTCTCTGCTGTTCATTTGCCATTTTTATTTCATTGTATTTACAAATTTTGTTTGTTCAATCTGTAGGTACTCATTGTTTCTGTAATTTGAAATTTTACTCTTAATTTCTTTATTTCATCCCTCTTATAACAGAATGCCATTGTTTCACTGTTCCTGTACCTCAAACTAATGTCAAGCGAGTTCAGTCAAATCAAATTAAAAGCATATATTAACTTGCAAGCTTTATTTCATCCCTCTTATAACAGAATGCCATTGTTTTACTGTTCCTGTACCTCAAACTAATGTCAAGCGAGTTCAGTCAAATCAAATTAAAAGCATATATTAACTTGCAAGCTCCGGCTTGAATATGGTGAACGGCTGTGCTAACTCTTCGTCTGCTCCGTGTAATTTGTGTAAAAAGCTGATAAAGAAGGGTAGTCGTGGTATTTATTGCGATGGATTGTGTGACGGATGGTATCATCCTACGTGTGTTAACATCGAGGATGACTGCTATGACAAAATAACGGAGTTATCGGACATTGTTAAGTGGTACTGCAATGCATGTGCTGGGAAGGTTGACAAGGTGATTGCCAGTGCTCCAATTCTTGACGAACTTTTCAGTCTACTTGGATGTGTAGACAAGTTAGTAACTTCTGTGAGCAGCTTATTGCAGGACAATATTAACATCAAAAAGTCAATTAACGATTTATCGATTACTAACAAAAGGTTATGTAAACGTCTAAATGAAGTAATGAAACCGGATACTGACGAAGTCAAGAGTACGACGAGTTATCCGAAAGAAACTGACTTGACCTCGGCAGTAGTTGTCAGCTCTGAGGTGCACCAGACGAAGCTGCAGACGAAAAAAGGCGATAACCTCAATCGTGGTGGTGAAACGGGATCTCATGCACTGGGTGAAATGATCAACATCAACAGTGAGTGTGAAGATGTCAACACTGACTATGATGAGCATTTCCCTTCAATTGAAACTTCAAATAGTAAGCTGGCTTGGAAAACTGTTCCTAGTAGGCAAGATCGTAAACGCAAGAGTGTAAAAAAAAGGCTGAGTGATCCTATCATCGGCACTAAAGTTGATACTGGTGATTCGCTAAAGGTTCGAATCTTTGAGAAGAAGGAGTGGATATTTGTCTCCAGATTCACCGAAGAAGTGAGCAAAGAAGACATTCTGCAATATACAAGGAAAAGTAACATTGAGGTAGACTGTGTGGAATTGAAAACGAAACATAGCTCGTACAGGTCGTTTAAGATAGGTGTTAAACCTGAGGATTTCACCAAGATCTTGGACGGTGCTTTCTGGCCTCAAGGAACTCTAGTTCGGGAGTTTGTGGTTAATCGGTTTAGGCCTAACTTTTTGAGGTCTCAGACTTTTTTACCGAGAAACCAAGTCAACCCAGCGATATCCTAGACACTGTCCCTAGTGACGTTGCTCTTAACCTGTGCACAATCAATGTACAGTGTTTAAGGAATAAAACTATTGAGTTGGAATTACTCTGTGCCGATAATAGTCTTGACGTTTTGGTGGTGTCCGAACACTGGTTAGTGTCTGTAGAAGTTCAGTGTTACAGCAACATTGGTGAACTCGGTCTTGCCTCTCATTTTTGCAGGAAAAATCCTAGTGGCGGTGTCGCCATATATGTTAAGCCTGGTGTACAGGTTTGGATCTAAGCAACTACTGTGAAGAGTTTGAGGGTGAGTTTGCTGCAGTTTTGATGCATGATTTTTATCTTATCGTAGTAGCCATGTATCGATCCCCTAGTGGTTCTGTTCAACGATTCTTTTCCCTTTTGGAACTGTGTTTGACATTTTTAATTACCTTTAATCTATCGATAGTTATTGGCACGGACCATAATATAGACTTATTGAAGCATAATAATGATTCTGTAGACTTTTTGAATACTCTACGTAGCTTTGGATTGTACAGCAGTGTTTTAGTCCCTACAAGGAACAATGCTTCTTTGGACTCCTTTCTCACTAATTTAAACTCATGGGAGTATGATGTAGTTGTCAGTGATGAACAGATAGCTGACCATAAGCATGTTCTCTTAATGCTTAAGTCCCGTAACATTTTAAAACGTTCGCCTAAACTGGTAACTTTTAGACTCTCTAATGATTTTAGAATGAATCTTTTTATTAATGACGTGGCAAACCATGTGCCAATATGGTTCAATGATGTATGTGCGCTTCCAGCGGAGGTGGCCTTTACGGATTTCTTTTTGAAATTTAAGGATACATTTGATCTGCACTTTCCTCTAATTCAAAAGACTATACCGGTAAGCCCTGTTGGCAGTACATTGTCAAGTGTGAATAGGCCTAATAAACTTAAAAATTGGTACTCTACAGAGCTTGCCAATTTCAAACAATATATTTTGTCTGTGCGTGACTTGACCAAGTCAGATCCGTCCATGCTCCCTCATCTGCAGGGTTTGAGAAAGGAATATCGTAGGCGGCTGCGAGTGGCGAAACAGTCTGCGGCTGCTGACATGGTAGCAAGGGCTGCCAACCCTTGCAAGGCAGCGTGGGGTCTTATTAACCGGAGCAGGTCCAGTCCCAGAAGTGATGATGAGACCGACTTCGCTTCTGCGGAGGATTTCAACTTGTTTTTCCTCGACTCTGTAGACAATATCGTGAGTGGTATTTTAGGAAATAAGGTGGATTATTTAAATAGTATTCCTATACCACAAGTAGGCTTTGAGTGGATGATGGTTACACCCACTGATGTTGTAAATATTGTAAATAGTTTTAAACCATCATGTAGTAAGGATGTGTTTGATATGTCCACTGAGTTTTTGAAAAAAATTGTACCTTATATTGCCGCAATACTAGCTCATCTATTCAATTGCTGTCTATTAGAAGGGGTTTTTCCGGAAGTCCTAAAAAGGGCAAGGACTGTACCTGTGTACAAAAAGGGGCCCAGAAATAGCATGGCTAGTTATACACCTGTATCTCTGTTACCAGTTTTTAGTATGATCCTTGAGGGTTTAATGTTAAACCAGTTGTATGGCCATTTTGAGTTGCATGGTCTCCTTGTTCCGGCACAGCATGGTTTTCGGAGAGGTTTTTCCACAGTCACCGCTGTGGACTCCCTCATACAGGTTGTTTTGGACACTTTCGAGAGGCAGTCTTCTACTGCTGTTCTCTTGTGTGACTTATCTCGCGCCTTTGATTGTATGTCGCATAATATTCTTTTAAATAAACTTGAGAGACTCGGACTGGGGGAGTTTGCACTCAGGGTGGTCCGTTCATATCTTGAAGACAGGTCTCAGGTGGTAAGCTGGGCTGGTAACCATTCCAGTGACCATCAAGTGAAGCATGGGGTCCCTCAGGGCTCGATACTTGGGCCTTTCCTATTTATTGTGGCCATGAATGACATTTATTACAATGTGTCAAATGATGTGCTGCTATACGCAGATGACACAACCCTGTTTGCTAGTGATTCAGATCCTGTAGTTGCTAAACTAGCTGTAAATAGAATGTTTAATACTGCCACTGATTGGTTCTCGGGCAATAGACTAGCTCTTAACCAAGGGAAAACACAGGAAATCCTTTTCAGTCTTAGTAAGAATGTGGATAAGCAAGAGGCAGTAAAATTGTTGGGTTTCACCCTTGACTCTGAGCTTGGGTGGAGTGACCACATTGAGGTACTGTGCACTAAGTTAAATAGAGTAACGTGTCTGCTTCGTAAGCTCTCATACGAGATGCCCTTTGATTTTGTAAGACTTGCTTTTTTTGCTTTTTTTCAGGCTCATGTTGTTTATGGAACTAGGCTATGGGGCCACTCCCCCCAGGCTCAGAAGATTCTGTTGCTACAGAAGAAGGCAGTCAGGGTAATCTGTAGGACTGAGTATCAGGCTCATTGTAAACCTTTGTTTTGTGAGTTGCAGATTATGACTGTTGTCAACGTTTATATTTTTCAGTGTCTCATGGCCATTAAAGAATCAGAAAACACACTCGCTCGAAATTCAGATGTACACCAGTATAAGACTAGATTCTGTAACAATATTCACAGTTATAATAGAGTTATAATAGACTAAGTAAAACCCAACAATGCTTCCCTGTTACAGGTATCAATCTCTTCAACTCTCTACCAGATCAAGTGAAATCTCTTCCAAATTCAAAATTTAAAATTATCCTGAAGAAGTGGCTATTGGCAAACCCTTTATATAAAATAGAAGATTTTTATGTTGCAATGAAGCATGGCCCATTTATTGTACTTTAGAATAGGAATCTGGAAGGTATACTATTTATTTATTTATTTATTTGCTTGCTTGTGCACCTGCATGGTTTTGCTGATTTGTTTTGTAGTCTTTAGTTTTTATTGCAGCTTTCTGTACTGTTTATTTTGGCTGTTTTTTTGACAATGCCTATTGTATTATTGTATACTGAATGGCTAATAAAATCATTTATCATTTATATATCATTTATCATTTACACATACCTTAAAATCATATTACTTATGGTACTACATGTGTGTACATTGACTGAAAAAAAAAACTGTTGTAGAAACATTTTCTAAACAGCTATTGGACATTGGGAAAGGCAAAACTGAAATAGACTAAACCACAAAAGAGATTTTGTTTTCTTCAAAATTATGTAAACTGCAACCAAATATTCAATCTGTTGTAGAAAATGCACTCCCAGACTGATTGCGAACGTGCAATTTTGGCCCCTAAAAATTATGATGTTAACAAGCCAAATCAGCAAATTCAATTGAAATTGCCAGGAGAGTTAGTAGAATATAGATCAATTGACACAGTAATGGATGAGGAGCAGGTTGTCAACCATCCCATCGAATTTCTAAACTCAACAGAGCCACCAGGATTGCCACACCACTTACTATCATTAAAAGAAGGAACTCCAATAATACTAATGAAAAACTTAAATCCACCCAAGCTGTGCAACGGGACCTGACTGACGATTAAAAAAAATGACACGAAACTTGATGGAAGCAACAATCAGTGGTAAGTTCAAAGGAGAAATAGTCTTAATCCCAAGAATACCGATGAATTCATCCGAATTACCTTTTGAATTCAAGCGACTACAATTTCCTTTGCGTCTTGTTTTCGTAATCACCATTAACAAGGCACAAGGGCATCCCAGACTGTCACTGGTTTAAATTTAGAAAATGCATGCTTTTCACACGGACAGATATACATTGCATGCTCACGTACGCCTAAAACTTGTATATTTACACCTAATGAAAATACAAAAAACCATTTACTATCCACTGGCATTAAAGTAAAATAAAATATTCTATTTTTGTTCTTGATATATTTTTTATTATTTATAGTAAACAACAGATTACCATTTAAAATAATAGTTGTTAAGCGCTGCAACGTGCGCTGGGTAACGCTAGTAGTTTATAAATAGTAAAAGAAATATATTTTCCTTTTAAAAAATAAAACCAATACATTTTTCCCATAAAATCTAGAGATATTTTATAAAAAAGAATGTACTTAACTACTTACACTACTTAATAAATAAATAACCAATTTAAATTTTAAAACTAATGAATTTTGGAAAATGATTTATTTTGTACAAATTGAATTATTTAATTAATACCCATCTTCATGACCAAGCATCTTTTAAATAGGTAATTTAATTACTTAGGGCCCGCCAATCCCAACCATTCAAAATCTCTATATATTATTGCTCTATATAGTGTGCAACACTACATGAATAACAGATAACTACCCAAGCAGTTAAACACTAAAAAAACCTTCAATTTTGTCAGAATACATTGTCTTTACTGCAATTATTATCATGATCAATTGAGATGGACACGTCACCTATGTGTGTATGTTAACCAAGGATGAGTGTAGGCCTATAATGGAATGTGAAGCCTTGTGTAGCTCTGTTACTGACTAAGATGAGCTGTTTCTTTTAAATTTTATATTTTTTATTATATTCATGTATCCACACCTGACAGTTCTGAGATGAGTCAACCAGTTGCCTAGAGTTTACTGTGCACTTTTATAATCAACTGTATAACAATTGAATATTTCTTACCATTACTTCCCCGACCCCTAAACCCTCCAGTGCTGACACCATAAATACTTGACTAAAGTTGGGCCAACCGCTCTGGTTTTTAATTTCTTGCATCACTTCTTTTTCCGTAACACTTCTTTTTCCAATTTTCTTATTTACATCTGGGTCAACAATAGACTTACAAGAGAGTCTATCAGCCAATTCCAACAAATAACGCTTTTTTTTAACAGTATCAACCTGGAAATAAAATTATAGGTGTTCAAATATTTAAGTGATTACGCTATGTTACAAGATTCACCCTTACAAACATGAAATTTATTCCAACACACTACAGTAAATTTCTTCTAATATACGCTCGGGACTTTACACATGCCAGATTATGAAATATTCCAGATTACAGGATGGATAGCAGGAATAATACGAGTCAAACAAGAATATGATTAAAATTGTGTATTTAACTCTTACAGCAGCTTTACTAGAGAATAAAACATTATACACCATACTAAAATGAAAAATACATTATCTTATCATAGAAGTAAAATGAGCTTGTTAGGCTTATAAAACATTTATTATCATGTGGAGTAACATGATTGGACTAAATCAACAATAACATAAGGGCCTTTGCACACTAGGCTGTACCAAGGCAGCCCCACCACATTAAATGTACAACAGCACACTGGGCCACTTTGGTAGCTTGGTCAGGCTCCTGGAAACACGGCCAAAATTGTGGTGGCCAGAGCCCCCCGATTTTGCTTGCCACCAGGCGAAAAGCATTGAATCATATGGAGCACTGCACACTAGCGCGACTCTGTGGCAACACCAGTAGCTACGTTTATTTTCTTTTTCTCCAGTGTAACTTGTAATCATGGCAAGGCTTGACATGGAACGTTTTATGGTCTTGACACCTCAACGTTACAAGCAGCTTTTGTTATGGTGGAATACAATCTCGGATCTGGTTGTGGTTCTTTCTGTAATCATTTCTTTAATCTTATGAATAGTTCGTAAAAGGTACTATCAGTCATTCTTGCATAGGCTATGTGTAAAACTTATCTGGGTTGTTTCTGAGGTCCACATTATAAGTAAAAAAACACGTATATTAAACTTGGATCATGTAAAAACAGGTGTAGCCATTATTTTCTCCTGATTTTTCTAATCTTATTCTGCAAAAAAAAAAAAACATAAAAGCTAACCCACAAGCTTCTTTCACATTCATCACAATCTATAGAACACAATAAACTGAGCAAGTGTTTGGGCCGATGAAGTGGCTTACCACTCAAGGTTACTCCCCACCGAATGCACTTACAAAGTGGCGCCACCATGGTGTGCAAAGGCCCTAAGACCAGTAGATAGAGAATGTTGGCCGGGATGTGAAGCAAGGATATTTATCTCGTCTGTATCAACATGACAGCTGCCGGCTGTGATGAGCCCTAGTGATGTGCACTACTAATGAAATGTTAATTGATATCAATAATATATGTAACACTATACCTTTGCATTATGAGTATTTCCATATCTAAGACAATGACCTTCAAAAAAGCATTAAAAATTGTTTCTAACATTTGTCGTCTTTTAGAAAAAGTTCATTTACATAATTAAAAACAAAAACTTTTTGGGTGAAGCAAAAATTCTGAAAACTTACAAATTAATTCATAATGTATGTATCTATAACCCGTCCGTTCGGCTATGATACCCAGCGGATTAGGGACCTTCTCGGAACTCAACTCACCCTCTCGACCCGCTCGTCGGGCTGGCCGGAGACAAACAGTGACTCACCTACTGTCACAGTCCCACAGATTTGTAACTTTTTTTTGTTTTAAGTTAAAATAAATTTTTGTTTTTAAATTTGAATTCTACATGAAATTCTAAAAATAATGAGCCCAAACACGATGTGGATACTTAATATCTACGATCTGAAAGTATTACAATTACTCTGTATCGTCACGAGCTTTGTCCGACTTTCAGATCATAGATATTAAGTATCCACGTCATGTTTGGACTCATTATTTTTGGAATTTTATGTAGAACCTTTGACTGGAACCAAGTTTGAAATGTAAATTCATTCTGATACATTCGGACCAGTAACTCATTCTTTAAGAGAAAATTACAATAATTTTCAATGATGATAATGATAATGATAATTTATTTGCACATAACATACAAACTTTAAAATACTTTAAAACATAACAATAAAATTCAAGCGCACATCTGATTACTAGCTTTGAACCTCGTTGGCTCCATAGAGGTATATTTTTTAATGCACTCAATGTTATTTAAATGGGTTTCATAACTTCACTGAGTGAGTTTTTGAAACTTTACTTCACTCGTGAAGTAAAGAAGTGGTTTACATCACGCTTGGGATAGGGAAGTTTAACATGGCGGGTTAGGTAAAATAACATTGAGTGCTCAAACTAAAAAATTATACCTCTATGGAGCCAACGACGTTTAACGCTAGAAATCAGCTGTGCGCTTGAATTTTATTGTTATGTTTTAAAGAATGTTCCTAACCTACCTTTTGTTTGTAAAAGAACGTTACTCTTAGAAGATGAGTGAAATGGATAATGAAAAAAAATATGCCTACGTAACCCCCTGTATATTGTCGGGTCAGGTAAAATCTTGTACGTTACACGTTACGCAAGAGCGTGTTTATATCACTTAGGTGAAATATGCAACTCGCTTCCGCTCGTTGCACAAAATTCACCTGCGTGATATAATGCTCTTAATACACTTGTAAGGTAAATAGGTATAACATACACCAACAAAACCACAGGACCCCTGCTCTTCTCCAAAGTTACTAAACCTGCATTTAACTAACTTAATACAAAAAGAAATGTAAAAGTTTTAGCTAGTCTTACCTTATTTAAAATCAAAACTGAATGCTTATAAGGATATAGGTGGAGAAGCCTCAACACTTTAGGGTCCAATTTTCCTCTAGTGAAAGAATTGCTTGTGTCATGAATAACTCCAATGACATTGGATTCTGTTATAGCTAGCTCTCCGTCCCTCAGAAACGTTTGTTCCAAATTGTGCCTGTAAAAGCAAAATATTTTCTGTTCATAGCAATTTAGATTTAGATTTGTTATATATTTTATAGAAGGAAGCAGCTAGCTACTGCCGTTGACATTGAACAGTGCAGATAGACTTCTCATCCTTTAGTAAAATTTGAACCTTTGTGTATTTGTGTTGGTATAGATTAACTTAGAGTATGCTGATTTTGCTGTGTTATTTTAAGATTTGTGCTTTATTGTTAATAATACAACTGGAGGACAAGTTGTTTTTTTTTCTTTATACCTAATTAGGCTAGTTTGTTTTATATACCTAAATAGTGTTAGAACAGATTATATAACAAGAAACAAAAAGGAAAGCAGAAGGAACTATTATATCCTATATATACAATCAGCTGATAATATAAAATTAAATGTCCTTTGTTTATTATGAATGCAAAACAAACAAAATAAGACTTCGGTTAGAGTTACTACATCTTTACATTATGAACCTTGTTGAACTTGTTGAAAAAAAAATAATAAAAAAACAGCCTCTATCTTATCATGGCTCTTATGGAAACCTTTTCCATCAATTTTGTATCCTAAGTAGTTCACAGACTCTTGAAAAAATTTAATTTTATTCTTGTTTATGTACAAGTTGTTTTCCTTCAACGTTCCAACACCTTGATCGTGTGTAGTTTTGTTTCTTCAATAGTCCTTCCTTGAACTATTATATCATCAAAGAAAACAGCAGTACCTTCCAGTCCAGTTAAAACTGCGTCCATGTAGCGTTGCCATATGTTTGGAGCTGTTTTTATTCCAAACATAAGTCTATTTACCTTAAAAACTCCCATATGAGTAGAGGCTGTTTTGAAATGTCCCATACCCACTAACGTTACTGAATTGAAGCAGTTTCTTGGGCTTGTAAACTATTATCACAGGTGTCTACTTAACCTTGCAACTAAGATACATCCATTATATGATTATCCATTATTATTATGTATATGAACTGCTACATAAGAAGAAAACCTATACATGGACAAAACGATGTAATGATGCTTTTGAGGGCATTAAGAAGGAAATCACAACAGAGAGGGTTCTTACAACATTTTCACCAAACCTACCACTGATATTGGCAACGGACGCTTTGCCTCATGGACTATCTGCTGTTTTATCTCACAAGATGCCGGATGGAACAGAACGACCTATAGCTTTTGCTTCAAGGACATTAAGTAAAGCAGAACAAAATTACAGCCACATTATTAAGGAAGCGACTGCGATCTACTGGGGTGTTCATAAGTTTTTCCATTACTGCTATGGTCGAAAGTTTACACTTATAACTGACAACAAACCATTGTCTTCTATTTTCCATCCCTCAAAATGCCTACCACCCTTAACCGCCACTCGAATGTTACACTACGCTGTATTTCTGTCAGGTTTCGACTACGAAATACAGTATCGTAAAGCATCAAATAGATTTCCTGTTAACAATACATGTGATCATCGAGAAACCTTAGATGAAACAGTATCAGACAAATACCTTTTACAAGTACAACTGAATTCCCTTCTGTCACAAGTAATGAAGTAAGAGAAACTATGAACGATCCAGAATTACAGTTGGTATACAATGCACTACTGACATCCTCTTACATTACAAAGCCTGAACAATACAAAGGATTAGAGGTCAATTGAAAATGGATGTTTATTTAGAGGAGTTTGAGTTGTAATTCCATGTGCTTTACGAAAAACTATTCTGAAAGAACTACATGACGCTCACACAGGCATAACAAAAATGAAAGAACTAGCCAGGCAGTATCGTTGGTGGCCTACAGTGAATTCTGACATAGAAAACTATGAAAATTCATGTAAACCATGTGCATTGAATAAAAACGATCCTCCAAAGTACCATGAACCATGGCCAAACTCCAATATTCTTTAAGAAAGGGTGCACATAGATCATGCAGGACCATTCAGAGGTACAGTACATACTTTTTCATAGCAGTAGATTCATACACAAAGTGGTTGGAGGTAAAGGAAACAAAAAGCATACCTATCTAGTTTCTCCACTATAAGAATCTTAAGAGAAATGTTTGCAAGATTCGGCATTCCAAGTACAGTTGTTAGTGATAGGCCGGCGATAATGTTTAAGTTCGAGACTACAGAAGTAATCAACCTAAATGGAAATTTGGTAAGGTGGTCAAAATATTAGGAAACTGCCATTATGAAGTTGAAGTTGAAGGTTTAATGGTTAAATGCCATGTTGATCAAATACGCTCTACACTAGTATCTTTAAATGAACAGTCCAATGAAGCCCTAGAGTTTGAGTCACAGAAACATGCACAAGTGGTAAACAAACCAAATTACTCTCCTCAAGCATCATACAGGACAAAGAATTTTTATCCTTCATCTGTAATAAGAAGATCTCAGAGAATACTGAAGAGGCAATAAGCTGATTCTTTTCCAGAGAAGATTATTATATCCTGTATATACAATCAGCTGATAATATTAAGTTAAATGTTCTTTGTTTATTATGAATGCAAAACAAACAAAATAAGACTTCAGAGTTACTACATCTTTACATTATAAACCTTGTTAAACTTGTTAATAAATAACTGTGCTTTAAGTTGGTGTTTAATATACAAAAGGGACTATCCTTAACCCTAGCAGTGGCCAATGTTAGAAGTGGGGAATGGCCAACACATTTGGGCGATTTTGCAGACCTTTTTTTGAAAATTCGTAAAAATTCAACCGTACAAGTAAACCTAGCCAACCTCGTATCCATTTTGTTCGGAAAGAACAGGAGAATCTAGAAATAGTAATATAATAATGATTTAGATAGTGTATTTTTTTTCGGTAAAGTGATTTTTGTTGATTTTTTTTTAATTTCGAAAGCGGCCTCGGTATTTTTTTTTCTACTGATTTTTTATGGGAAATTCATTAGGCTGTATACATTTTGTAGACAATCTAATTCCCTAGGCCTACATAGAAAAATATAACATGTTAGGAAAATATTTTTTTTTATAAGTTTTTGGGGCGAAATACAATAACAAATGGAGAACCAAAAAAATTGAAAACCGTACAGTGTTAGTTTGTGTTGTAAAAAGTTATATAGTATATGTGTATACTAATAATGATATATACATGTTTGTAAAGCTAATGAAGTAAGGAATAAAAAAAAAGTCATAAAGTTTATGGTAAAAAAAATTTTTATTTATAAATAAAAAAATGTTTTTGTATTTTAGAGATTTTGTGAGAAAAAAATCATAGTATTTAGTATAAAACTTTTGTACCAAATGTTTTTACTTCAAACCAACATAAACATCTTGTAGTGTATTCAATTACCTACATAAAAATGTATAACATGTTGGGTAAAAATTTATAATGCCAAAACCTTTATCCAGTGCACAATGCCCCTGATGCTGAAGAGGCATACTCTGCATTCCAAAGGACTGTAAGGCTCATACTGGACCATGCCTGCCCTATCAAAAAAATAAGAGCTAAGCAGAAAGGACAGAAAATTAAGGTTCAGTATGATGAAGAAGTCAAAATACTAAAAGAAGATTTTCTAGATGCCTAAAAAATGAAGTTATTAAGTTACTTTTGCAAGTGCAAATTGGCTCACAATTGCAAATTAATATAAAAAAAATTCTTCTGTGAGTGCTAAAAACTTAATTATTAGACGTAAACTACAATCAATAAATGTGGCAAAGTACAAAATGAGTGATATTGATAAATGTACAATTTCCCAATTAATTAGAACTAGAGGTCGTCCAATGGTGGAAAACTCGACCAAAAATATCTATTGTTCAGACTTCTCCATTTTACACCCCACGCTGTAAATAAAACATGTGATTGGAATTTCTTACATTTATTTTGATTTTCTGTTTATATTTTGTTGTTATTTCGTCACCAGCATGACAACCCATAAGACCCGTTAACTTTTTAAATTTTAAATTCAAATTTTTGCGCTGATTTTTGAGCTATTTTAACTTATAAAGGGATTCTGCAAACCTACAGAAAAATATCTTTCTAACAGTATGCGTAGATTTTCCCTACGATGCACACGAGCTGAGAAAAAAGGTTTTAAAGAAACATGCTTGCCTATTAATATATAGATGGATAATTCTACAAGTTAAAATTTGTGTGAAAGTTTACTTTTACTTGAGTTAAATTTCATGGTTTTATCAACTATATTAATTAAGCTATTATAACACGGATAAAAAATTAGGCTTTGAGCAAAACTAAATTAAAACAACATACAGTAGACTCCCTCTAGTTCGGCCACCTCGGGACCGGACCACTGGCCGGACTACAAAATGGCCGGACTAACCGGATGCAGTACATTTTACATAATCAAAATACAAATAATAGTATTGCGCAATCGTGATATGTCAAGTCATTAACCTTGGTTCAGTAATAAAAACTGTGAAGTTTAAAATCACGCTTACTCAAGCAAAACAAAAATTACACAACACTGTACGTACAGCAATAAATCACGTAAAGAACATAACAATAGAAAGTCTAGTACTGCAAGCTACTGCTACCGTAGTCAGCATAGGCTACTACTACATGTTGTTTCAGAACATAAGAATGTTGATAAAAACATCAGATAACTCATAAAACAGCATAAAATCATAGTACCTACTTAGTCTTAAAGATAATAACGACAGTCGTAAAATAGGATGAAGATAACAATGGATGACGTAAAACACCGCTTATTCTTTCTTCTTTTTTCTTCTATTCTTGGTTTCTCTTCATCCACACATTCAACAAGTTGCCATGGTTACTAATCAGTAATCACCCAATCACAAACTGTTGTGAGATAGCAAGCGCACAGCAGACATCAGTTGTGTAAAGAGCAGACGATTGTCAGTGCAAGCGGATAGCTTGACCTTGAAGCTAACGATGACTTTTTATTTGTTTTGCTTTAATTTATTTTTGTCAAATAAACCGCCGTGTTTCAAAAACAATAATGGGGGAACCTACCACATAAAACAATGGTCCGAAATATTTAATTATACACTGCATTTCAACATATTAGACTGAAGAAAAACTATTTATAAAATGTTCTTGGTATTTTTGAGGTTATGGAACATAGTTTTACATGGGTAATGTGCAACAATTCGCCCATAGAAGCACCCGTCAACTAAACTGACATGAATTGTTTACTTCAATGGCCGGAAACTAAACATTCAAGTTGAATCCTGTTGAAGGCCATTCGCCCGTGACGATATGACTTGTCCCCCTGAGACCTGGCCGGACCATCCGGCGGCCGATCCAACCGAAGCCGAACTAGAGGGAGTCTACTGTACCGTATTGCATACAAAGATCTTCAAAAATGTATCCACAATTGCAACATTAATCAGATTATTTTGGTTGTTGGTGTAATGTTCTCTAACACAAAAGTTGTTATGTCCTGTTAGTAAAATAATTATTTATTTACAATGGCTCTTACAAGTTGACAACGTTGTAAACTATATTAGCCTACTAGTAAATAGCATGTATACATGAGTACAATTAAATTATGTTTTTCATATAGGCTAATTTGTTTTATTACATATTTAAACGATATTTAATAAACAATTTATGACAACCAACATTTTTTGGAAATCACGACATGTAATGTGTTTTATATTTTTAACCTCCCAAACAAATTAAATAGCCTACCAAAGATCAAGCCTTGTCTTCTGATAGGCCTAGGCTAACTTGCTTAAAATCTAGCATATGTAAGTTAATAAACAAGTCAATTTACTCACTTATTGGATTCTTTCTGAGAGACTAATCCAGGTGTGTCTAGGAAGATAACTTGCGTATCATGTATGTTTATGACCGCTCTGGCCCTGGCTCTTGTTGTATGTACTTTGTTTGATATGGCAAACACCTAAAACAATTAGCATAATTTAAGGTGGTAAGGAACACAGTAAATAAGTTAAAAACGTTTTCCACTTTTTTCAGCACTAATTAAGTTAAGTTAAAAAAACTTGCTGGTGGAAATATCATGCTCAATGCAACAGCTAAACTTGCTGTGTCCCAGACTTGTAATGTAAGAAACCGAATAGTCACTGTTCTTAAGTCCCTATTCATGCACTGGTATTTCCAATCTACAAAAAATTTGAACATGCCAGTATCTCAAGTTACGGACCCGTGATTAGTAAGGTGATAGAGATGGTGATGAAAAATCAGTTGCACCAGCTGAAGCCTATATCTACGCCTTCCTGATTGAAATCAAATGCAGTGTTCCACTTCTCAATACCAGAAGTCACATCCACGACCAAAATATCAAACCCAGGCAGAATATTGATGTCCCCTGTGCAAGATTGAGCAGAATGCTCAATTCCTTTCCCACGTCAGCCATCAAGTTTTTCAACAGACTCCCTTCCAGCATAAAATGCCTATCGATTATTAAATTTAGACACGACTTTAAAACCATTCTACCCAGGCCTGCTTGCGCAAACATAAATATTTTATTTTTGAAAGACATGTTTTTTAGGCGAGGTTTATTATACTGTATTGATCAGCTTGTGGGCTTCACTCACCTTAATTTGTTAATCCAGGACTCGTCAAATGTAACACAACGAAGACACACAACACACACATACACGCACATAAAAATCGCGTCACATACACGCACAGTCGTGGTTAGGCGTTCGGCTCGTGTACGCGAGAGAAACAAAGTTTTAATTCCCTGAGGAAGCGGGACATTATCTTGGTCCCGCGAAACGTCGGAGTAAATTAATCCAAGGACGATTTTTATGTGCGTGTATGTGTGTGTTGTGTGTCTTCGTTGTGTTACATTTGACGAGTCCTGGATTAACAAATTAAGGTGAGTGAAGCCCACAAGCTGATCAATACAGTATAAATATTTTAGTACAGTAGCCTACAAGTAAGGATTTAGTTTTACTAAGTAAGTTATGTTAGGTACCGGTACCAGTAAACTTAATGTAATTTTTTTTACAATTGAAATGAACAGTAGGCTAACTTAAGTTTTAAAATTAGTTTTTACGACAATTAATAATTAAATTTGTATTTTAACTTATAAGTTAGCCTATGACTTTTTCCTATCGGCTGTATGGGTTCCATCTGTAGAGTAGGCCTAGCTTAAGATTTTAATAATCAATTTAGGCCTACCTTTCTCTTAAAAGTTTAATCAAAGTACAAAATTGCTCAGATGAGGGGTGTTGGCTTGACTTGCTCAGCGGGTTTAAGTTAGAGAATCTCAAGTCACTTAACTTAGTAAGTTGGTTCGAGGGGTCAAGCAGGACGCACGGCCTAAGTTAGGTTTCGGGCTGTAATTAAAGGGAAAATTACTATACTAACTTAGGTGGTTCATATCAAGCACTAGGTAGGCTATCCAATACCCTAAATACAGAGGCTCATTAAGCAAAATATAATATTAGGCTAACTTACTCTTCTTCCAACAATCTGGTTGATGAATGTACTTTTTCCTGAATTTGGTGTACCAATTATTGCGATTTTTAAGATTTTAGTGAGAGGGTTTTCATCCAAACTAGGGGCTAGGCCTACATCTGGTTGAGATATTTGTCTTTCAACTTCACTAAAACTGCGTCTGAATATTCCTAACAAGTGATCATGAATTCCTCTATAAACACCGCATTTGTAGCAAACGTTTAAAACAATATTGCAGGATTTATAGCTAGGCTTCACGGTAAACATTGCAATAATCCTTCGAATGTAAGATAAGAAAGAAATGAATATCTACGTATCCAAATTTACCAAGGGCTGAGCTTTCTTTATATTAAAATAAGGTAAGTTACTTCCCATTTCCCAACAACAACAGGGACAGGGTATTATGGTATTATCCAATATCCAGTTTATTGCACTTGTACTACTTAATTTGTTAATGTACAAATACTTTACTTTGTGGTTATGTTTACATTTCATTCGAAGTGACTTATTCGCACGTCAAAATGACGTCACAACCTGTTTCCGTAATCCGTTCCAGTTCTAGTATTGAAAAATAATGCAAAAGGAACAGTTACTTTTTTCTAGAAGCCATTTATTACTAATACCATTGATTATATATACCTACAGGTATATAATCACAGGCCGCGGCCTTCGAACTGGCAACGTCGCAAGTGGTGTTGTAACAGCTGCTTCTGTTTGGAAGCAGCTAATGGCATTTGTGTATTTACGAAAGATTGGTTACTGGACTATGACAATATTGACTCCGGTATTTACTCAGGGGAGGTATAGAAGAGGCTACGATGACAGCTGAGGGCTTCTTGTTAGCTGAGGGAACGCCATTACCGTAAAAAAACGTTCGTTAGCCATCGGCCTCGGTGGTCTAATGGTTAGCGTGCCGGGCTGATATACTGTAGGTCCCGGGTTCGAATCCCGCTGGTATCATTAACTTTTTGCCCAAGATTTTTTTATTATCAGCAAGTTTGGTTGGTTTGGTTTGGTTATTACAGTTTAATTTTATTATTAAGTCATTATAAAATTTTAATTGAGCAATTTCTAGTTTTATTTAATAAACAGAATTATTTTTCCGATTACTAAACTGTTGTTATATTATTTCTTTATCAGCAAGTTTGGTTAGTTCGGTTAGGTTATTATAGTTTAATTTTATAATTAAAAAATAGTAAAATTTAATTTGAGGCATTTATAATTTTATTTTATGAACAGAACTATTTTTGAGATTAGTAAACCTTTATTGCCAAAGTGCTCTCTACTACAGCGCTGTTCACGGAGGAATTTTGAACTAAATGCCTCATTTGTACCTCCCCTAAGTCAGACCCATTGACTCCGCTTAAAAATGTACATAAGTCATAAGTTCTTTATTCCAGAATTACAAAATTACATTGCATTGGAATAGTCAAGTTTATAATGAAATGTACAAAAGATAAAATATAAAAACACTCTACTAACTAAAACAATTTGACCTTCTAGTAAATCTAACAGGACAGAAATCACTGACCACATGACAGTGGAAAAATCGTGGACTCTGTAGCAAGCATTTTCAACCAAAATTTGTTTAAGATTTCTCCTAAACCTGAGCAAATCAGTCTCCAGCTTTAGATGTTGAGGAAGTTGGTTAAAAAGTTTAATTCCATTGTACAGAAGATGATGTTGGAAAAATGAAGTTGAATGAACGGGAATGTTTAAATTGTATGATGTGCGTAAGTTATATGTACTGGAGTTAATGTTGGTGGTAAATAATGACTGATGTTTTTTTACAAATGAAAGGGTCTCAAGGATGTATAGTGAGGGAAGAGTCAAAATTGCAGCTGACCTGAATGATTCCTTACAAGATCGTCTTCTGAAAAGAGAAAATATACCACGAATAGCCCTTTTTTTGCATTTTAAAAAGAAAGGCGGTATGATTATTTTCATATCCCCAAACAGGCAGAGCATAAACTAGATATGGAAATATTAAGCCGTAATAAACAGACAGAAGAACTTCTGGCGAGACTGTTTGTGGCCAATGTTCGTAGTACAAAAATGCCTATACTTACACGTTTTATCACGTAATCAACATGAGATTTGAAGTTTAAACATTCGTCTAAGTGGATGCCTAAGAATTTAACAGACTGTACAGGATGAATGAAGGTTTGATCAAGAAGAAGTGACAGATTCGGATCTTTGTGGGATCTGTTTGAGACTCGAAAGTTAATAGTTAATCAGCTGGGTCTTTGCAGTGTTGGTTTTCAGAAGGTTGTCATCAAACCACTGAAGCAAGGTATTTGCCTCTGCCTCTATGAATGCCATTTGCTCAAGTGACTCTAGGGAGGGGCTGGATAAGGCTAGGGAAGTATCATCTGCAAAAAGGCACAGTTTACCTTGGGTTATGCATGAGGGGAGGTCATTTATGAAGAGGAGGAATAGCACAGGACCCAGAACGGATCCCTGAGGCACACCTCTCGTTACAGGAGTTTCTGAAGACTTAAATCTACTTTGAAGCCCGGTGTGATCTATGGATTGTATTTCGACACTGCCTCCTGCCTTTTAAAAATGACGAAAACCACTCTGATGCAACTCCTCGGACTCCTATGTTGTTTAATTTAGCTAGTAGGAGGTCATGGTCAACCATGTCAAACGCCTTACTCAAATCAAAGAAAATACCCATTGAGCGTTGCTTTGCATCCAAATCTTGCACCACTTGGTTCAATAAGGAAAATATTGCACTTGTAGTATTTTTGCTTTTGACAAATCCATGTTGATCTTTGAATATTATATTATTCTTTTCGGAAAATGCCCAGAGCCTCTCTAAAACAGCCTTTTCATATATCTTGGACAAACTTGAAAGCATAGAAATGGGTCTATAATTATCACACTTCGTATGGTCACCCCTTTTGAGAATTGGCCATACAACTGCAAGTTTGAGTGCATTGGGAAATTGTCCATGCAGAAAAGAGTGGTTTATGAGATGGGTTAGAGGATTAACGATGAAGTCTGAACACTCTCTAAAAATCGTTGACGGTATTTCATCAGCTCCTGAGCTTATCTTGTTTTTTTAACTGATGAATTATTTGTTTTACTTCGGAATCTACTGTTGGGAATAAGAACAATATACAGATAGTACAGATATAGATATATTTTAATAAATTTATGTTCATAAATCTAAATTTAAATTAATAAAGTGCGAATTAATGAGCTGATGTTACCCGTCTGCCATGTTATCTTATGGGACGTCTGTCACTGAACATCACCACTTGCGACGTTGCAAATTCTACCACGCCACGGCCTGTAGTTAAAGGTGGCCGTGCTACCGTCCTCGGATGATGGCACAGAGCAGAGCTGCTCTAAGGATAATGGAGATCTTTAAGTTGTGGCCGTGGTTACAGGAAGAATTTTAAAGCTTGTGAAAGGGTAAACGTATCTGGCAATTATGTCAATGAATAAAGTTATGGTGTAGTTTAAGATGTATACATTTTGGTTTCTTTACATAATTATAATTTATTTAACAAACTGACCAAAGATTATTTCCCGAACGGTCCTCGTAATACCATAACAATTGAGGAATATTATCAAGTATTCACTATTATACTACTATAATAATAATATTAGAAACTCCGTTTCGACCACGTTTCGACAGTGATGGGTTTCGCCTGTACATTCAAGTTCTTCCAAGGGAAAATAAATCAACCGTAGAGAGATTTTGCAAGGAAGAAGAAGAAAAACTACATCTATCGTTCGTTGGTTCGTTTTTCACATCACAACAAAAGTACAAAACAAAGTATTTTTTTCTTCCGTGCCGTTTACATAAATTTTTGTAATTTTATGAATTAAAACATGATTCAAATACTATTGTGCTCAGTTTATTAAGAAACTATTTGAAATAATGGCCGACACTTCGGAAAATGATAGTGAACCTCATCAAGAAGCCAATATTTGCTTGGATATTGGTGACAATTTGACAGCTAACACTGTGTCTAAAACAGGTAATGGTTAGTTACTTGTTGCTTTATTAGCCTTGATATGTTGTATACCAATGTACGTTTTAAAATATTCCTTCTTTACTAATCTTAACCCCAAACCTAGATGCAAGTATAACATTCTTCTTAGGCTGTAATCTTCAGTTATTTTGAAACTATTATTTATAGCTGACCTCGCATAGCCTATGAGGTTAGTTTCTTAGGTAGGCCTAACTTAAACTTAGGCCTGGAAACAATTTTGTTAAAGTTGAGTCGGTAAGTTACTTGCTCAGCCCAAATACAGTGTAGAGTAAGTTAGACCTAGAGTTCAACGCAAATATTTGTTCTATTTAATAATAGCCTAAGTTAACTTAGGTATTTATGCCATTCAAAAGAATATTAGGGTAGACTTTTATAAGCCGTATTATCGCCGTATCACAAACAACCGAATGAAAACTTATATACATCAATATAGCCTATCAATTGCTATTCATATATTAGGGAAGTAATTGATAAACATTAGATACTAGGCCCTAAGTTATAAGCTTAAGTTATCGATCTTGAAATATATGTGAATAAAACATAAGTTAGCCTACGTTAGGCCTTTATAAGAGTTCACTTAAATAAATATTTATAAAATAACATAAACATTCACTTATTAGGTAGGTAGCCTATTTCTTTTCCAAAATGTCGTTCAACTAAGTTAGGCCTAGGTAGGAAATTAAATGAAATTACCCAAAAGATGATCTTAAGTTAGTTGTGTGAAAAAGTTACCTACAACTGGAATTGATTCAATAACCATCTAAGTTAATTGCAATATTTGCGGAGACGTTATGAAAGTGATAATTGAAGTACTAGAATCAAGTGCTTACCGTTGTTTAAAAAAGGGCAAGGATGAAGAAAATCGCAAATGTGTGTAAACGCTCTCAAATGTTTTTTGTGAAATCCAAATTAAGTTTTTTCCACTTTCTTAATGATTGAATGTAGGCTAAGATAGCTTGTATGAGTGTGTGTTGAGTAGAGCGATTGCCGATTTGTTGAGTTTTTTTTCCAAGAGGTTTGCATAAATTATGTTGAAGATAAGTTAAACTCCAGAATGAAGAGACGCTAGGGGGTCCAGGTTTCTTAGTAGAAATTGACGAATGTAAGAATTGGGAAAAGATAATACAACCAAGGTAAAGTTCGCTGAGGAAGATACCTAATTGAACCAAACTATGTCTGGACAATAAAAGGGATGCCGCATCACTTATTCCCCTGATAACGAATCGTGTACTCCCGGAAGCGATGACTATAACAGATCTATTGGAGTCCTACTTTGGTATGACTGATGTAGGTTACATACACTTTACCGTCAACCATAGTAAGAACTTCTTAGATCCATTAACTGGCGCTAACACAGAGGGTTCATGGCATTCTGTCAAGCAATCGTTTAAGACAGGCATCGGGTTTGACTACTTGGCAGAGCACCTGTGTGAAGGTACCTCAATAGAAGAGAGGTTAAAATGAGTTAACAGGATGCTTTCATGCATTTTGTTAATGCAACAAAGGCTTTGTATCCAGGAATGTAAATATAAACAAATCAAGTGCAAATAAATTAAAGTTTTTTGGTTGGTTTTTAATTATTATTACAATAGAAAATATCAAAATATCAAAAAACTGAAAGCGATTGATAACTTGGTAATTCTGAGCAATTACTTGATCAACCCCAAACTTTTTCATATTTTTACGACGGTCATAAAGTTTTCCTCAGAAAACAAGAAACATATAATTCAAGCCCACAAGGCCATCGTACAGGTTGCTGAGCGATAAGAAGGTTTAAAATCCACGCGATAACAGTGGCTTGCGGGAGACGCACAGGCCAGTTGTGACAGTACCATTTAGGTTATGTTAATTCATAACCTAACCTAACCAACGTTTATTTGAACAAGTTTTCAAACCAGCATTATCGGATTATGAGAACGTTGTTTTACAAGGTGAGAATTGTTTTTCCAATTTTTGACCTCCAAAACGGTTTTTTGTCATTTCTTTCTGAGCTACTTTTCATAGCCCAAAGGAAAAAAAATAGGTCTAGTTCAGTTTAGCACGGTAAAGTGATAAGTTATTGTATGTCTAATGGTTAATAAGATTATTAATTTTTTTACGGCGATGGCCTACCTCAAATCAAAATGTCTTTATACCTGAATAATCTTTTTACATAAATATTACTGTAAGTGTTTTACATAAATAGGACCTCTGTGATCAAGGGGGATGTTCACAATGGTTCTGTGAACCCAGGGAACAATGGTGATGTCTTTGTGACTGTGGTAGATGTTCACAAATTTTCTATGATCACAGGAGATGTTCACGCTTTCGCTGCGATTCCACTATTGCAGCAAACGATGATGATGTCCTCAGTGATCGTGGAAGATGTTTACGATTTCATCAACTAGGTTGTGGATGATGTGAATCATAAATCTGTTTAGGCCTAATCGTGAAAAATGTAGCCTAGATGCAAAATTTAATTTACGAATGATATTAAGTTAAGTTAATAATAATTAATAATCAAAGACTAATAACTTAGTGAAAACTTCTTGGATATTGTTGCCCTGTAACTGTGGGAATTTGAGAGTTATAAGAAAGAAATCATCATACCATTTGCCAGAGCTATCCCACTGAAGCATTTAAAAGTAGTTAATAAGGAAGGAAGTATCCAATAAATGTTTTTAAATTCATCAAAAACACTAGGCCTATATTACAAAATCAAGTTTTTATTTGACTAAATGCTTTTTAAAGATCTAATGTTTCAATGCTTATCAATAAAGTTATGAGAAAAATAACTGTAGGCTACCATTGGGGAATTCACTTAGCAAATTACAAAAATTAGGGAATTCACTTATTAGAGGCAGTTATGAAAGAACAGCTGGTGGCCTTTTTCGAGAACAACAGTCTGTTCAATGACTCCCAACATGGGTTTAGAGCTGGACGATCCACCACATCTGCACTACTTAGCCTAGTGAAAAATATCTCGGACGCCTTTGAATCTAGCGACTCTATCCATCTAAGTCTCTGTGACTTAAGTAAGGCGTTCGACGTGGTCTCCCATGACATCCTCCTTGCCAAGCTCATCAAATATGGCATCTCTGGAGTGGTCCACAAATCACTGGCTAACTACCTTGAAAACAGGAGGCAAATTGTTTCGCTGCATGGAGCTTCTTCCAATGTCCAGGAAATGCACCATGGTGTGCCCCAAGGCTCGATTCTGGGTCCTGTCCTGTTCATAATAATGATAAACGATCTGTCCCTTAACAGGCGCACACTGCTTTTTGCAGACGATACAACGTTACTGACCAGGCACAGCAACCTGAATGACCTTCGAACAGAGGCAGGTTTTCTATTAAATGAAGCCAAAGAATGGTTTGTGTTAAACCGTCTCAAAATCAACGATGACAAGACACAGTCCATCACGTGCACCCTCAAACAGGGTATTGAAGATGAGGCGGTGAAACTGTTAGGGTTCTGGGTCGACTCCAAACTAAACTGGAATCATCATGTTGAGAAGGTATGTGTTAGGCTTAGCAGAGTACTCTATCTGATCAGAAGACTAAAGAATGAGATCACACGCCCCTACCTGCTCATCATGTATCACGCACTATTCCACAGTCACATTAGCTATGGCTTGGTGGTATGGGGACATAGCCACGCAACTCAAAGTGTGCTGCTGCTACAGAAGAGGGCTCTAAGACTGATAACATCTTCCGGCCCTACCGACCATTGTAGGCAGATTTTTCAAGAACTTGGTATCTTATCGGTCTACAGCCAGTATACACTGAACACCTTAGTCCTTCTGAGAAGCAACTTAACTAACTTCTCAACTAGAAGCATGCAGCACAATTATGGGACTCGCGGGGCTGGTGACCTTGACCTACCTCGTTGTCGGCTTCGCCACACACTTCAGTCATACCCCTCAATAGCGATAAAACTATTCAACACACTGCCGACCAATATCCGAGCTCTAGACCCAAAGCGATTCAAATCTGCACTTCGCCAGAGCTACTCAGCAGGCCCTTGTACGCTTTAAAAGAACTGTTTGACGAGCCACTCGCTTTCCCTAATAAAGTCACATCCGTCAGTTCAGTTTAATTGTATATATGTAATATAGTGTTAGTAATTAGTGAAACATTTTAATGACGCAATCTATCCAACATTTGTTGGTCAACGATGAAGAGATCAAGTATTTCAAGTAAGTAAGTAAGTATTTCAGTATCATTTTAAGAGAAAGTTTAGTTTGGGAATAGTGTTTTGGGAAAAAACATTTACTAGGTTGTTCCACAGAGAGTAGTTCGAAGCTCCCATTAGAAGGGCATTACATTTTTAAAATGAAGAAGTTCTCACTTAGTGTGAATTTACTAGCCACTTATGTTTTATCCTATACTCTAATACGAGCTATGTCTGTTTGTCTGTCTGGAATACAAATTTTTAAACAGTTAGTGTTGTGTAGTTTTTAGCTAAAAGAAACATCAATCATGCTAAACTGTGAATATTCTAATGTACAGCCTTACACATTGCTACCTGCTCGGTACTATTCTGGTGCTCACTAGACCATTCAAGTAATGAAAAATAACGAGTCCCGTTAAAAAAAATACTTTTTATGTTTAGAGATTTTTAACTCTCTAATATTGTAGTCATGGACGCAACGTGTTCTAAGGTGTCTTCAAATGTTTTATACACTAAGACTTGAAACAATATTACCGCATTAGGCAAAGGACCTTAACCAAGTCCATTTCTCGGGTATGATATATTTATTTGTTACACGGCATGCACCATTTTACATAATATCATTGACTATTGGATATTGAAGTACCCTAGGCCTATCATTAATCGTAAAAGATAACATACAGAAATAGTTTTCAAAGTACCTAAACAAAGATTTTTACTAATATAGATCAACACGGAAATACAGACAGACTTTAACACTAACAGTACATACGTTTTTTTTTATAAGTACCTACAAGAAGAAAATAACAAAAAAGACAAATGATAAATACCAG